ATTATTTAACAACTATAATCAACTATTTAATAACATGACTTTGTCAATCCTCGCACCACCACTGCACACGACTCCATGTCCGGACCTGTCCCACAGATAAGGCCAGGCTGTCACCGCTCTGTACATTGAACACTGTCGAACTACGCCCCTTCACAATGTGCCGGTCGCGCCGATATAAATGCAGATCGGGCGATCAAAATGGTGGCTGGTTGCCAATAATACATGGGTGCTGTTTCTCAGCAGGGACCAGACTCAAAGAGTTATGTCGACACGACACCATACATAGAATTACACGGACCATTATTGACGTAAAACACATGACGTAATTCAACGTTGATTTCGGGTTTGGAGCATACGAACCAGCGGCCGATGGTGTGAGTATCCATCAATGGAGGCAGGCGAGATGCTATGAAACACCAGCTGCACAGGTCACAGCTAGATGACAAGCAATCCTCACAGATACACAAGTCCCCATTTTGTTCAGCCGAGTGGCAGGTCTATCATTATATCTCTAGTTCACTGACACAATTTACGATGATTCGGGACTCACTACACACACTGTATTTCTCTCTCTCTCTCTCTCTCTCTCTCTCTCTCTCTCTCTCTCTCTCTCTCTCTCTCTCTCTCTCTCTCTCTCTCTCTCTCTCTCTCTCTCTCTCTCTCTCTCTCTCTCTCTCTCTCTCTCTCTCTCTCTCACACACACACACACACACACCACTGTATATTCACACAGCTCCACTACAGCCATACGACCTTCAAACGACCAGAGCTACAGATTCGCGGGTTCGCTCAGTGGCACACAAACCCACCCATACGTGTCTTGTAATATACAGACAATTCATTGTATACAAGCAGTGATCCATAGAAGTTTTCTCAATTTAGCAAATGGGAGATTCACACTGAAAAAGTCTCCTATATACTGTAATATGCACCATCATCACCATCATCAGTTATTCTATGCAGTCAGCTATGTCAGCTTGATACAGATACCGGCAACAGGTGTAATCTACGAGCCATTACATGACGTATGTCGGTCTACTCTGTATGCGTGCAGATAGCGATGGTGCGTATGTCGTTATCAGACCTATACCTGCGTCACGTGACCTAATTCATACAACGTTACAATGTGTAACTTAAAGTTTTGACTAACATATAATATACGAAATATTCTATGTCACAATACATGGTTTTCCTCCAAAATCATTCCTAATGCTGATTTTACCTACTGCTGTCCGGGTCTTTGAATACTGTCCCATAGTGTAGGGAATTGGTTAAAATCTCATAATTGATGATTGCTTCATTACAACCGATCAATCATCGAAAATAATTGGTTAGTGTTATTTATCAAATTTGTTAATGCACACAAAAAATAAGGAACAAACATGTAGTTCTTTGGAGTTTTTTGGGCAAAATTTCACATCTTTAAAGAATGACAACAAAATATGTTTGAACTTTTTCTACATCATGAATTGAAAGGCTATTGCCAAGTGATCTTACAGATTCAGACAGGAGATGGGAAACACATAAATAAATAATGATGGCCTTCACTGCCGGCCACACGAATGCATAGACCAGAAAACCCGATGTGGAAAAACCATTTTACTCATTACCAAGACATGTCTTGGCTCAAAACACTGGCGAAACACTTCAACTTTAAGATTTCGAAAACACAAATATGACGGTATCACATTCGTCACTATCGAATGATCACTTGGTGTTTGTTTCATCTTAAGCCACCTTCAGGCGTGAATTTATACTCTTTTTGGTCGGTACTTTATGTGGAGGTTTGGTTAGATCTGTGTTTTCATACTCTTGGTTGGTTTGGGGGTTCAAAATATACTAACGGAAAAACGTCACTGTACTCCATAAAGTGGTGTATATGTTTTTATGTCATTGAATGAGTGAGTGAGTATGGTTTTACGCCGCTTTTAGCAATATTCCAGCTATATGACGGCGGTCTGTAAATAATCGAGCCTGGACCAGACAATCCAGTGATCAACAGCATGAGCATCGATCTACGCAATTGGGATACGATGACATGTGTCAGCGAGCCTGACCACCCGATCCCGTTAGTCGCCTCTTACGACAAGCATGGGTTACTGAAGATCAATTGTAACCCGGATCTTCACGTGTTGTATGGTATAACACCTTTGTCAGCGATATCAATATAGGGATAACCCTTGGGTTGGTACAAGCCTTGAAGGTGCAACAGTGGAGCATGGAAGACACAAGATGATTGACAACAGCCAGGGAGATGTTGTTCCAAATGTCAACAAAAGAACTACCCAGATTAGCTACCGTTGCTGATCTGGTTCACTGACTCCAAAAAAGGTTTACATGTGGAAAGGAAAAATATGAAAAGAAGTAGAAATGTTAGTCCGCCGAGCATAAACAAGTAAAATGTTATTAACATATATAGATCATGTGAAATTATACCATCAAAAAGTGTTCAGATTTGTTCTTAAGACTTCTAAACTCGATGAATAATGAAGAATAAGGACTGATCATAAAGTATAGATTCAACTAGGGGCATTCTGTGTGAGGGTTCGGGTGTAATGGTGATCATGAGTATTTGCATACATGTACTATTATATGAATAGGTTGTGTACGGCCCTGTGGAAAGTGAAAACATGAAATTGTCGAAAGTCTGTGGCACATAATAATCTTAGAACACCTGTAATGAGCATATATCCATGGCTGATTGCATGCTCACAGCGCACAGTGAGAAAAGGCTTGAGAGAAGAGATAGGTCTTAAGTCGTGACATAAAGAGTCAAGTCTGTACAGCCTCTCAGGTATTGTGGCAGGCTGTTCCATAGGATTGATGCTGCATAAGTAAAAGTGCCTTTGCCATGTTGTGATGTTCTTACTTTTGTTACAGTTAACAGGGTTTTATTTTCTGAGCGAAGGCGTCTGCCTGCAGTATAAATTTCTACTAGTTCCTGAAGATAAGATCGTGCAGTATGATGAAGATATTTGAAAACGAGGCAGAGGATTTTGAAAGAAATTCTGTGGTCAGTGGAGCTGTGGAGCCAGTGGAGCTGTTATAGAAGAGGAGTGATGTGGTCAGTTTTGCGTGTTAGAGTCCCAATTTGTGCAGCAGTGTTCTGGACACACTGAAGTTGGTAAAGCTGAGCTTTAGTTGCGCCGGAGAGGAGACTGTTGCAGCAGTCCAGTCCGAACATCACCAGTGAAAGGACTAAAATAACAGCAGACTTTTTAGTTAGATATTTTCTTACAGATCCAATGTTTCATAGTTGGAGGAAACACAATTTCACAACATTTGTGACATGACTGTTTAAAGAAAGATCCGAGTCACTTGTGACATAAACGTTTCTTCAACACGTTGGTTTGTTGTTTGGTTGGTTGGTTGGTTAACGTCGCACATAGCAATATTCAAGCAATATGGCGGCGGTATGTAAATAATCGAGTCTGGACCAGACAATCCAGTGATATACAGCATGAGCATCGATCTGCGCAAATGGGATACGATGACATGTGTCAACCAAGTCAGCGAGCCTGACCACCAGATCCCGCGCGGCCGTTAGTCGCCTCTTACGACAAGCACGAGTTACTGAAGATCAATTCTAACCCGGATCTTCACGGCTTCTTTAACCACGTAGATATATGTACAAACAAGAATCACTATGTGCCAGGTCAGCACAGTGGTAGCCATCGTTGTGCCCCGGGGCACGTAACCCAAGCCTGAAATATGGGCGACACCTTCCCCTCTATCGTCTCAAGCCTAAGGTGGTATGACACAAACGAAATACAATCAATATAGTGAGACGTGAAATAGTTGCACAGCTCGTTCTTGATGGCTGTCAATCTACAATGCAATGTGGATTTTATGATTAGCATGTAATGGCAACATGACATCATGGCGACAGGGTAATTAGCCTATGCAATAAAATGGTCATTCCGGCGAAGGTCCCAAATAGGTCGTTATATCACACGCCAGAATGTACTTTAGCATTAAACAACAAAACCAGCCCTGACAATTCAGGAAATCAAAGTTAAGTTGAAAAATTTGATTTTTCAAAACATCATTTTCGACTGTCAGGTCAAGAGGTGAATTTCTAATCTTACGATAAAGACAGAATATGGGTAGAACATACATGTTTGTATCAGATAAAATGACATTTCCTCATGTCGACTTTGTCGCCAGTCAGGCCAAGAGGTCACACATGCTTATCCCGAGTTCAGAAGACACGTTCTCTAATGTATATACTCTGGTAACCACGTGCTTAAGGTGTCACTAACCCCAAGCCATTAACTACGTGTATAATGTCTCCCAGAGATTAAGTCAATGACTTTGGGGATATTAGCATAATATTACGTACCCTATAATCCTCGACACAAGTCTAGCCTACCGGACATCACAGAAAGACAACAAAGAAACATTAATTAAGGTTATGAGTGAGTGAGTATGGTTTTACGCCTCTTTTAGTAGTATTCCAGCAAAATCACGACGGGGAACACTAGACATTGTACTCATGGGAAATCCAACCCGGGTCTTCGGCGTGACGACCAAACACTTTAACTACAAGGCTACCCCACATCCTGCTGTTAGGTCATGAAACTCGTGTTCCTCTCTTAAAGCGTCGGTTCTAAAGCCAATGAAATATGAAAAAGCGCTGGGCCTCTTCGTTTGCATACATGTGCATATCCTCCATTGAGAGAATAATTTTTAAATTAACTATTATTTGGTTTGCATGAAATAATTGAAATGGCAAATTACATTTTTTCCAATGAAATAAAGTGAAATAGAGGTGGTGAATTACATAAGATGAAAGAATTAATCTGTATAGCGACAGTAACCAAAGAATTAATCCCATCGCAGAAATAGACATTTCTGATTAATCCACTGAATGTACTTTATCCAGATATAGCATGCCATTTTAATGTTTATGATCTTAATATTAGGCCTTATATTGCTATTGCGTAAGTTTGTAGAGGTGAAAACATACTTATGATAAGTAAGGTCAAGCAATGTGTTACCAGTCGGATCTTCAGCCTTTCCGAAGGCGCTGTTTCCACGCTTGATTTGGCCTTATCCATGCTTAGAGCTGTCGGTAGAGCCCGTGGTGAGATATCGGATTTCTTAAGCCCACGGTCACTGTTGCCATGCCGCTAAGAAGCAAGGGAGATAACTCTTCCTAATGACGTCAGGCTTACCTCTGCTCTCTCTCATGTTACGATTCAGGTTTTGAATGATTGCACCAGTGAAATACATAACGATTGATAACAATCACATAAAATGTGTTTGCTGAGATGTAATTCGTAAACACATTCAATGGCACTGATGTTGCCAATAGTGAATAGTAGTATAATGCGATTATCATTTAATTTAATAATTGAGGAAGAACAATTTCATTATCAATACTAGTTATTTTAAAATCATAAAAAAAAACAAGTCACATTGAAATTGAAATAAGCAGTTAATTGTCAAAAGGACTAGATATATAGATCAATATTATGAATCCTAAGGACGGAGCCAATTTGTTACGTTAATACCTATATAAATATTATCTGAATATCCCAAAACTGATTGCCAGACTATACATTCAAAAACTTGACAGCTGTTTCCATGCATATGTTGTGTAAATTAATACCTGCATTATATGCAAGCATGATTGTACAGACAGTTTGTATAAAGTCGCTTTCTGTAATTAACTCTTGACATATTTCCTATATCTCCATCCACATCCATCTGTTAGAGACCCGAGAAGATCCGGGTTAGAATTGATCTTCAGTAACCCATGCTTGTCGTAAGACGTGACTAACGGGATCGGGTGGTCAGGCTCGCTGACTTGGTTGACACTTGTCATTGTATCCCATTTGCGTAGATTGGTGCTCATGCTGCTGATCACTGGATTGTCTGATCCAGACTTGATTATTTACAGACCGCCGCCATATAGCTGGAATACTGCTGAGTGCGCCGTAAAACTAAACTCACTCACTCAACCCACCTGTTAGGCCCACCATATATATGTAAGTGATGCCTTGGGTGGTGGGCATCCTTTCTCAGATTACTGAATTCTTCTGAACGCAGGACGCCGAGTCCTGTGACTTCCGGATGCCAATTTCAGTACGCCAGATTCCCTAAATTTATCTATGTTTTGTCTTCTTTCGTGCAGAGCAGGGGCGGATACAGCTTTTGAGAAAGGGGGGGGGGGGGGTGCACACTATTGAGAAAAGGAGGGCTGCACACTTCAATTTCACCCGAGTTTCAATGGTCATTTAACAAACTTTGAGCACAAAAGTGGGGGTGCGCACCCCTGCACCCCCCCTCTGGATCCGCCTATGCAGAGCGTGACAAAGCAATAGGATAATTAGCCCTGGGTTTATGAGCTCCATGGTCATGCATTCCAAGAACAAAACCGACTCTATAATTCACTTTTTTGTATGATGTGTGTCAACTGACTCAAAATTCTTAAATTGGACGCCAAGACGAATTAAGCGGTGTATGCCGGATGTGTGGAGTGGGAGGTTTGACTCTCTCATATGCACACATATGCACCCTTACAATTCCGCTTAGAAATCATATTTAGCAACCCATACTTATCCTTAGAGGCAGCTAACGTCATCGGGTGTCTTGCTTGCTGTCTGGGGCGGTGGGGTAGCCTAGTGATTGAAGCGTTCGCTCGTCACGCCGAAGACCCATGCAGGTTCGAATACCCACATGGGTAAAATGTGTGGAGCCCATTTCTGGTGTCCCCCGCCATACTCACTCACTCGCTTGCTTGCTGTCTTGACTGATTGATGTCAACGCATCCTAATGCTCATGATTGAGTCGATTATTTCCAGTCCGCCGGCCGTTATATATCTGGTATTTTACTGAGTGCGGCGTAAAACAATGTTCAGCTTGCAGTAGCAATTACCATCTAGCATGATACATCTATATTCGCTGAAAGATAACTCGGATATCTTGTTATCGAAAGTGGGAAAACGCAAGTCACGCTTCATGCAGATGTATGATAACGCTATCTCCCATAATAGTTTCAGTAACGGCCTGTATGCTCTAGACTATATTCATTTCGTACACTTCCTTGTGAAATGCTTTGTTGTTTTTATTTGTGCATTTCCCTTTTATATTTAGATAGTTTTTACCTTAAAGAATAGAAAGGTTGTATGGTGTATGTGGTTTGAATAAACATTACCGACATTTCTGGCGAAAAGAGGCGGTGGGGTAACCTAGTGGTTTTAAAAAGCGTTCGCTCGTCACGCTGAAGGCCCGTGTTCGATTCCCCACAAGGGTGGAATTTAATGTGTGAAGCCCATAGCTGGAATATTGGTAAAAGCTGCGTAAAACCATACTCATGCTCTTTGGCGAGCAATTCACTGTGCTCATATATGTAAAAAGGGTTTTTTCGCACAATTCCCAGATATTCGTGTTGATAGGAAATATTTATCTAATCATATCATACTTATCCGCGATCTTATATGTGTGAAAAGTAATTTTCTAGACCTTGAAATAAGGCTAAAAGTATTTTCTTTAGACGACATAAAATACATATTACGTTTCTCCGACGTAGTCTGTCTCACATTATTTTCCCTACTGAATAGCTCACCCTGCAATGCTAAAGCAGTAAATGAAGCAAGTCTAGATTTCCTCAGGTTTCCTATCGTGTTGGGATCCTCGTCAGTTTAAATGAGTTTATTTGTTACTATCCAAATTATTTATATTCAGAGACTAAGCGTCTAAATCTAAGTACTATACTGCAATGACAGACACTCCTACACTCGTACACTCGCACTAGACGTGGTAAACAATATTCAATATCATGCGAATTTGTACGGTGACAATGTCTTCTATAAAATAATTAACAATTAGTTTCGGTCTGATTGTAGTTATGACTATCAACAATGTTGGCAGTGAGAATTTTGACCCACTTTTAGACAACAGAAGACTCAGTGAACGGACTGGAGTGTTCGACCTCGTGTCAGCCTATACAAGGAACTAAGTCAAGCTGAGGGAAATCTCCTTGAAACACGTGTTTTGACATATCAAGTTTTGTTTTATACTCCAGTGAAATGATTGTTGTATTCTAAGTACAAATGAATGTTATGTAATCCGTGACGTAAGTACTGCTAATAATTCCTGTGAAACCAATAGACGCAAGAAATTGTCATTGTCAAAAGCACGTGTTTTCTCATTTCAAGTTGAGCAGCCCTTTAAGACTTACATTATTCAGGCTGGTGATGATATGACCTTTCGCCTTCCATTGCCAACCAATCGGATTAGCGATCAGAAGGTGTCATACGTCATGTGACTGTGAGGGCCAATCAGAATTTAAAAAGGGGAGAAAAGCCGTTCCCTTTGCAACGTGGGGTGTAGTTGAGGCAGTCTTCTACCTGTGCAGTGGCAAATATTTTCTCTTCATCAAGGTGGGTAATACTCTGAAAATAAATTAAGAGGAGATTTTTTGTATTTCGGATAGTGTTATGTACAAGTACATGTGTTTATATACAAGAAATACCCAGTACTTACCTCTTCTTTTTCTAAAATCTTTAGCCGGTAGACACTGTAAAATGTCAATGTCATGAACCACTTCGCAAGGTTGAATTTGTGCATATTTCCTTTACACTACAATAGTTTGGGTTTGATTTAGTAAGTAGTGTTTTATGTTAGTGGTTCTTGACAATTCAACAGCAGCATTGAAACCATTTCCTCCACGGACATACATTAACGAGAACATTGATCAAATGACCTCATCAGTTCACGGAATGCTGTGCCGCCGACAACTGAACAGAGCTTCTGCAGCGTTCAGCTTGAGAATAAGGCCCTTCTGTTGCGTTTGAAGCTATTTCAAGTTCGTTGCTGTGCTTTAATTGCTCTGAATAATTATTTTGAACAAGTTCATATGCGTCATGCGGACAGTCGAGATTGCCCTTGGATAGAACTAAATACATCAAGTACAAACATGCAGCCCAAAACTAACCGTGGAAATACTTAGCGTAAGGTGTTAGGATAATTTAACGAACAGGACATCTGAGTGTCCCTGTTCACTGGTCCTGTGTGTATGAAGAAGTAACAGGCTGTAGAAAGTAAGCACACAAATCTCGCGAGCTCTGCCATTTGTAATGATTTCTTTTCCACCTCTACAGATCTGTGAAGGGCAGAATATAACCTGATGCCATTTTGTTTTATTGCTTAACAGCAAGTGATCCCTTAATTATGCATAAATGAATGAAATTATTTTGTGGGAGTTACTGAAGGACAGTTTGATATCTAGTGATAAGTGTCTCTACATATTCAGCATGTTGTGTACCCTTTGACAATACATGCCTAACTAAAGGGAGAGCAAAGATCTCTGGTTCCTAGTTAAATTATCCATTCCCAGATTGAAACCCTATTGCAGCAATTATCATGCTCCACCTCTAATTTAAAACTTGCTAATTGTATGTTTCAGATGTCTAAAAAGCCAAAGCTTGGATTCGCTGAAAACTTCATGCTCAGCGGTATTGCTGCTGCAGTATCGAAGACAGCTGCTGCCCCCATTGAAAGAGTGAAACTCTTGGTCCAGAATCAAGATGAGATGATCAAAGCTGGACGTCTTTCAGAGCCATACAAAGGAGTGGTGGACTGCACTCTTCGTACATTCAGAACAGAAGGAATCCTGCCATTCTGGAGAGGAAATTTGGCCAACTGCATCAGGTATTTCCCCACCCAAGCTCTCAACTTCGCTTTCAAGGATCAAATCAAGATTCTGTTCAAGGCAAGTAAAGCAGATTCCAATGCGCTGAAGTTCGGGAAAAATATTGCCTCAGGTGGTGTAGCTGGAGCCATGTCCCTATGCTTCGTCTACTCACTGGACTATGCCCGTACCCGATTGGCTAATGATGCCAAGTCAGCTGGAAAGGGTGGTGGTGAACGTCAGTTCAATGGTCTTGTTGATGTGTACAGGAAGACCCTCAAATCAGATGGCTTTGTTGGATTGTACAGAGGTTTCGTCATCTCCTGCGTGGGCATCATTGTCTACAGAGGATGCTACTTCGGCTTTTACGACACCCTGAAGCCAATACTCCTCGGTGACAGTAACAGCTTGGTTCTGTCATTTATGTTGGGCTACACTGTAACCATCAGCGCTGGATTACTGTCCTACCCCATTGATACGATCAGAAGGCGTATGATGATGACCTCTGGCCAGGCTGTCAAGTACAAGGGATCCATGGACTGCGCTGTCCAGATCGTCAAGAACGAGGGCTTCATGTCCATGATGAAGGGAGCTGGTGCCAACATTCTCAGAGGTGTTGCTGGTGCTGGTGTATTGGCTGGCTTTGACAAGTTCCAAGAGCTGTACATCAAGTGGCGAGTTGGGGCCTAATGTTAGTGGTTTCTAGGCCACATGATTTAGTTTATCATTTTTGATTGTTACATTTAGGACATTATCCCAGTGAAGGGATATCTGCTCAGGAACAGTCAAAAGCTTGGAACTATTTATAACATTGTTTTTTTCCTGATGGTAATCATCCATGAATCTCACATTTAGTTCAGTTTCACAATTTTTGCCTTTGTGCAAAGTCAAAATTTGCATTGTTACATAGTGAGAGTGTTTGTGCTAGGTTGTCAAGGTCCAGACTCATTTATTTCCATGGTTTTTCAAAATCAAGCGAGTTGGATGTTGCGATATTAAGTAATCAAGATGTGAGAGTCAGACAGAAAAATAAACAATACTAAATACACAACTTGGTTGTTTTGAGTGTTCAAACTGATTGCATTTAAGGTCATCCAACATGTGTTTCATCCCCCAGCATAGTGTTGGGAATTGGAAACCAAATCCACTATTGATTATCGGAGGATTGTGGTGGACGATTATAGATTATAATCGAAATATATACATTTTTAATGAAATCACCAATTTGAAGGGTTTTTCCCTCAGGTTTTTTCTAATAAATGTTCCTTATAACTAATACTGTCATACAATGAAATGCATACATGCAAGAAAGACACTGGAATTGTAATTAAACATTAAAAGTAGTTTAACAATTGATAATCATTTTTAATCCTTTTGAACGATTTTCGATCATCGGAACACCACTACCCCAGCAGGAAGTGAAAACATCGTGGGCACTGAACTGATAAAGGATTGTTATTAGTCAAATGATCGGTTCCCAATTGTGCAGATTGATGCTCATGCTGTTGATCACTGGATTGTCTGATCCAGACTCTATTTACAGGCTGCCGCCATATATCTGGAATATTGCTAAGTGCGGCGTAAAACTTAACTCACTCACTCGCTATTGGTCAAATGGTTTCAAGACTGTGCTCAGCAGATCCAGGCATAGCTAAAGGATTTACACTGCATGGAATTCAGTCTTTTGACATGGTGACAACACTTGCCCCTTGAGCACTGTTAATGCTCTGAATTATTTCAATGACATGGAGTAGCCTAGTGGTTAAAGCGTTCTCTCCTCCCCACGAGTACAGCGTGTGAGGCCCATTTCTGGTATACCCTGATATTGCTGGAATGTTGCTAAAAGCGACATAAAAACTAAACTTGCTCACTCATTAAGTATGAGACTAAAACGGATTGTTCTGAGTGGCTCGGACTCGGATTATGGAGTTAAAGTATTACGTCAGAACTTGTAGAGTTGGAACGTACAAACTCTTACGCAACATTTTATTCCATCGGGGAACATCTGGCCTGGCTAAGTCCAGTAACAAACCATTTTAAGTCTGCTTAAATTGGACAGTCATGCTGGGGACATTTTACTGTGGAATACCCATTGTTCAATTGTTCTTCAGATGGTAAAATACAAAAGGATTAAGGGAAAGACAAAAACATCATAAACCTACACATGTCCATACAAAGTCGAAGCAAGATGGCGTGGTTTCTCTTCAGAATGTGAGGACTTGCAAGCTAGCATGTGGACATGGGTGAATATTCGAAATTCTTTCTGAAGTGTGAAAGAGTTTGCTTTCTCTTTGGCAGAGATGTACAATTCAACATGTGAATCTGCACCTCCGGTCTTGTAGAATTCAGAATCTGCTGTGATGGCATGAAAAGCAAGCCAGAATCCATCGTTCATGTTTAGTTCCACATTGTTTTTCACATACATTTTAAACAGAGAGAGTACCCTACCATTGGAACCTTACCATACACTGAATCACCATGTGTCAGACCAATCAAACTGCCTGCATTTTGAGGTATGATACTGCATGAAATGGAAACATGCATAGACTGACATAAGTACATGCATGTTATCTGATTTTAGAAAATTTGTATTGTATAACATGCTACCCGTGAAGGTCCGGGTTAGAATGAACCTTCAGTAACCCATGCTTGTCGTAAGAGGCGACTAACGGGATCGGGTGGTCAGACTCCCTGGCTTGGTTGACACATGTCATCGGTTCCCAATTGCGCAGATCGATGCTCATGCTCAATATATCCAAGTATACGACTGACCTGTTAAGGTCTGGTATAGAATTGGTCTTCAGTAACCCATGCTTGTTGTAAGAGGTGACTAATGGATTGGGTGGTCAGACTCGCTGTCTTGGTTGACACATGTCATCATATCCCAATTGTGTAGATCGATGCTCATGCTGTTGATCACTGGATTGTCTGGTCCAGACTAAACTAACTCACTCTAGTATATCATGCATTCTTACTGAAGTTTCGTAAAATCAGTAAGACATGTGAGCGTAATTTATTGCCCATTTTTTATCCAATTGAGTTCCTTTACAGGTAGATGCACTGATCACAACCTCAAGCTTGAGACCCAAACGGTCTTCAGCTAAATACTTATATGAACATTTTAAAACTTACTATTTTCTGTTGGTAATATATTTGTTCACTCTGGAAGGTTTCAACTAAAAAGACCAGTCTGAAATAACCCAGCTTGGCCCAGTCACTGAGCCTGATCACTGATCCTTTCAGTTGCCTCTTACAAGAAGCAGACACATGGGGAGCTATATTTTTGCCTGTATATAGTAAGAGACCCTGGTATATTAATTGCAAGATCTTTTAAAATGATGGACACATTTCTTTACAGTGCAAGATTTTCACTGTATTGTAACAAATAGTATCACTACATATCTAGCTTTGATTTTGTACACACCACTGCCAACCAAATGTGAGAAAGAATGGACACAGCTGGCTTTCTGGGTTCTAGTTCTGATGTTACCAATTTTCCAACAAATTAAGTTTATGTTTCTTTTACTTTAACAGTATTTCTATAACTGCTAATTCTTGTATTAATTGTATGTACATGGATGACAATGTGTATGAGTGAAAAAAGGAAAATGAGCCAGGGTCTTGGGGGCCACAGGTTTAGACCATTCACAAGAATGACCCATGCGCGATCAATTCAATGGAAAATTCTTATCCCTGTATATAAGACTTCATCTGAGTCTGTCTGCTGTTTTTAAACAACAAAACAGCATTCCAAACACACATTAACCCAACATTAACCTGAACATTTATTTTCAATATACTAACTTTCTTCTTCACTGTCACTGTAATTAGAAATGAGAGCACCCAGCGCATTTTGAGCTGTTCCCACATCCATTTTGTTATCACATTTTGAATCCATTGGAATACTGTTCTGTTGTTCCATGTTTTGACAGCTTGGTAAGGATATCACATTCACACCAGCAGTTTCAGTTGAGTTGCTCTGTAAAGTGGGCTGCACTTCAGGGCAGTAGGATCCGGAACTATCGCTCTCCACATCACTGTAAGATATCACAGTCGATCTTGTACTTCCATTGTTACTTGAATGAAATGGCTCAGGGTTTTCTACTGATTTTTTCCTGATGCCTAAAGCATGCGCCTTTGACAGCCTAATCATGGATGGAGAATCAAATGGATTTTTGCTGCCTCCAACTGGAGAAATTCCAAGTTTCTTCTTAATTACTGCTGATCGGCTTGCCTGTGGCATGTTTGGAGATGTGTCAGTTTTGAGCAGTTTGTTACTTGGTTCAAATATTGGACGACTTTCAATAGCCTTCCTCTTCTGTTTCTGTTTTTCATCGTAAGCTGAAATACACATGAAACGGGGCTCAGTGCAAATACAAAACATTGTTCAGTGAAAGGACTGCATGTTCACGTCTAACACCTCTATTCACCAACACAAAGCAATACATAGGATAATAGGTGACAAGTGACAGCAGAAATACTTCTTCAGGATTAAAAGGTTCAGTTATCACATGGTTATCGTAACAAGAAGAAATTCACAGACCTACTGTTTTGGTTGTTTTATATTGACATTACACTGTCACAAGTCGTCTATTTTGGCAATCTTAGTACCTGGGGTGTGTGGTTTTACACTGCTTAAAGCACATTCTAACAATATCACAAAGGACAGGATGAGAGAAAAAGGCTTCACACACTGTACCAATGTGGGGAATCAAACTAAGGAAATATTTGTGATGCGCAGTTGAACAACAAGGCTGTCCCCTGTTGTTTATATACCAAGTTGATTACTGCATACTTATAAATTTGCATTATGATATATTTCCTAAACACATTCCTGCATTCTCATTATAGTAAGTACCAACTAAGTCTGCATCGGTGTACACAGTTTGTTAGTCACACATCATGACATGAATGTATGCTACAAAACCAAATGAAAAACAAGAGTCATCAGAAGATGACAAATCCCCCCGGCCCCCACAAATTTGAAAGAACAAATCATCTGACAGTTGCTTCAAGTCCAACTTGATATGAGAATTTCTGTCTTGTGTGTCTGGCCGTATACAAGAGTAGTTATTGAGCTATGACTGACTGACTGAGTTTGGTTTTACGCCGCTTTTAGCAATATTCCTGCAACATCACGGCGGGGGACACCAAAAATGGGCTTCACACATTGTGCCCATGTGGGGATTCGAACCCGGGTCTTCGGCGTGACGAGCCAGTGCTTTAACCATTAGGCTACCCCACTGCCCCTATTGAGCTATGAAAAAAATAACATGGAATTTGGATTCGTAACTTTGTACTTCTATGTCAGGTACACACCAATATCAAAGTCAAAGGAAAAAATACACATTTTAAAAATTCCCGTAAGGCAGCAGTTGACAACCTGGTCTTTGTGCACAGTTTCATGAAAGAATACCAAGTACTCTTTTGCGATATGGATGTCATGAAAAATAAAAATGACTAAAATCAGCAAAAGGCACCAGTTCAGGATCTGTTAGACATATCTGCCAAGTTTTGTTGAAGGATATTGAACGTTTTTCAGGTTTTGCTCCGGAAACGAAATGATTACGGACGGACGGACAGACAAGGCATTGACTATATCATTATATACTGGGGGAATAATAAAATCAAAAGAAACTATAACACTATGGAGTATGCATGTATGACCGACTACTGACTGGTCCATTGTGGCCAGATAGTAGCTGGCTCTGTGTTATTTCTGCTGGCTACAGACCAGAGGAACAAAGTCTAAGATAAGAAGTTGACAACAGAAACTAGTGAGAACCTACACTCTGTGACTGAGTACTTGATGAGGCCAGCCATTTTCCGGTCCTGGTCTTCTTCGTCCAGCAGCTTGATGTCCAGTGATGACTTGTCCAGTAGTGACCGGTCACTAGACTCACTGGCCTTGATTGCCTTCTTCTCTTCCTAAGAAGAACAGATCAAATCATGTAAGACTAGATACATAAATGGGTGTTGTTCCCAAAACAGCAATTCCCCAAACTATATTTGAATAGTTGTTTTGGTTTATTGATTTTGCTAATTAAATGCAGACAAATCTATCAGTATCAGCTGCTTCCTTTGTCTGCTTTGTCTTCCTAATCTTGATATAGCCCCCTACTAAAACGAATTAAGGATAAATATTCAAAGTTGCTTGTTTAGGTAATGGGTAATCCATTAAACATGTTGCTTGTTTATTCCAACTGTTAATCAACATTGTCAATAATACAGAAATCTGAAAAAACCCATGCCTAATTCACCAAGAATTAGCTCTGAAACGTTGTATAAAGAATAAAAAGAAGTTGTTATTAAAAAAAACGTGTCATGTATTCATTTTCATCCAACTTCTAAATGCCTTTCCAGAACTTTCTTTGTTTGGTCTGACCACCTGACCCCCATCAGTAGCCATTGACAACAACCCTGAGTGGCTGAACGCCAGATCTAATCATAAAGTATTGATAAATTAAACCTGGATCCAATCAGTCAGCTACACATATCTCATTCAGTGATATGTTTTCAACACAAAGATCATGACTACCAAATTGAAATTTCTTTGCATATTATTTGCACTTATATAGCACCTGCCTGATGATTTTTGACCACAAGGTGCACCCTCCTGTATCCATGAAAGAAACCAATCTAAATTGAACTGCAGAAAGTAAATGCCCTTCATATGTATTTAGGTCACATGCTAGTTGAGGTCTTCAGTCTATTGCTAGTGCTCAATGACTTCCTCAGGAGCTAATGCCAGTATTTTATATGAGTGAGTGATACTTCCATCATCTTGGACTATCTGCATTTTCTAGGAGGAAAGTCCAAGGTGATGTAGTTCTTGTATTTTTCCTGAAACCCCACAGCATGAGTCTGATTCTTTCAAACCTACGAAATGGGATTCATTCTGGCATGTCAAAGGGGAGGCAACTCTACACAGCAAAATTACTCTTTGCCATCAACAACTTCACCACAACCGAGAGTCTGTGAAGGCTTTTATAACATGTTTATAGTAGAGAGAGGTTATGCTAGGAGGTTTTAGTCACCAAATAATATTGACAGCTTCAGAGGGTGATAAAGACAAATACTATTCATTTTTCACTCATTAAATATTGGGCATTTTAGGAATAATAATTTTATATAAGCTACCTCTCCTGCATCAAATGACTTGTTCCTCACAGACTTGATTTTGTTAAATGTTCACTGCTAGACAATAAAAATGAATTAAAAATTTAAAAATTCAGGACATGATGTTTTAACGGTGATCATCTCTGAAGTAGTGCTGGTGGGGTTAGAACAAATAAAATTTATAACAAAACATGTTCTTCAAAAATACTGAGTTTTAACCAGATTGGTTAACCAACTACATGTACTTCTGAGTTGAAGGTGACTGTCACAGATGATTATTGGGTAGTAGATAAGGTTGTAACTGGAGTGAATGAGTGAGTGAGTGAGATGATACTGTTTTATGCCACATCATTTAGCAAACAATCACTATAAATGACATTGGTACCTTGTGCAACAAAAATATGAGTCTGCTAAACTGAAATTTGTCACTTACCATCATTTTCTTAGATTTTAGTATCATCAAATGACCACAATCACCCAAGGATACTTAAGCAAAGACTATTTTACCAGACTCAGACTTCTGACTAGTGGATGATGTCACAGACTTTAAGACGACACAATATTTCAACTATTTGTCGACTGCCTAAAATTAATCACGTCTGGACTAGACAATCCAGCAATAGACACAGTGAGCAATGGTGTATGTTCAGGATACCAGAATATCCTATCAACAAAGTCACTGAGCTTGACCACCAGATCCATTTGGATGAACTTTTCTAACAAGGAATGTCCACAAGGCTATAGCATCATTTCCCATGAAACTGCACTAGGTGATGATAACTGGATAAAGGCAGCAGTAACAACGCACACCCACGCCACAGTTTTCCTCAACTCACTCTGAATTTCTCTAGTAGGGCCTTGTTGAGGAGGTAGTCTTCCTTCCAGTCTTCGCGGCTCTCCTCGATGTGGTTCAGGTTGTGGTGAATCGATCTTCCTCTTTGATGGTCGTCGGACCCATGTTCCAGTTTGTACATAGCATCTGTAGCCAGCTTCTTTTGTGTTGCCTTGTCTACCAAAATACATTGTCAGTCTATGATTAATATCTCAAACATATTATATCTCAGTGGTGGAAATAACCCATTGCCTGACCTCCCAGTCCAGAGGGGTTTTTTTTGTTGGGCAAGCAAATTTGTATATCACGCTGTACTGGTGTCCAGTTGACTTTCCAATGTTAATTATGTTGCTTATTTCTAAAAATCAACAAGAAAATCATCTGGTATGGTGAAAAAATTATCAGGGCAAGTGATGTAACATGTGTCACTGTACCGGAGTACACTAGCAATTTTAAAGTTATTCCAACCCCTGTATCTACTTGCAAAGACCCTACGATGACATCATATTTTCTCAATGCTATACTGGTTGGTTGTTGTTTAACGCCATACTCAGCAGTATGGCGGCCGTCTGCAAAGAATTGAGTATGGACCAGACAACCCTGTGATCAACAGCATGAGCATCGATCTACACAATTGGGATATGATGACATGTGTCAACCAAGACAGCGAGCCTGACCACCCGATCCGATGGTCACCTCTTACGACAAGCATGGGTTACTGAAGGCCAATTCTAAACCAGACCTTCACAGGTCAGTCCTATACTTGGATTCGAAAATCAGTCCTTTTGATCTATGGCTGGAGGCATTGGTTCAAATGATCAAGGAGGATAAACCCTTTCACAAGCTGACAAAGTAAGGACATTCTATGTAGGATGACAGCAAACCCCACGTCACAATAGCTCTCACACATACTTCATGATGCCTAGGAGTCATTTTCACTTCATAAGTCTGATGTTATATCTTAGGATTTAATCACATTACCACATAGTAAAGGCAATATTTAAAGAATATATCAGAAGAAAAATAGAAAATCATTAGACTATTTCTTTAATTTTGATCTTAATCAAGAGGAAGCCTTCAAAATCAATGTTTAATTACAATAATGAATTATACTCATTATTTATTTTTTTGTTAGAAGAAGCACATCAGTTTACCATGCAGAGTTCATAATTTGGTTAACACTTCAACAACTAAAAATATGTTTGTTTTTCACAACATTTCAATGTCAAACATTAGTGTAAGGCTGATTTTAGACTAACGCTTAGTTGCTGATTATATATAACTTTGATACTTAGTAACAAATAATCCCATTTAACTTGAAAAGGAGCCCCAGTGAGTTGGGGGATTCAGGCCTGAACCTGGGGAAATCTAGACTTGCTTCATTTAGGGCTTAACCATTGCAGGGAGGACTAGGCAATAGGGAAAATAATGTGGTTCAGGGACTGTGAGACAGACTAGGTTGATTTTTACATGCCAGTTTATATTTCAAAACTAAAAACATGAGTATCTTCCACCCAGTGTATATTATGGCCCCCTCACCAGTCTAAGTGCCAAACAGCTGTCATATTGGCAACAATATATGGTTTTCAAACTGAATTAGCTGACCTTCTGGAACAATCTGTTCATTTTCCTTAGGGTCCCATCTCTGTTCCTTCCGCCTGGCACCTGATAGGATGACGTAGTCATGATTCTGGTAACAAAAGGGAAACCGGTACTCAAAGGCATTTGTTAGGAATAATCATCTTACAGACAATGCAAGTAAACATTAAGCTGTAGTACATAGATATTCTTTTGCAGCTAACAGCAGCTGACTGCTGGGCTCCATGTTGCTACCTAATGCTCACACTGTGACCACCCGATCCCCACTTTAGCAGCTACCATGTCTGTTTTTTCCAGGAAGCCCATCAGGAGGGAATTATTAGGTAATTCTTTAGAGAACAGGAATTCCAAATCTACCTTTGGGTCTGTCTGTATCTCAAAGTAGTTGTCACACAGATGGCATTTCATTCGGAACTTGTAGATTGGTGTTGAGTAATAGTTGCCAGTTTTACTCTTCTCCGCATTGTAGCGGACACCCATACCGATATGACTGTTACACCCACCACACCAGATGTTGTAGGGCATCTCGAATCTGGACGTAACACAAGTCAACAAATACACAACTGCATGAAACATGTAAAAAACAATTAATCCGTAATAGTATACATTTCGAGACATAATGCATCTGTCAAAAAATAACTGCAGTCTTACTACTAGGCTGAATTTTCCTCTTCAGATCATTTTCAATCGATATTCATTTTCATGTTATTGTATTGACAACTACTTGCTGAGTTTACTGTAAGAAAGATGCTACTAGGCTCTGGCTTCAAGCAAGACACTACTAAATAGTTAATGTATCCTGATGATTACCATTTCTTGTACTAGATGGTTTGTTTACATTTCAGCATAATAAACATTAGCAATATTAAAACACATACTATTATCTCATATTAGTTTCTATTGCAACTGATGTTTTTACCTGATGACCAAAATACCCTGGCCCAGCTTGCGGGCACGCTCTCTGAGTGGGTGTTGACCGACATATTGGTTGATAGAACCTTTCGAGGGGTCCCAGTCCGGAGGGTAGTACTTATTTACTGCCTTTCTCTCAGCCTGAAAGAAACAAGGAACTTGGAAATTTGTCTTTTCTTAAATTGTCACTTTGTATGTTTTCAGACAGCAGTGTTTAAGCTATAACAAGGTGTGTTGCTTCACACATTGTAAGTAGTCAGATGATGGCTGGTGATTAAGATGCAGTTGTTCATAGATTTAGCGAGAAAACATTGGATGTATCTGAAAACCTGCAACAACAGTGTATGAAATAAGGCCTGTCCGACCGCCCGAGACGGGCTAGATTTCTGACGGACAGACTAATTTTACAGCTCGCCAGCCCGATGGTCTGGTAAATTTGTTTTAGATATTCCAAACATCTGAGTAAATTCACAATATCTTGGTGTATGGTCTGGTTAAATCCATTTGAGGCTGGTAACATTTTGAAGTTACCAGCCCTGATGTCTGGCTGGGTTTTTGGCTTATTTCATACACTGATAACAATATGAAACCTAGAAAAAAAAGCTGTTTACATTGAACTGTTTATAAATGCCAGTTATCGCTTTGTAATAACAGTATCAAATAAATAACTGAAAATTCGGCTCTAATCGTGTATTGATGTCCAATACATTACCTATCCCTAAATAATGTTTTCATTTGGAAATATAGACCTTTCATTATCATGGTTTTCCCATATATTTGTGGCACATTTGGTGACATCTCCCAACCTTACCCAGCCACTCACACTTTTTCTGAGTCATTTTTCATGAAAAAAACTCTATCTCAACCATTACTCCCTATCCTAATAATAAAAGACCAGTCCCTAGTTATCTACTTCTACTGTTACTAGAAACATATATTCGACATTAAATGTGATCGAAAACTGGACGACATAAGGAAATGACAATTTCTAAACTAAACAATGTACAAATCAGTCAATACATATGTCATTTTTTTACCATCTTTTCTTAAATATATCCAGGTTTAGTTTTCGAAATGGTGATGTTCTAAACGTTGATTCTGACTTCTGTAATAAACGTATACGAAAAATTGTTTCTACGTTTGTTAGGCAAAGCTAGGACTCCTCGATTATTAGCATATTTATTATCAACTGAATTTAGCACACTGTTATCATTTTAAATATAAATAAAAAGTCAGTAATCATTGATTATGAACAATACGTCAAATGGAAATCGTACGAAACAACGATATCCAAAATATGACCTTGGAAAATGTCAAATTGTGACCTTGACATGCTAGAAGAGTTACAAGGGGAAATGACATCGCATGTTAATGTTTGACAGCTGTATATTTACCGTCTATGCGTATGCAGTTGTGAAGTGAACCTTTATGCGATCACCCAGCATCTAAGAGGTAATCTCTTTCATTAGAAGTATTTTGAATTACCTGCAAGAGGCGTGTTATTGTAAAATGGAACGAATGAAACGTCACCGAAGGTATGAAGCGCCAGTAAAATCGTTGTAAGGAGATCGCTACTCATTTTGTGGATGATAAGTTTAGAGTATGGGACTGGGGATAATTGGAATGACAAAATACTTGCATTGCCAATTTGTTTAGAGAGTGTTTTTATCTTTTTATTTGTTTTGAAGTATGTTCAATAACATGGAGTTGATGGAGTCGGTTTATGAATATTTTAATGACCCTAGATTTTCTGAGATAATATTGTATTACACAGTAAATGAGAGCAGATTCTACCTCCAAACATTTCATCCTCCAACAAGCTGCATGACACACCATGATATGACTGGAATACTGTTCAAAGCGGCGTTTGACTGGACTCACTAAGACAAGTTTTTGTGAAAATCTGTAGTGACTTCAAAAAGAGCAACCAAGCTGCATCCACACTGATCCAACTAATTGTAAATCTGTTGGGTAGTAATTATGTGTAATGTCTTGTTAGGTGTTGTGTTAGACTTTGATATAATCATCATTTACCATTCATAGGGACATTAGTGACTCAGGAACAAGCAAAATGCCAAGAAAACATTTAGGTTGCAGATATTATATGTTTTGTGCGAAGTTTATCCCATTGTTGGCATGACATTATGTGTTGCTGATTGAAGAAATGAAACTTCTTTTCAATATGAAAGCAGTAGTGTTCCTTGTACATGCCAGATCAACTGTTCATGGATGTGAATCCCAGATTTGACATTTTTACTGTTCATGGGTGTGTCAATCCCAAATGTGACATTATTATCATTCTGGTGAAACTCCAGGTTTCAAGAAAGTTATCAGTTTAAATGACATGTGTCACTTTGGACTTAGGTGCGCACATGATGAAATGGTAAACTGCCACTCCACTGAAAACAAGTATTTTGATGGAATTGCCACCTAGTGTCTGCTAAACACAGCTTTTAACCAAACGTAATGTCACCACAATTGCAGACATTGTTAGCCTGTTTGGTGATGTGGGCAAGCCATTTGACCTCAGAGGAAACTAAGTGTAAAGTTTGAATTCCATCACAGGACGTGACAATTTTATGGCATGTACACTGGCAGCCAATATGGGAATGCGTGTTCATTTTAAATTTGAGCAAAGTAAGTCTCATGTGGAGAAGGCATATGACCTTTGATGAGAAAGTTCATGGTTAAAATAACTTACTGGCACTCAGAATTGTTATGGCCATAACTTGGTGATTGATAGTTCTGTGAAATAAAGAAAACATTACATGCAATAGGTTTTCCTCATCTCACCAAGTTTGTGGGGAGTCGATGAAACCCCCTGTAGAGTGTGATATATTCATGTAGTCTGTTGTATTCATTGTCTTATCATTGAATCTGGTATATTCATGAAGTCAGTTGTGTCAGAGATTATGGTGTATTCATGAAGTATGTTGTAGCAGAGATTATGGTGTATTGTTTTAAACATATTTTATTCATGAGAAAAGGATTGGGTAGAAGTTATACAACTTAGAACACCCTGTCTGTGGTATTTACATAAATATTATTTACATTCATTATACAAGATGGACAGACAAGAACAGAAAGATGGGAAACAGTGGAACAATTACAATAATTAAAAACATCTTTTGGATTGACAATATATGTTTGAACAATTATAAATATGTTTTGATTTATGTGGACAGTCAGATCTGCATTGCCATGTAACTCATAGTTAGTATTCATATTGGTAACACTGTGTAAATTAGTCATCATGGCAGTTTTCTGTTCAGTATATATTGTCACTCAAATTGGTATGTTAAGAATGTTCACAAACATTTCCACAAGAACAACTTGGGTTATCTCTTATACCAACACAGAATAGATCATAATTCAATTGACTACACATGTAACGTAGTTTTGTAAGGATGGCATTAGGGTTTCTCGGTCCAAAATTGAAGTATTGAGGAGCAGTTTTATGTTTTATAACAATATTAGATTTAAAAGAATTCAATGACATGCTTTTTCTCGCTTCAACTGGAAATTCATTCCACATTCTAATTGTGAATGGAAAATATGAATCATACAAAAAATTTAATTGTGAGAAAGGGAGTGAAACATCATCAGAGTTACGAAGATTACTTACTTTTAAATGCTACATTCCCAGAAACAAGATCATTAAGGTATATTATGGTGCCATTTTATTCTGTATTTTGTAAAAAAGACAAAGTTTGCACTTTCTTCTACGATCTGCTAGAGTTTCCCATTATTATGGTCTATTCATGTCTTGATTTTCAGTTGCGTCTATCATGTTCAAGAAGTCTGTTGTCTTTAGAGTCTTTTATATTATCGTCTGCTGCATCATAGACTCTCTTTTTGTCATCAGGATCCATTTGCACAAAGCGATCTTAGAGCTACAATGATTGTAAGTCTATGTAGAAGTATGGGAGTTACAATCACCTCAGCACTAAGATCGCTTTGTGCAAGTGGACCCAGGTCTGTTTTATTGTATATTGTCTGTTGCAACTGTTGTATTGAAAATGATTGTCAGTGCTGTCTTGTCATTGATTATTTGTTTTCAACAATAATGCTTGCATAGAGAATTACTGCCAATGAATTATACCAGAAGTCATTGTTCAAACATTAGAAAAATCTGTAGATATGCTAGCATCATCATAACAAAACCAGCATCAAGTCTGAAGCTGCAATGATAAAATAACAATTAAAATTTATATTAAAGCTCATCCACACTCGGTACAAGAATCAGTGATAAGATGCATTGATAATTTATTCACTTCTAGATGAAACTGATATCTTTAAAACAACACTGGGGTATGGTGTGCCTTTACAAACGACAATGGCTGAGCCACCAAAACAAGGCCATCTGAGTGTCGCAATAACAACTGCATGTAGAAGGAGCCAAGGCCATGTGTTAGGGGCATGATAACCCTCCAGCATCTGTGACCCCACACGGGTGATGTTAGCTGGTCGGTTCCAGTCCTGCAGCAGCTAGTGGGACAGCTGTTCCTTATACCAGTTTGATTTTGGTAAAGAATATATGTGTACTTGTCAGGTTTAATGTGTCGGCTATAGGACAAGTCCTCTTGTATGTGAGACCTTAGTGAAAGTGGATGTTTGGCTCTCCTGTGTCCATGTCTATCACAGTGATCAGATAAGGATAAGGTAAGGTTTTTCATGTATGGATAGTTAAATTTGGTTTGATGTTTTTATGTAGGGATCATGTAAAACATTAATTTCTGTCATTTTGTTTATCATTTTGTTTTTCAGATTTATGACATTTGTTGGTTGAGCATACTGAAACTGATTCTCAAGTTTTTCCAATTTAAGATGGTTAATAAGCAGCTGTGTGAAACAACTGTGTATTAGATTTGTTCAGAATGTCACACCTGTCACACCTGGCACCAAGGGTTTTCCTTATGCCTGCTATAAGAAAATTAATGAAAATAAGCATTTTTCTTCTTTGGATTTCTTCCAATGGACCTAAGAATTTGTTGGTCACTTTTTATGAGTAGGTCAAAGGTCAAGGTTACGAGAAGGAAAAACTCATGAAAAATGCTTATGATGACACTTTTGTCATTAAACAGACAAATTTAATTTATCAGTCATGTGCTTTTGTCAGTGATATTTCCAGTGCACTGTTGAATTTGTACGGAAATGTGGAAAACCGTTTTTGCAGCACATCCAATGTTTATAACCGGTTTCTTAAATATTACTTTAAAACATCAAACCATTTCTTCGACTTTAAATATCATCTCAGTTATGATCATTCCTTGCATTAGGCACATTTTTAGGTCGCAAGATAGAAAACTCTCATTTCAAGTTTGTCGTTACATTTTATTAAAAAAAACCAGAAAGGCATTTATCATTAGACTTACCTTCTTTTGGATGAGGCCTTACTTGGAAAAGTTATTTGGCCAGTACAAGTCTATTGTCAAGGTCATCATCGAGACATTTATGCTATTGTCTGCTGGTAATGTATGGTTACATCTCAAGTCATATATCTTTACAAACCCTTCCACATGACTTGTTGGTGGCGTGTCAGTCAAAGGTCAAGGTCATCTTTGAGATATGTGAAACATGGTTGTATCATTCATTGCAAGTTACTATTGCATTCCTGCTTATGCAATCCAGAGACTTGATGATTTGTTGGATCTTAAGAAGCTGTCCAGGTATAGAAGTGAAAGTATCCTTGAAAATGTTAAGAAAGTTTGAGTTAAAGCAGGAAGATTACGAGCACACGTAGAGCACTATTTGTTCATGGCTTTGAAATTACCTTGTCTTTTTGTGTTTGATATTTCTTGTCCACATTTCTTTTACTACTTGTATCAGCCTTTTTTATGAGCACGTCTTGTATTAAGCACATGCCAGAAGTGCCAAAACAACAAAATCTGGTAAGACTGCCAAAATGAAACAAAAGCAACCAGTAATGTCATTATGATATTTTATCTAATGTTTATTCATTAGGATGTTTCACTTTCTGAAACATCATACACGTATTTAATGGGTTTTTTTATTCTTTATGACACATACAGCTGATAGAAATAATATAGATGATATCAGGGTTACTTATTTAAACTAGCTGAAGACAGTTTATTTACTATATAGACATAGCTTTTATATTATTGAACACTGGTAGGAATTATCTATGTTAACTGTGTAAGATAGTATCTCTGGGAGATAGGCGGTTAAGTTTGCCTTTTTTAATCTATTTTTATGTAAGGTATTTCTGAACATGCTGAAAGTAATATTTTATGTTTGTATTTTCTTAATGTTTGCAGCCTAATATATACTGGTTATCAATCTAAAGGTAATCATTAAAATTTGTATAAATGTATGGTAGAATTATACACTTCTGTGGTAAGACAGTTCTCACAACTGAAAAGGTCAAATAGCCATTGAATTTCAGCAGCATATTTTATTAGTCTATAAAGGAATTAAAGACAAAAGTGCTGACATGTACACATAGATACCGGTATACTGTATTAGCACACCTCGAAGTACTAAACTACAATGTGTATTTAACGTAGAGATGACTCAGGTGAAAATAGGACCAGGTGATAAGAGTAACTACTTGTCATGATCAACACAATTGAGTGTATTGTTGACGCCATACATGAACGTGTAGGACTACACGCCTCTGTACAGATAATCACTACAGCCCCCACAGGAATACTGCAGTACTTTGTAAACAGAAGAAGCAGCAATATGGGGATCTCAAACATACTGTTATTGTCATCCTTATCCCGAGAACTGGAATCGTGTAAGTAGGATAAAGAAAATAGCATAAAGAAGAATTCTTTGGTTTACTCCTCTACCCGATTTTAAGTTGCAGATTGATGGTTTAGCTAGAACGAACATGGACCTTTTTTTTTGAAGCTGCAATGGTAACCTTTTGTTCAAAATTAATGTACAGTTACTGTGATTAGGAGTTAGGTATGTGATATTATTTAACACCACTGTTGGACAATCGGTGGGCCAGAGAAGTGGGTATATGTGCTCCTGGTTTACCATGTAACTGGTTTTACGAGTTTTACGAGTGTCAACTGAAATGCATTACTGTGACATGAGTAAGTAGTCGTTCAGAGCAGGAAGAATATTTGTGATGTCTGGTGTGTGATGCATTATGCTTAGGAGATAAACATCATGTGTTGGCCAATTTCCGGGTGTTATTGAGTATTTGAAGCACGGGAATTCATTTGGAACCGACGGCGTCAGCCGGAGGATTCAAATGAAATATTCCCATGCTTCAAATACTCAATAACACCCGGAAATTAATGTATTAACTATCCTAATTTGATTCATTTGTCTTCAAACAGGTTTCTGATTTGACTGTTTCAGTGTGACAATGCCTGTGATTCAGGCCCGTGTGCTGACCCTCAACAAGGGTGAGAACAGGGAGACAACTCTGTACCGACTGGAAAAAGGTAGGGCTTGTTCACATATAAGGCCATATGGTAATACTGGTAAGGTGAGGTGAATGTTTCGCTCATATTAAGACATGCATGCGTTTGTATGTGTGGCTGCTTGTACTAGCCCAGACTTAAGCTGGTTATATAGTGCTAGCTCACTAAGATACCATGCCTCTGATAAATAGAGATTATTAACCTCGTGTGTTTCCGTATCATTAATATCATTTCTAAGATGCCTAGCGGTTAGAACAATCAGGAACAAAATACATTATCAGACTATAAAGGTATAGTTTTTTGATGATGTAACAAATGAATGACGTTATCCCGTCACTGCGCCATTCTAGTGTGCCCCCTCGTAATCGAACCATTTTACATTACGTCACAATGTAAGCAACGTCACGATGCATGTCAGTTGTCATCGCCTCGTACGGCCTCCTACAGTAAACTACTCCGTTGCATCCCGTTTCTTGGTTTGCAGTTGCTTCACGCAGCTAACATCACTGGCGGAAACATTACGTTTATGTTTTACGACGGTTAAAATGTGTCAATTCGACTCACAAGTTCTCAGCGACACGGTAACGTTCGCAATGTTTACATTCCCACAATGCAATCGTGGAATGTCGCTTGAGTACTCAGCTTCATCTGGATGTACTGATCTAAACTTACGTTGGTAGTAGAAATGCGATGTTCATATTGCCCCATATGGTTTACGTTAATGACAGATGTAATTAAAATAATTCTGAGAAGATATTTAATCCGAACGTAAACCGTTATCAAACTGTTATCATTTGTTTTTCTCTGGTAATGTTCGTCGTAACGTAGGGGGGCAGACACATCAATAGAACAGCGCGCCAGTTAGCCCTGTGCGAGGATTTTTAATTTAGGTCACCGACACCGTCGTTTGTTGTCACCCTTAAGTTAATCGTAATTATCCTTAGAAAGTATTAAATTTGGCATTTTAGAAAAGAAATACAGTTCGCTCTACCATCATGTATAGTGTAATAAAGCACACTTTCGCCCTGAACTATTATAACGTTAAAGCACTATAAAAACTATAATAGTTCAGGGCGAAAGTGTGTTTTTTTACACTATACATGGTGGTAGAGCAAACTGTATTTCTTAAATATTAGGAATAAAAATTGTATTATGCAAGCCTTTGGCGAGCATAATGCATAATTTTTATTCCTAATATATGATATTAATGATATGGAAACACACACGGTTAATAATCTCTTTATTATATAATGTCATTCTTAAAATTACTCTAAAAAAGGAATCAAATCGTACATGAATTTATTCGCATAAGTATACCTAGCGGTACACCAAGGTGAAGATCGTTCATGACGGCAGCATATGGTTGTGACTTGTCTCATGCTTAAAATAAGATCTTTCTGTCTTAAAAAGAACTACAAAATTGTGCTGTGTTTCTATTTTCATTGCGGGTAATCACCTCATCAATATCAGTTTTTGATACCTGACTGAATCGATTCGTCGTCTGTATTGTGATCAATAGATGAAATCCTTGGTGGTACCTTTCTTAGACAATTGCCTTTCAGTGGTGCCTCATAATCCCTACCTTCAGTTTGAACCAAGTACTCCGTTTCATGTTTTCAAAAGTCAAGTAACGACTCCAGAACCTCTGTCATCAATTCTTACAGAATCACCAATTTTGAGAATGGGGGCAGCCATATTTGTTTACAAACAATGTAAACTTGCGACAATGTCATTAATGAAATGTTAACATTTTAGGATTCGCATGGCGTGTATGGAGTTTTGTGAAAGTAGTTCGTGGATTGACGTAATTTGCATAGTTATCAGATTTGGATACCAAGTTTATCAGATTGCTTTATTGCACCGATAACACCCTCCATTTGATGATAAGCATGAATACCCCTCTCAGACACATAATACTGACTCCGGGTCAACCAGTCCTTGTTGTACCCATTAATGCTGAGTACCAGGCAGGGGGGGGACCAACAAGTACCATATTTTAACATCTTTTGGTATTACACGGCTGGGGATCAAACCTGCGACCTTTCGCTCTCACAGTAGTACTGGCTTACCAATGCACTGCAAAATGTTTTTCACAGAATAGCTTTCCAATGCCATATGTATTGTAAAATCTGTATAACAAGTTTAGGTGTTATGTGCATCTTTAATCTCTCATGCCTGAGATTGACCAGACTGACTTGATATAATATTTACTTTGATATACACACAATAGGATGTTCAAGCACACTTAGTGTCCATCACTTTCAAATGCCCCTTTAGTGAGAGATACCCCTTCACCATTAGTGAACCCTACCAAACAGTACTTGCTCCAACATTGCTTGTCACAGTTTATGACAACTCATTTGGATCGAGTTAGTTTGTGTGGCAGTCTGTAAATAATCAAGTCTGGACCAGACAGTCCAGTGATCAACATCATGAGCATCATTCTACACAATTGAGATATGATGACATGTGTCAACCAAGTCAGCGAGCCTGACAACCCGATCCCATTATTCACCTCTTACGACAAGCATGGGTTACTGAGGACCAATTCTAACCCCAGGTATTCATGGGTGAGACAGGAATAAATCATTTATCTAATGTGAAGGAAGGAGCAAGCAGGCAATATCGGAAAACTACATGGTGGAAATCATTCCCTTCAGCATAATTTTGCAGATTTTTGTATCTAGGCATTCAGCTATACATATATGAGAATACAACTATTACAAATATTACAGGTACGGAGTGAATTCAAATGTTTCATAAGATATGGTGGAGTAATCACATCACAGTGAACTACGTTGACTGTAGGCTGTCAAACAGCCAGATTAGGTATTAATTTCTCAAAACGACACTTCATATATGAAAGAAAACTGTGTGTCGACCTGGCCTGAATATACCAACCTCAGCACTCAGATATGCGTGAAGACAGCCACAAAGTAGAATATACCAACCTCAGCACTCAGATATGCGTGAAGACAGCCACCAAGTAGAATATACCAACCTCAGCACTCAGGTATGCATGAAGACAGCCACAAAGTAGAATATACCAACCTCAGCACTCAGATATGCGTGAAGACAGCCACAAAGTAGAATATACCAACCTCAGCACTCAGATATGCATGAAGACAGCCACAAAGTAGAATATACCAACCTCAGCACTCAGATATGCATGAAGACAGCCACAAAGTAGAATATACCAACCTCAGCACTCAGATATGCGTGAAGACAGCCACAAAGTAGAATATACCAACCTCAGCACTCAGATATGCATGAAGACAGCCACAAAGTAGAATATACCAACCTCAGCACTCAGATATGCATGAAGACAGCCACAAAGTAGAATATACCAACCTCACTCAGATATGATGAATATACAAAGTAGAATATACCACCTCAGCACTCAGATATGCATGAAGACAGCCACAAAGTAGAATATACCAACCTCAGCACTCAGATATGCATGAAGACAGCCACAAAGTAGAATATACCAACCTCAGCACTCAGATATGCATGAAGACAGCCACAAAGTAGAATATACCAACCTCAGCACTCAGATATGCATGAAGACAGCCACAAAGTAGAATATACCAACCTCAGCACTCAGATATGCATGAAGACAGCCACAAAGTAGAATATACCAACCTCAGCACTCAGATATGCATGAAGACAGCCACAAAGTAGAATATACCAACCTCAGCACTCAGATATGCGTGAAGACAGCCACAAAGTAGAATATACCAACCTCAGCACTCAGATATGCGTGAAGACAGCCACAAAGTAGAATATACCAACCTCAGCACTCAGGTATGCATGAAGACAGCCACAAAGCAGATCTTTGAATGTAGAGATTAATGCTTATCACATTCTATTGCAATGGATTGTTGGCTGAACCTTTTGTAAAACAACAATTTTTATTGTTGATAATTGCCATATTTCTGTTTACTTTTCCATACATAGAATGTGATTTTGAAACTTAATTAGAACATATGCCCTTTATAACTGATATACTGTTCAAAGCAACATTAAACCAATATTCACTTACTTACTAGAAATTTCTTACACAGTATTCAGTATTAGTAAGGAAAAGCTGACAACATATACTAAATTTAGAAAAAAATACATATACAGTCAAATCCCGATGAGTCGAATGCCAGTGTCTCGAATATTATGCATAACTCGAAATACCTGTCGGTCCCGACGATTCCCTGTTATAGTTGTCATCATTTGAATACCGGTTACACGAATTCGTCTCATAAATACACAAGATGACTCGAAAAGGAAAGTTGGTCCCATGAGATTCAAACAACAGCAATCTTGTATACATAAGCCGAAGTCAGTCAATGAGAAGTTGATTGGTGTAGCAAACTGATCCAATTAACAAACCAGCGCGGCTCACACCTTTCCGCCATTGACGGGTGAGTTCAAAAGGCAAATTAGTGATTTTACGGAAATCACTGTCTGTGCTAATCAGACTGGAACTGATAAGGTGCCCCTATTAGTGACATGGAAATCATTAGATAAACAAATGCTTAGGCAGAGGAATTAGGACTGGATCATCTTTTTTTCTACCCTCATAGACATACCTATGTCTCGAATACATGGATAAGTCGAATTTATTACTTGGTCCCCAGCGATTCGACTTATCGGGATTTGACTGTATTTGATATATGCAAAACAATGTCAAGGCTTTTGAGTTATATACAAGTGCTGATTTACACATACAATTCTTAAAGGTCACATGCAACGTAAAACACAACTTGGCAGATTCTGATACCTTTCGGTATGGACTTACCGAAACAAAGCGTCAAAAATGCAAATTCAACTTATAAAGTTGAAAAATAACGCGATGAAAAAAAACGCGCGAAATCGGAGTTCAAACATTTGACTAATTTTCCCCAGACTCTTCTGGGGAAAACGGGTTTCAACAGCTGGGCTGCGCTTATTACACGTGCGCAGTGAAGTAGGTTCGCGCAGCTTGGAAGCGGGTTGTCCGGTGAATGATCGGTGAAGGCTTTGGTGTGAGCTATTTTTCTAATGTTTTGTTGATATCTCACAGGCGCGAGCTTTTTATATGTTATGACAGTAAATTAACTGTTTTTATAATTTCATTGGTCTATTTCACCACACGTTCTTCTTACCGAGTCACTTTCTCAGTTCGATGCTTAAAAGCAATGCCATTATTTAGCGTTGACAGAATTTCCAACTGTGATATAGATATGTCGTTGTCACAGACAAAACTCAATGTCTTGTTTTATTGACACCTGTGTGTCTGCCTGCCTGTCTGCTAATGACAATATTCAATACACAGATGCTATCACTGACCACATGCAATTTGAACTTAACACCAATCAGGCTATACACCATAAACAAAATGCATTGATTTATGGCCCGAGTTCGGTCTCTGTCACATTATGTAATTACACAGACAGGCAGGCGTGATACTTGAACACATGACATGTTATGATGTCTGTTGATTGCAAAATGTTAGACACAAAAAATGAGCATGTATTTACAAAACCCAACATCTCTATATATACACACACAATGACCCGTGGGGGCATCTGCTAATGAACCAGCCGTTACACTTGAGTGCACACCAACCCTCTCTGACTGGGTTCGGTATCCCGGCTGCTTCGTTTCTTGGGAAGTAAACCCAAGTACACAATATTGCACTTTTGATTTGCGATTGTACGCTTATAATTTTGTTTATATGTTTTTCATAACCAGTAATGTATATTATATGTCATGAATAAGTGATAATTGTGTTTTAATTATGTTTGATTTTTTGGTTGCATGTGACCTTTAATAAACATTTGTATCCCTTAACATGCTTCAGAAGACCTTTTCTTTCAGGATGGGGTTCAGTAGCCTAGTGGTTAAAGCCTTCATGCGGAAGACCCGTGTTCAGTTCCCAACATGTGTACAATGTATTCAGCTAAAAGCTGTGTAAAACTAAACTCACTCACTCACTCTTTCAGGATGGACTCTCCGATTCGTCCTCGGTCCATCTCTTTTGTCCGCTTCTGTGCGCCTCTTCTGCAACCACCCTCCGTCTAGAGACAAGGCCTTCGAGCGGACAACCTACTATGAATTGCCATGGAGGAGTCCTAGTGGGATGAAGAGTGATCGCTATGACGTTGTCGCTGAAGTCAACATGGGAATAGCCGGGTCCTTCAACTACTTCTTCACAATCGATTCCAGGTGAGAGCCGTATGCTTTACTTCAAGGTCATTGAACTCCAAGTCCTTATTATAAGTTGGAACAGTATCACGGAGAGTAAATATGGTTTGTGCATCCCATGTTAGGTTTTCTACCCTAAGCCCATTAACTGGTTTATAACCTGACCTAGAGACACCAAGATCCCATGTACACCTCACGATAAGGCTACTACAAATATATCTTGCCAGCATGTTTCAGTTTGCCATTGTAAAAAGATCAGAACAAACTGAAAATTTATAGATAACAGCTGTTCAAGTGAGCCAAGGTTCATTGTCATTTGATGCTCATTGACTCGTAAACAACATGCAGTTTTATTTTGGTAGTGAGGTCCAAAAGATTCATTGTCCCCACTCAGATATCCATTAATCCCACCTGTTTTCTTTGGGATTTATTTTCCACCTCAGAAACTTATTTCCCACCCCGGCAAGATACATGATATTTTTTCAAGATCATCAGAACCAATCAGATATCAACATTCTGTCCTGGAGGTTAGATAAGGAAAGGTAGCTACAAGCATCAAACTTTCTGTTTGAGTGTCTCAGGTCCTGTGTTTTCTCAAACCTCAAGTAATGGCATGTAGGTTCTTCTTCGCTAGAGGCACGGCAATTTTATCATGTTTGAGGTTGAAAATGCATGCTTGGGTATGTCCCAGCACCAAAGGTAATTGTATCAGCCTTGATACGCATCGTGGTACATAATGACTTCCTTTTGAATATGGCTGTGAAGGGAGTATTTCTGTTCAAATACTTCTAAACACTTTCTAGTTTATGATGGGTGTATATGGATAACATCGTCCTCTAGTTTGCAGACTGATAAGGGATACAAAGCTTTCATTAACTTTTGCATAAAAACTTTCTAATTTTATTTGATTTCAGTGAAATCCCTGCTAATGCCGATGGTCAGGGTTACTTTCTTGTTGATCCAACCCTCCATCTAGGGTCAGACAATGTGGAGATAACTCTTGACTGCATCCAGTGTCAGACTGTCATTACCAAACTCCTTGGACCATTTTCCCAGTGGGAGAACCGACTACGAGTTGCCAAGGAAACAGGATACAATCTTATACACTTCACTCCAATACAAGAACTTGGTATTTCTAATTCCGCATACTCCATACGAGATCAACGAATTTTGAGCCCAGTGTACAACGATGATCAACAGTATTCATACAAAGATGTCAAAAATCTTGTAGAGACTATGAAGAATGACTGGCAAGTACTGGCGTTGACAGATTTAGTATTTAATCACTCCTCAAAGGACAGTCCGTGGGTGCTTGAGCATCCAGAATGTGCCTATAATTTGGAGAATGCACCTCATCTGGTACCACCGTATGTGTTGGACCGAATATTCCACCAGTTCAGTGAAGAGGTTGCTAAGGGCAAGTGGGTTTCTAAGGGTGTCCCTTCCACCATTGACAGTGAGAGTCAACTCCAGGTAAGGTTTTTAAAATGTTTTTAAGAACAAATGGACACGTCTAAAGTTATAGATAGTGTAACCTTATCAAAAACAGGAAGACCTATACCTACTAAAGTAACATGTGATGTTTCGTAGTTATAAGACTATTTTTGGTTAACTTTTTGTATGCCCTAATGTTTGGGTGTTTACTGAAAGTGTCACAATACTGTTTCATTCAACCAAAACATTGAAGAATGCTTTTTATCAACTGTACAGTGCCCATTCTGAGAGCACCTTTAACAACTTATTGCCATTGATCCCCAAGCAGCTACCGTATGTCACAGTGTATAAAGCGACCCCACTTAGAAGGCAAACCCATTGTATAAGCCTTCAAAACCAATGTTAATTCATATATAATGTGATCCTGAATGAAGTACATCTTCATAGCATACACAATCCCAGAATTTGTAATAGAAATATGTTAGTGTCCGATCAGTTTTTTAAAACAATCTTTGGCCACTTAGAGCTCCAGCATATGACACCATTTTGTATATGACGCAATATATATACTGAACAACATTAGAAACGCACCACACTAAAATGCACCGACGATGCTCAGATATCATGGGTACATTTCAGTCTGACCAACACTTCACATATGGTCTTTCATGGAGTAAAAACATATGACACAACAAATAGGATGATTATGTACTTCTTATTTGGATCAGGCAGCCAGAAATATGACCTTGATGGCTGTTTTTACCTGATCTAGTTAAAGTATGTATCACAGCAATGTGATAAATGTCTTAAAATTGAAACCTTACTTTCCCTATTTCTGGTTTTGCTTATATGCTTATGAGCAATAGAGGAGAAAACAAATGATTTCAGAATTCATTTGATCATTTTGTTTTTGTGTTGATGTTTGAAATCACCCAAGTTGAAAGGGTTACTCTTCTTCAGAAATAATTCAGTAAGTAGTGTATTGAAGATAACTGTCTCTGCTTTATAACCTGATTTGGCTGTTCATGTCTCACCCTTCATTCATAAGATTCAATAACAAATGGAGCTGAGGAAGAATTAATCATCCAGCTAGGAGTTACTGCTTGTTGGTGGCACAGATGGCCTACTTGTCTGAGGTGTGCAAATAATCATGTAGAGTTCTGTCCCTTTGTCATGTCAGGATCCATTTGATTTGGGTTCAAACCCAAAATTTACCTGACTACACAGAACCCAATGTAAGGAACTAAATTTACCTGTACCAGGTGTATGTGGACATGAAAGCAATGTTGCACTAAACACGACCATGCTGCTTCTTGTTCCATAGGTTGTCAGAGTTGAAACATTGCCTGCAGCCACTGTCTCATAAATTAGTGGCATTAATCAATGATGCATTGCTGTAAAATATAATAGGCACATGTATACATAAATCTTAAAGTAGTCAAAGTTTGATTACTTTAGCCTTTCCTACCACATTTACAAAAAATATGCTGTCATATAGTTTATATACTATTCAATTTGAAGCCATTTTTCATTTTACAGTAGATTGGCTGTGAGTAATAAACTTGTGTCAAGAAAGGATCATAATAAACAATAGGCAAAACTTACCTGAAATTTGGTTTGAAAATAATCTGTGTTTAAAAGATAAGGGCACTAAACAGATCCAATATGACTGGTCACATTGCAGGCAATACGTCATGTACTGTTAACTGAGGTGATTCAGCGCTACAAACTCCACGAGTTCTACACTGTTAATGTTGACAGCACAATGAAGGAATTCAAGAGGGGAATCGAAGGTGAGTTTCATTCAAGAATCTGTATTCTTGATCAGTGAAAATTTTCAACTAAAAGATAAATGCAAAGATTATTTACTTGTTCAGTTGCTTTCTGTCTGGTTATAGTGGGACTTCAGTATGATGTATCAGTTCATCACTTGCACTATTAATATTGTGTTAGTGTCATTTAATTAATCATGTACTATACCTCTCATGCATTGTGTGTGAGTCGGTGCTCATGTTATCAACCACTGGGTTTGCCTGGTCCAGACCTGGTTATACTTAGTCTGATTGGGGTGAAGCACAACTTTTTTGATAGAAAATAGCATGGTGTACCGTTTAAACAAAATAATGCATCAGACCTCGCACACACATGCCTGCACACAAACATACATGCATGCACTCACTCACATGTGCATGTGAGTGCCAGTGCGTGTGAGCACGCATGCACATACACACACAAAAGCCATTGTTAATAATTACTGAGCTCGCTGGAAATATGTACTCCATTAACTGAAATGAGGGTCAAAATCATTGCTTTGTCAATGATTGCACAAGCTCTGTGTGATTGAATATTTATCCATCCATGCAGAGAACCGTCTCATCTCTGACAGCATGGATGCCGTGGACATTCTTCAGGACCCCCCAGTATCGTCGGCTCAAGTCAAAGGTTGACATTAGCACTGCCCTGAAGCTCTTCAACATAGACAGGTAGACTATTCAGTGCTGTATTATCTCAATGTCAGAGAAATGCTATCTATAGTGTTTCTAGAGTTATCTATAAAACAAACAGACTTCAAAAGTAGAAAACTGATTTGTGTGGAAATAACATGTGTATCAAAGAGCTTTACCTGTAACATCAAAACACCAGAATACCCATCAGATGCTCTAACATAGATTTTTAACAGAATACCCATCAGATGCTCTGACATAGATTATTAACACACGTAGGATGAGCTTGATTCAAGGGATTGTTGTTAACAATGGGGGCAGGGCTTAAATATATGTTGGACAGAAACCCTGTATGAGATGGTTCAGTGTAAGCTGAGGTAAACATCAAGCACTGGTTTGTGTGGTCCAGAAATGAATATCTTCATGCTTCCTTCTTGTTTCTGGAATATTGCTGACTGTTATAACACCCCAAACTTGGATGAACAAACAAGAAACTTAGGATCTGACAGATTGCACCTTCAGTTTGTGTCATGAAGACCTCTGCCATGGTCTATTGGATATGGCACCTGAATGAAGAGCAGAACATCATTGGTTCTATCCATAGCCGCCTCATACCTAAAGACGTTAATAAATGGTACTTGTTGATGCCCTGCCAAATGCTCATCTTTAGGGGATAAAATGTGGATTTGTTGGCTTTGGAGTCTGTATGCTGTGTCTGAGTGGGGTATCCATGTTGAACAGTGACATGGTATCACTACATGGATTTGTCAGCTTTGGAGTCTGAATGGTGTGTCTGAGTGGGGTATCCATGTTGAACAGTGATATGGTGTCACTACATGGATTTGTCAGCTTTGGAGTCTGTATGGTGTGTCTGAGTGGGGTATCCATGTTGAACAGTGACATGGTATCATTACATGGATTTGTCAGCTTTGGAGTCTGAATGGTGTGTCTGAGTGGGGTATCCATGTTGAACTGTGACATGGTGTCACTACATGGATTTGTCAGCTTTGGAGTCTGTATGGTGTGTCTGAGTGGGGTATCCATGTTGAACAGTGACATGGTGTCACTACATGGATTTGTCAGCTTTGGAGTCTGTATGGTGTGTCTGAGTGGGGTGTCCATGTTGAACTGTGACATGGTATCACTACATGGATTTGTCAGCTTTGGTGTCTGTATGGTGTGTCTGAGTGGGGTGTCCATGTTGAACTGTGACATGGTATCACTACATGGATTTGTCAGCTTTGGTGTCTGTATGGTGTGTCTGAGTGGGGTATCCATGTTGAACAGTGTCATGGTGTCACTAGTACAAGCAGCCACACAAACACACACATGTACAGCCACTGTTTAGGTGTAATAACTATATGCAGTGTTAAGCCCTATTTAACCTCACCTTTGTGTTTACATTATCAACCATGGGTTCATCTGGTCCAGGCTCAACTGAGCTAGCCATGATCAAACTCTATACCGGTTGATACAATCAAAATAAACTCACACAAGTACTATCTTCAGTAACACCAGAGGCCATGTGGAGCTGTCATCAAGTTATTGTAAGTTTTTGTTCATAAATACTATCTCTATTCACAGTGAGGACAGTAACCGTGACAACAGGTATAAGTATCATGTGGTATTTCATTTTCTTTGTCAGGTCTAGATATTAGACTAACATCACTGTTTAGCTGATGACCTTTCTTCCATAAGCTCAAATGATCACAGATCAGAGCTTATTCATTGCACAGTACCGTTGTCCATCACTGTTGCTTTAACATTTCGATATGGCCATCATTATTTATTTTTTAGCTCACATGCTGTTAGCAATAGTTAAATTTACACAGGTGTTTTTCTGCCAACAAGTTGCATGTGCTGAAATGTTCTGTAATGATGCAGTGTTTTAAAATGATACATCAGCAAGACATTTACAATGCTTAATTTGAAATTCATATTTTCAAGCTGACAACTGATGTTGTGATTTTACCAAAATCTTATTCTGTTTCTACAGTGGCAGATTACCTGTGTTCAAATATACAATTATGGCCCCAAGTAGCTAAACTGGTAAATATCATCGCAGGACCATTTAGCTACATTTAATTGAAATTAATTTAACTTGAAACTGCATCAGTTAACAGTATATACGAGTATAGTATATACATGTAGTATATATATAGTTAGCATATACAAATTTTGATGATATCAGTATAAGCATGTCCATATTTCATTCTTTGTTTCCACTCTCCAGCCTGCCCAAAACTTTTGATCTAAAATGTTTTCTTCTCTCAATTTTCAAGTGTTCTAAAGGTTACACAATTTGTAAAAACAGTTATATATAATTTTTTAATTTTTATCTATTTTTTTTTTTTTCAAACACCTGTTCTCTTGCTGGTTGAGTTTGGAGATGAGAAATACAAAAATATTGATGGCGTTTTGGGTCACGGGCTTTAAGTGATATTCATACAGCACATGTAATTGATCAAGTCACTTTTTGTGAAGCAATTCTTAACCAGTGATAAGAGTTTATACAGTACATTTCACAGTTGAGCATCAACCTTAAACGGTTTCTAGTCTGAATGTTCTTTTTCAGTTTCCATGCCTGCACGGTAGCATTTTCTTGACTTATTTTTCTGAGCTTGCAAAATTATAGTGAATTGAATTGGTAGTAGACTTTTAGAGGTTTACTTTTCTCAAGTGCTGTACAATGCACACATTATGGTTGCTATGGGTATGAGTCTTTTTTTCAGTTTGGCTCTTGACTGCAATGTAGATGGGACAGAAATATTATCAACTTTATCTTGATGCATGGTTTTCCTGTGGTTGATGGTCATTGTGCCTGTCGCATCCTTTATTTTTCAACATCAGTGAATGCTATGGCTGTGGTGTTTGTGTTAGATGCCATAAAGGTGGGACCTTGGGAAGTGAATGTCATTAACAAAAATGTATAGTCTCTCAAAAAAAACAGTCTGAAAGAGGGCATGTAGTGATTGCTTCCTTACATAAATAATCGCAATCTGTTTCTTATATTCTTGTTTTGTTGTATTAGTCACGCCAAAGACACGGACTCCATTCCCCACATAGGGAAATCCTTGTCTGGTGTCCCCAATGGTAATATTGGCAAAATTTAGCAAAAATCTACATAAGGCCACACTTTCTCACTCTTGCTTTGATCATGTTAGCTTGAGCCTGTCTCAACTACAGGCACATCCACATCCACTGTGATGCTTTGCAACCAAGCTCCTCACAGTGATAAATCATGCCTTGCACTGTAACTTGAAAAGTCCATGAGAGCCACATGGTGTGACAGAGCTTGCTTCATAACATGTACATGCACACTGCTCACTTCTATGTAAACATACCTGGAAAGGGAGCACATTGATGAATGTCAGATTGATTTGTATTAGATACTATGTGCCACCACACATAGGTAATTGTTTTGTGTCATGATGCTCCAGAGTATGTCTCTCCACCCTTAAAGGGAGGGGAGAAATAATGTGTTTTGCTCAGTTACGTTGGTATGTCCAGGCCAGTACTGGACCTTACTAGCAACCTCTGTGGGTCATGAGAAATGATGTAATGGATGGTGGGGGTCAGACTCCGTGACTTGGTTGATGTGCTGTCAACATTGGCTGTCAGTGTTGATCAGCGTTCATAATGTCAATCAGGCCAATCAGTCAGAAAGCAAAAATCAAAGATTCAGAACAAATCAGAATGTTAAAGTTTATTATACCGCCAAGGGTGAAGATTCACATGACTGAAATTTTTCCAACGATAAATCATCACATAGTTTCTATAGCCTTACCAATCCAAATCAAACTTTAGGATGAGTAAAACAGTCATGTGCAATCACTGGATTGTCTGGTCCAGACTGGAATATTAATGTCCCACAGTCACTGTAACAAACACACAGAATATTGAAACTTTCGTGAAACAATATCTTGCTGACATTGATTGACATTTGTCATCTGTGCTCATTATTTATTAAAAAATTGACTCAGAAGTAAAACTCACAAAATGGTAGACATTCGTTATATGGTTTGACATTTGATGTTCAGGTTCTCAGTGTTTTTTTCCTATGTTTAAGGCCGGGTGCCCTCAACAGACAGGAAAGGATTTCAAAGTGCTGTGAGAGTTTACTTAACAGGCTGAATCATCTCAATGGTGCAAAGGAAGGGGAAATCGGGGAACACATCAAGGTCGCCGTCGACAACTTTGTTGCCAATGTAAGGTGGCGGTTTCTTGACCCGAATGGACCCAAGGTTGGAACTGTCACAGAAAAACAGCCCTTGATGTACAGGTCAGTGTAACACGTAACAGGCTAGATTCATTAGGGAATGCGTGTGTGCGTGCGTGATTGTGTGCGTGAGTGCATGTCGTTTTGTAATTTATGGCTAGGGGGGTGGTTATTATTTATTTCTTTTTCCTTTTCTTTTTTGTTTGGTTTTTGTTTGTTTGGGGTTTTTTTGGGGGGGAGCCACCCATTTTGTAGTGGAGGGGGTGTTCAGCAATTTTGTACATAAAATTTATGAAAAAATTATGAGGAGATGGGGTCACTGATTTTGTACTGACATTGGGGGGTGGGTGGTTGTTGTCGACTTTCCATAAAAATCATCACCACACAGAGGGCCCTGGTTCGATGCCCCAGATGGGTACAATGTGTGAAGCCCTTTTCTGGTGTCTCCCATTGCTGTAATATTGCTAAAAGCGGTGTAAAACCAAACTCACTCACTCACTCACTCACTCACTAACTAAGTGGCAGTGTACATGTCCCTCTGTTTCAGCTACTATGTGTGGCCGGTGTCTCACGGTGGGACAGCTGACAAGGCGGAACAGATGGTCACGTCAGGGGAGGGAGCCCATGTGATGGCAGTCAACGGATGGGTCATGGGGGGATGATCCTCTCCAAAACTTTGCAGAGGAAGGTAGGAGACAAGTCCTAAAACATGAGAGTTGTTTGAGTGCCTCTAGTGATGCTGGAGATAGTAAGTGAAGTGTTGTCGGAACTGTACATGTCATTACTGCCTGTCAGCACACTTTCCTAAATTATACCACCAATGTGATAAACATTGACTACTTTAGTCCCCAATTTATCCATATTAAGATGACAGGCAATGATGTAATGGCTATTCTGTTTGCTAAACCTCTCTCTCACTCACTCACTCAAGCACTTGTTATGAGAGTGTGTTTTTTGTAATGTGTAATATCACATTGATTAAGTGATTATTATTATGGGTCACAATGTTTAAAGTTTTGAGTGTGGGTTGTGGCTCACATCTCGCATATCATATATGTTCAATGGCAATAGTATTTTTAGCAGCACGCCTTTTTGATAGCACTTTAGAGTTGACTCCCTTGGCAATCTTGTTTATTTACGGCTTTCATCATGCCGTGTGTTCCACATGATTCGAGAACATTCTGAGTGGATAATGAAGCTGCCTAGCTTTGCTAGAATGCTCGAGAACTGTGTAAGAGCTATATAAAGGCTGGTGGTTGTGTTGTGCATCAGACTTTTCACAAACGTGCTTGCCTGTTCAACTGTTGTCATTGTAAACAACCTCCAATCAGTATATCTGCTCTTACTGTAAATGTCAAGACTCTGGTGAGTTACTATTTTATGTTTGTGACCCAATATTATAGACTTGTCTGTGTTCTATTTTGCTGGTTCAAAGGGGACTCTTAAACCTTTTGTCACAGCAAATTATTAACCGTAACAAAATCAAACATTCACTCAAACATTCACTCAACCACTCACTCCAAATGTGATTATGCCTCTACAGTGACTGTATAAAGATGATTCTGTTTTGATGTTAAGTATATGATTCCTTTTCACCAGTCGATACCCAGCTACCATGCACAGCAGCTTTGTTAGGTTTATAATCATTCCGTTTATATTATTCAAAGGATCCATGGTGTATCTGCACGAGAACTGTTAGCATGGGGAGACAGCGTGAAACTACGCTATGGACAGAAACCAGAAGACTGCCCCTTTCTGTGGAATCACATGAGGGATTATGCAGAGACAACTGCCAGGATCTTCCATGGTGTGAGACTGGACAACTGTCACAGCACACCTATACATGTGGCTGAGGTAGGGATCCAATTGTACCACCTACAACCACAACCTGAAGAAACCTGACCCAGCCTACCTGATAAAACCTGCACTGACCTGTCCAAACCAGATCTGGCTGACCCAGCCCCACCTTACCTAATAAAACCTGCACTGACCTGTCCAAACAAGATCTGGCTGACCCAGCCCCACCTTACCTGATAAAACCTGCACTGGCCGGACCCAGTCCCACCTTACTCCACAAGACCTTAACTGATCCATCATGACCGCAGCTCACCTGACCAAACCAGACCTGACTCACCTGACCTGACAACCCAAACTGGCCAAATCAAACTTGGCCTCACCTGACCTGATATGAAACAACCTGAACCAGCCCCTACTTGCCTGACTGGGCTCTAACTGATATGAAAAAACTCAACCTTACCCAACTCAGCCTGACCTATGACAACCTGAACACCAGTGGCTATTGGACACCGCTTGACATCACCAGTGGAACCTAAAAAAAAAATGTGAGGTCTTTTACCCCATGCTTCTTTTACCCAAAGTGACCCCCTTCCAACCCATGTTGTTCTGTATACAAATACTTGCTTTATACATGGTGGTATATGTTAATTACCAGTAAAGGGAAACATTGTTCCTGACTTTTTGTCTTGTAGTACATGTTGGATGCTGCTAGGAAGGTGCAGCCTGACCTGTATGTGATCGCAGAGTTGTTCACTGGGGGCGAGCACCTTGACAATCTCTTCATCAACAGACTGGGCATCAACTCTCTCATCAGAGGTAACTATAGGGGCAGATTGGGCCATATGTAGCAAGGCATCACAATTTGCAGTACAGAGTTGAGTCCCTTAGCTAATATAGGATCTGTTCATCTTATCTGAATCCCAGTTTTGCCCTTATTATAACCCTCAAGCTTGAGGATTTCACCACAAGTGGTAAAAGTCTACGTCTGGTATCATTTTGGACTTTCCTCCTTAATCAAGCTAATGTTTAGAAATGTTACATAATTTGATAATGATATAAAATGTAGTCCACATATTCTTGGAAGTGAAATCAGTATCATGTTACTTTAAATGTATTACACAACTTGCATTTGAAATATTACAAGTATTTAATTTTCACATTTTGCCAACTGATCCTGACCTAACAGAATTTTTTAAAATGTAGCCTACTCAAGTTTATATTTATTATGATTTTGACCGTCCAAAATATGTGGTCAAACAATAAAGGAAAACTGTTTCTACCATGACATAAGCTCTTGATGATTTATTACAATGGGATATTCCATATTGATGTTATCACTCCTATGTTGTGTTCCAGAGGCACTGACAGCCTGGGACGCCCATGAAGAAGGTAGGCTGGTTCACCGATATGGAGGTGTCCCAGTTGGGTCATTTGTCCAGCCCCGCGTCCAGCCCCTAGTGCAAACAGTGGCTCATGCTATCTTCTTTGATCAGACTCATGACAACCGAAGTCCAATAGAGGTGGGTTTTATTTTTGTGATTAAGGTAGAATACGATTTGATAAAGGGACTATACTCCCAATATCTTGAGAGTATTTTGAGTCAAGGTCATTAAGATAAATAGCCTATCAATACCTGTCAATGGAATGAGGTCAAAGAGTCAACTGTGATATGGATTCTGCCATGATGCCCAACAAATGCACATATATTTATACAACACAGTTAACCATTTTCTGTTGATATAAACATTTTGAGCAATTATTATATGTGTTTGAAACCATTGATTCAGACAATGATGTGCATTACATTTTTGGCACTTATAATGTGAAAAAGAATAAGTACACATGGAAATGTAATGTTATTTAAAGGATACAGATTAAAGATGTGGATTTTGATTGTCTGTCTCCACAGAAACGTTCTGCTTACGATCTCTGGCCGTCTGCTGCCCTAGTAGCCATGGCATTCTGTGCAACAGGAAGTAACAGAGGATACGACCAACTTGTCCCTGAGCACGTAAGTCTGGGAGTGTGTTTAACCCCTGATGATCATAGAGAGGAAGTGAAGTGTTGTAGGACTGTACATGTCATTAGGTCCTCTCCGATATGCAGAAAAATGTGTATGAAGTATCATAGTGTGGGGAAAAGATTATTTTATCAAGGAAACATTGGTATGCTATGAACTCACACTACTTGAAAATCCTATTTACCCTGTTTGTCAACCAATCAGACTGTGTACCATATCCTCTTTGTCCACAGATCCATGTAGTGAAGGAGAAGAGATTGTACCCATCCTGGACAGAGGCCGACAACCCAGATGCCAGCCACATGAACAAGACATTCGGCATCACATCGGGGAAGAGGATGTTGAACCAGCTCCACTATGAGATGGGCATGAATGGATTCACACAGGTAGCTATATGGAGGTGGTGTGTAAACAATTGATTCTGGACCAGACAATCCAGTGAGCATCTTGAGCATCAATCTGCGTAGTTGGTATAAGATGACATGTCAACCAAGTTAGCGAGCCTGACCATCTGATCCTGTTAGTCACCTCTTACGACAAGCATGGGTTACTGAAGACCAATTCTAAACCGGATCTTCATGGGTGGTGATAGAAGGAAGCATCACCAAATGGTTATCACACAACATGCTGTATAATCAATGTAGGACCACGTTACTGGGAGATTTGATGGCTCTAAACAGAAAATCATACTGAATGTGCAGAAGGTTTCAGAAGTAACACCTGGTCTTGCAGCCAGAGCCTGTAATTGTTATTGACATCTTCATTGATCACAAAGAATAACACTTTTCCTAAATCTTGGTGTCCTTTAGATATCTGATTCAATCCTGAATGGAAGGACCAAGTGATCATGTTGACTGGATCCACATGGATCAGCTGCTCATTGGTTGGTCGGTTTCTTCATCATGTTGTTTTATTCATGATTTCAGGTGTATGTTGATCAGATTGACCCTGCCATTGTGTCGGTGACCAGGCACAACCCACGAACCCACGAGTCTATAATCCTGATATCCCACACAGCATTCCAGCACCCTGACAACCCTGACGAGACAAGATACATCCGACCCATCACCGTAGAAGGTGCGACTCCATAGTTTAACATGATAGTCTGTGAGAGTGTACTGTATATGTGATCCAATTTGTGTTCCATATTTTTTAAGGTAATATTTGACATAAAAATAAAGGTTGACCCTAGTCCAGTAATATATACACTATATGTATACATGATTTGCATACAGGATGGCTCAAATTCAACAATACATCTTGCATTGTCATTCTCAACCTCATGTGCATTCTTGGTAGGAATTGGTGTCCAGGATGATGGTCGTAACATGTGATTAGGTGATCAGTCGGTTTCTTGGCTGCTTGTCATCTTGCCCTGATCGTATGGATCAGTGGTAATAATATTAATCACTGGATTGCCTGGTCCAGACTTGAAAGCTGGCCCCAAATAGTAGCATTAATCAGCTGTGATGGTCTGTGAAGTGTACTATCAGTGTCGTTGCCATTGTAAAACACTGTGGCAGTGATGGAAGTATACAGCTTTCAGGTTCTCTCTATTTAGTGCAATTCACAATTCATTATTCAATCTGCAGTTATTTGTGTATATCATGTAGCATCTTCCTACACAGGGATGATCGAGGAGATTATATTTGAGGGTCGTATGCGCTGTGCAAAAGGTTACACTTACGAGAAAAACAAAGACTTCATCAATGGGCTTCCGCAGTATTACCTTGAACTCCGAGAGCATGTGAAGGTCGAGAAGAGTGGTATGGTGAAGGTCAAACAGATGGGCGACAAGATGGAGGTGTCGTTTGTGTCCTTCACTCCTGGCAGCGTGGTTGCATTCAGGTGAATCATAAATATATTATATAAACAGTAGCAGGAATAACTTGAGACCTGACATACAGTGACTGCCTTGAGAGTGTTGTACAAGTTCCAGATTTAGTCATGTTAGTGCCCTGAACAAAGTACTGGCGCAGTTGGGGGTGGGGGGAGTGTTGTCGATGAGTGTGTTGAGCAATGAATTAAATATTTTTGGTTTAGAGATCCTTAGACTCTCTCGTTCTAGCCAGTGTGAAACAGAAAAGAAAGAGAAACTGTAAATTAATAAGGAAATGTTTCAAATTTGTATGTTTTAACAAATTATAAAAGAAGGCTTTCTAAATTGTACTAAACAAAAATGTTTAAAATATTTGAAAAATAAAGCCTGTTTAGTGTGTAAAATACAACTCTATTAAAATAGGAAATAATCGGATATGAATCTTAACCTAACCTGACTGCAATGTTCTTGACATACGAGGAGGTCGCTACTATACCAGCAATTAGAAGTGTATTTGGTCCTGCATCTATGAAGCACTGCCATTACTTGAAATCTTTTGGTAATTTGTCATCTCCATTTAAAAACAAAATGTGATGATTTTTATGACATCCTTGTATAGATCATCTCTACGGCAACCAGCCAAGAATGCCATACTGGAGATCCGAAGAGGCCTTGGTCAGTTCGGCTACTTGATGCGATCCTACAGTGGACACACCATGTTTGATGAGTCGTGGGATACGTCCAACTTCCGAGCCATCGTCTCCCATCTGTCTCTAGCCGATCTCAACCGCGTTCTGTACCGAGTGGAAGCAGAGGAGCGTGATGATGGCAACGGGTTTGGATCCTACCACATCCCCAACTATGGGGACCTGGTCTACTGTGGACTGAGAGGTGAGGGAGGGGAGGTCAGCTGAGGGTACAATTCTCCTAACTACATATCAGCATGATTAGATCCAGACCATTCTCCTCAAGAATAATTACAATCAGTTAATTAGGGACTACTGACTCATGGTTTTCCGAATTTAATCCCAAACAATGCCCAAATGTGGCAATTAACCAAAATATCAAAATAAAATGATCACAATTCAGTCACTTAATATATTACTACATTGTGACATTACTATTTCTAATGTTTACCTTTCAGTGGAGTAGCAAAGTTAGAAAGGTGGATTTGATAAGAAGTGGTTAAACTGGTGTAGCCTTATGGTTATTTGGATTAGTCTGATAACAGATATGACCTAATGAGCCATGCAGTCTTCACTGTCGTTTGTGACATGTCTCCCCAGGGATAATCTCACTGTTGGCTGAGATCCGACCTCAGAATAACCTTGGTCATCCTCTGTGTGAAAACTTGCGGTCAGGGGACTGGCTTGCTGACTATATTGCCAACAGGCTCAAGGTGCATCAAGGGACAGAGCATGTATGTATGATATATGTAGCAGTTTAGTTGGAATGTGTGAATGTAATGATTGGGTGTCCTGGTACACCATGGTGTCAGGCACAGATTTGCCCAACACAGACTTGATGATCTCCATGTCCTTGTGGTATAATTATGTTGACGATGTGTTGTCACAACCTTTCACCCTGGAGACAGTTACAAACGTGTGGTTATAGTGTAGGTTTATGTTACAGTACTACATCTTTGTTTTATTTAGGGGAAGTCTAAAGTTAAAGCTTAAACATAGGAGATGTCACTGTTCGGTTTTTGGCAAAGGTAATTACTGTCATGCAGTGATAAGTTTTGGCACACAGCATCCTTTCTCTCACTTTGTGATTATGGAAGAGAACTTTATTCTGACAATGAAATAGATTTATCTCATCGTTTTGTGTCATATGTGTTCTTTGTGGAGAACTTTAGCCAGTTATGTTATCAACAGTAAGGTATATGTTTGCACAACACAGTTGTTATTGTCCCCCGCCTCAACGTGGAACGAGGGACTATGTATTCAGTGGCGTCTGTAGATACGTCCCGATTCTTGTTATCTCATGAACTGTTGTACCCAATGTCTTCAAATTTGGTGACAGCCTACATTTAGGGATTACCCAGACACCAGTCGATTAGGGTGACCTTGACCCTTATCTTCAAGGTCACCACGATACTTTGACCACTTTTCAAACTTATTTAAATGCGATATCTCATAAAACATTGCACCCAATGTTTTCAATTATGTCGACAGCCTACATTGGGTGATTATGCAGACACCAGTCATTTCAGGCATCTTGTATGTGACCAAAAAATAAAAAGTAGTAAATATAGATATTCCATTCTTTAGCGGTGAGGGACATTGCCATATCAGTGGCAAACACTTATTCAGTCTGTATTTGTTGATTTGCTGCCAAAAATATATTTTCGCAAATATGTTTTTCAATCACAGCTGGGCAGCTGGTTCGAAGCTGTGTTTAGTCACCTGAAGAAGGTGCCCCGCTACCTGGTGCCATGTTACTTTGATGCCATAGTGTCCGGAGCCTATGTCGTGCTACATACCATGGTAGTTCAGCAACTGTCAGAGTAAGTGATAGCCAGGAGTTGCAGACCCCTCCTTACATGTTTTACTACATACCTACCTCTTGACCTGACTAGACACCTACCTCTTGACCTGACTAGACACCTACTCCTTGACATGACCAGACACCTACTTCTTGACCTGACTAGACACTTACTTCTTGACATGACTAGACACCTACTCCTTGACATGACCAGACACCTACTTCTTGACATGACCAGACACCTGCTTATTGACATGACTAGACACCTACCCATTGCCTTGACCAGACACCAACTTATTGACATGAGCAGACACCTGTTTCTTGACATGACCAAACACCTACTTCTTGACATGACCAGACACCTACTTCTAGACATGACCAGACACCTGCTTATTGACATGACTAGACACCTACTCCTTGACATGACTAGACGCATACTTCTTGACAAGACTAGACACATACTTCATGACATGACCAGACACCTGCTTCTTGACATGGCCAGACACCTACTCCTTGACATGACCAGACACCTGCTTCTTGACATGACCAGAAACCTACTCCTTGACATGACCAGACACCTGCTTCTTGACATGACCAGAAACCTACTTCTAGACATGACCAGACACCTGCTTATTGACATGACTAGACACCTACTCCTTGACATGACTAGACGCATACTTCTTGACAAGACTAGACACATACTTCATGACATGACCAGACACCTGCTTCTTGACATGGCCAGACACCTACTCCTTGACATGACCAGACACCTGCTTCTTGACATGACCAGACACCTGCTTCTTGACATGACTAGACACCTGCTTCTTGACATGACTAGACACCTACTCCTTGACATGACCAGACACCTGCTTCTTGACATGACCAGACACCTGCTTCTTGACGTGACCAGACACCTGCTTATTGACATGACTAGACACCTACTTCTTGACATGACCAGACACCTGCTTCTTGACATGACCAGACACCTGCTTCTTGACATGACCAGACACCTGCTTCTTGACATGACCAGACACCTGCTTCTTGACATGACTAGACACCTACTCCTTGACATGACCAGACACCTACTTCTAGACATGACCAGACACCTGCTTATTGACATGACTAGACACCTACTTCTTGACATGACCAGACACCTGCTTCTTGACATGACCAGACACCTGCTTCTTGACATGACCAGACACCTGCTTCTTGACATGACTAGACACCTACTTCTTGACATGAACAGAAACCTACTTCTTGAACTGACTAAACACCTACTTCTTGACATGACTAGACACCTACTTCTTGACATGACTCGACACCTACTTCTTGACATGACTAGACACCTACTTCCAGACTTTACTAAATACCTACTTTCTTGCTTTACTAGACACCTTCCTCCTGGCTTCACCAGACACCTATTTCCTGACTTTACTTTCTGACTTCACTTTTAACAGATGGAGGTTATGTTAATGTCCTTGCCATCAGGTCTTCGTACTCAGAGCAATAGAACTGTAAGTGATAACCACTGGAATGATTGAAGAGGCACGCCTTCAGGTTTGAAATAACTGTTACGTATTTGTCTCTGTAAAGATCACAGTTATGTAAAAACAATAATGAAACCAGACTCTCCTTTCATGTATTGCTTGTATATCATACACAGGTAAGAATGAATTAATTTTCCTTGTAGCTTTATTCGTGATGGCTCCACTTTTGTACAAGCACTTGCCATGGGCTCTGTCCAGTTTTGTGGATTTGTCAAAACCTCCAAGTTACCTCCCTTGTCACCTGACCTAGCAGAGCCACCTGCACGGAGAGAAGTGGACCTGAAAACAGGGGAGGAAACTGAGGCAACACTGTCCTGTGCTGCAGGTATGCTGTGTGTAGTGAGCCTGTAACTGTCTACAAGCAGGACAACTCACTGTGGTTATAGTTGCTATACTTGACCAGCAGGTTACATCCTAGTGCATACTGACAAGAGTGACTCTAGCATTATATTCTGTACTGAGTGATCCTTCAGTGACATGGGTTGGATCAGGTTGCTGAGCACTTTATGCCGGTCATAAGGAGTCCGTAAAATGGATCATGTGGATAGGTTTAGTGACTGGGTTGATTGTAGATCATTTTGCATCAGCGTAGGAAGTTACTCATCATATCAATGACTGGTTTGTGTGGATCAGGCAGTGCAGGAATATTGCTAATTGCTACATGAAACACACAAACTGCTATGTATTCCTGAGCCACAAGATTGTTGATCCAAATAATAAATAAATTCTGTTAATTTTGGATCTGAGTCCTATAAAATAACCCCATGATATGAACGTTCTTGCCTTGCCTTATTAGTTTTTTCACCTGTAAGCAGCTCATGATGTGTTTGTCCAGATGAAGTAGAAGGAGATAATGATGTGTAGACATATGTACAAAGTATTGGTAGCTGTTGACCACATTGTGATGTATTACCCAGGTTTCCCCCACTTTGCCAGTGGCTACATGAGGAACTGGGGCAGAGACACCTTCATAGCCCTGAGGGGGCTCCTGCTGCTGACAGGGAGATACCAGGAGGCAAGGTCAGTCTATGTAACCAGGTGGTCAGTCCAGGTGCTGGCTCAGGTAACCAGGTGCTGGATCAGGTCAGGCCATGTAACCAGGTGTTGGCTCAGGTCAGTCCATGTAACCAGGTGCTGGATCAGGTCAGGCTATGTAACCAGATGCTGGCTCAGGTCAGTCCATGTAACCAGGTGCTGGCTCAGGTCAGTCCATGTAATCAGGTGCTGGATCAGGTCAGGCCATGTAACCAGGTGCTGGATCAGGTCAGTCCATGTAACCAGGTGCTGGATCAGGTCAATCCATGTAACCAGGTGCTGGTTCAGGTCAGTCCATGTAACCAGGTGCTGGATCAGGTCAGTCCATGTAACCAGGTGCTGGATCAGGTCAGTCCATGTAACCAGGTGCTGGATCAGGTCAGTCTGTGTAACCAGGTGCTGGATCAGGTCAGTCCATGTAACCAGGTGCTGGATCAGGTCAGTCCATGTATTACATTTTTTGTTTCAGCAGCATGATAAACATCTTGAGTGTGTGCCACATTGGCATTTCATTACACAATAAGCTGACTAACTGGTAGAAGGTTTCAACCTATGAATTTCTTTCAGAACACATTGGCCCACTTCCAAGATGGAGGCAGTAATTGTAAACTACAAATGTGCAACTCGATACTGGATGGCACTGAAACTAGTCACATTCTCATTTTAACAAAAGGAACTCAGCATAATTAATAGGCTTATACTGCTCACAAGTGTATGCTCCTTATGGTGAAAATTTATACTGAAAATACAACATAAAAATAATGAATACAACAGGTTATGCTGTTAAACATGGGGCTTCAGTATATTGGATATACAAGCCAGACTGTTTTACTATTGCTGTATGGTAGTGCTGTAGATCCTGTATTAGAAATCGATTGACTGCCATTTCAGATGCTTGATACTGGCTTTCGGGGGAACACTGCGACATGGTCTGATCCCTAACTTACTTAACGAGGGAACAGGAGCTCGCTACAACTGCCGTGATGCCATCTGGTGGTGGCTACAGGCAATACAGGAATACACCAAACTAGCACCAGGAGGCAATGATATACTTAAGGATAAGGTGTCCCGACTCTACCCAACAGATGACAGTGAGGCTCTCCCTCCAGGTGCTCATGTGAGTTATACTTCAAATAACCGTATCAAAAGCATTTTTGTATAACCTGGCCTTTATAGTTATATAGTTATATCAAGCAATTCTATCCGTCATAAGGGGTGCGGTGGGGTAGCCTAGTGGTTAAGCCATTCGCTCGTCACGCCAAAGACACGGATTCAATTCCCCACATGGGCACAATGTATGAAGTCCATTTCTGGTGTCCCCCGCCATGATATTGCTGGAATATTGCCTGTCCATCCAATGATAATTTTGTTCAAGCAAAGTGCAAATTTTGATTATAGTATTTTATTTTTTAAGAATTACAGCAATTTTATTAATTTGTTTGTTCACCCAATAACTTGTTTGGTACCAATAACTTGAAAGGTATTGGTCGTAATGTTTCCAAACTGTGAAAACATCTTCCTTGTCTTGAGGAGGGGTGCAGCACAAAGTTGTTCTGACTTTGTATTTTGGGGAATGGTTATGTCAGTTTACATGTTTTGAACCCATGGGAATTTTTTAACACATTTTAATGGATTGTTTTCAAATTTAGGGATCACCTACCATATCTATAGGAGAGGTGCAGTACAAAGTTATATTATAATATTTTCAATGTTCTGAGCATTTGTCAGGTTAAGGCAGGGAAACATTAATTAATTATTTTCATAAGTGTCAGTATTAATAAATAAGCTTAATAGGGAGCTTAACAGGTTGAGTACTGTGTTTGAAATTAAGCTTGAAAGTGAAAAGGAACTTTATGATACAGTAGGTCCCTAGACTGAAAATAAGAGATGTACATGTTTAAAAAATGGTATTTTCAACCCAGGATCAGCCTCTCTTTGAGGTCATCCAGGAGGCTCTCCGTCGCCATGCAGAGGGCATCAAGTTTCGGGAGCGCAATGCAGGACACCAGATCGACAGTGAGATGGCTGATCCAGGTACTACAGAGCTCAAAATCAACCAGAAGATGTGTTTTATCTACTGTTGAAAAATAAATATATAGTCTTCAGAGCATATTCAATGTTCCCCACTGTATTTAGCCAGAATATTGCTGAAGGTGGTGTAAAACTCATTTAACAGATGATGTTGTCTGAATGCCTCTCTTAGAGGGTTCAATGTGGGTGTGAGATGGGAGAGAGGGTTTTCACGGTGTTGTCATGTCTGAACACCCTGTTACAGGGGTTAATGTGGAAGTGGGTGTTGGGTTGAAGACAGGGTTTCACTGTGTTGTTATGTCAGAACACCTCTGTTATGTCTGAAAGGTCTGTTACAGTGTTAATGTGGAAGTGGGTGTTGTTACAGGGTTTCACTGTGTTGTTATGGAAGTGGGTGTGGAAGTGGGTGTTGGGTTGAAGACAGGGTTTCACTGTGTTGTTATGTCTGAACACCTCTGTTACAGGGTTTAGTGTGGAAGTGGGTGTTGGGTTGAAGACAGGGTTTCACTGTGTTGTTATGTCAGAACACCTCTGTTACAGGGTTTAGTGTGGAAGTGGGTGTTGGGTTGAAGACAGGGTTTCACTGTGTTGTTATGTCTGAACACCTCTGTTACAGGGTTTAGTGTGGAAGTGGGTGTTGGGTTGAAGACAGGGTTTCACTGTGTTGTTATGTCAGAACACCTCTGTTACAAGGTTTAGTGTGGAAGTGGGTGTTGGGTTGAAGACAGGGTTTCACTGTGTTGTTATGTCAGAACACCTCTGTTACAGGGTTTAGTGTGGAAGTGGGTGTTGGGTTGAAGACAGGGTTTCACTGTGTTGTTATGTCAGAACACTTCTGTTACAGGGTTTAGTGTGGAAGTGGGTGTTGGGTTGATGACAGGGTTTCACTGTGTTGTTATGTCTGAACACCTCTGTTACAGGGTTCAATTTAGAAGTGGGTGTGAAATGGGACACTGGGTTTGTTTACGGAGGCAATGAACACAATTGTGGTACATGGATGGACAAGATGGGCAGTTCCCCCAAGGCAGGCAACAAGGGCAAGCCAGCAACTTCCAGGTAAGGAGGGCTCAACTATTCCTCAATCATCCCTGTATATATATAAGTATGACAGGATACAGCAAGAGACTGATGCTCAGATAATGCCAGTAATAAATCTTGCACTATTTTGCTCACATTATCCAAGCAGCACTCATTGGTCTCATTGCTTCAGTATCAAGTTAAGGAACAGAATTTGGCTTATTTGAAATCTGTGAATAATACATGTCTTCATTTTATTGATATAATCAAACAGGAAACATATTCTGACATATTTTTGGTGCTATGGGGAAGAAAAGTGTGATAAGCTGTTTCCATATATAGAGCGCTCTTGAGATGTGTGAGAGCCTGTGTATGCCTGTGTATGCCTGTGTTGCAGAGACGGGTCTGCTGTGGAACTGGTGGGACTGAGTGTCTCCACCCTGAGATGGCTAACCAGCCTACACGACAAGGGCTTGTACCCCTACAGTGAGGTGACAGCCTCAGATGATGGTGAGTGACACTGGTACAGCAGAGCTCTCAACTAAGTGTTGAAGAATATTATATTATTGATTATGAAGTTAGTGTGTCCCTATATTTATAATCTGTTGTATTTGTTGGCCCCCACACCATATGTGTAGTTTTCACAACTCTAGGGTCATTTGCTGGACTGGTTCTGAGCAGTGTTTTCAACCAACCTTTCTACTTCTGATCTCCATACTATACATAGACAAACATATTCAAATTTATGTACATAAACTGACAAGGATTACAAGATGCTGGGGATTATCAGAGCAATTGTTTCACTAAATCAGATCATTTTCATCATATTTTGTTTATATAACGGAAATCTTCAAAATGTCAGTTTTGCTTGTTAATCAGACATTTCTTCATGGATGCTTTTAATTTATTTTCAAATCTCTTCTGAAGAAAATTATAGTAAAATGTCACTTTGATCAACTTCAGCCAGAAAACGTTTTGGAATACTTGAAAAATTGAATCCATGTTTCCAGGGCTGAATACTCATGCTTTATCTCCAGGCCAGCAATATGCTGTGTCGTTTACCCAGTGGGCAGACAAGATCAAGGACAACTTTGAGAAATGTTTCTGGATCAGCAAGATCCCAGACCCCAAGGAGACCACACCCGAGCTGATCCACAGGAGGCCTATGTACAAAGACAGCTACCATGCCACACAGTTCTGGGCTAACTTCCAACTCAGGCCCAACTTTGCAGTTGCAATGGTGGTGGTAAGTCAGGCTCAAAATGGTGGAGAAGGGTCATGGTGGTGTGTGGGACTCAACCCAGACTATGATATAGCTAGTCCGTTCAGATTTCCACCTTCTTGGGTCAGAATGATGTAGAGTTGTGTACTGCTGCATAAAACAACAAACAAACGTCTATGGATTGCTGATTTGCCAGATCAGACACAAATAATGTATATCTTTTAAATCTCACCTGCTTTATGTGGAGTTTATTCTGTTGCCCTGTGTGATCTTGTGCCATTGATGTGTAGCTGGAATATTGCATGAGTGAGTGAGTGAGTGAGTTTAGTTTTACGCCACACTCAGCAATATTCCAACTATATGGCGGCGGTCTGTAAATAATCGAGTCTGGACCAGACAATCCAATGATCAACAGCATGAGCATCGATCTGTGCAAATGGGAACCGAGAATATTGCATGAATACACAATGCCATTTAGAAAGTGGTCAAGTGTAACATATGTTATATTTGGGATTACACTTTCTTAGTAAAGTATAGATTCTAGTGCTTTTGGGGGTTGAGTCCCATCCAGGAATCGAACCCGCACCCTCAGAGTCTGACACCTAAGGACCAGCACACAAAGTCAGCCGACTAACTGGCTCAGCCACCACGGCTTTCAGTGTGAAACAACAAATTAGTGGACTAATAACTGTTTGAATTTGCTTTTACTAACCAGGGTCCGATCCACAAAGGGTTGGTAGCGTTATGACCTATCGTAACTCTGTATTTTATCATTGCCTCATGAATGACTTAGTGGTACAAACACTTTGTTCCTGTATCTTATTCTTACTTACTTACTAACATATCCTCTGTACAGGCCCCAGAGTTGTTTGATGTGGACAATGCATGGTCAGCCCTGGAGACTGCTGGGGAGGTTCTTGTTGGACCCCTCGGGATGAAGACGCTGGACTCAAGGTAGAAGTTGTCACACTTGATACACTCTCATTCAAATCTAATGATATATTCCAATACAGTTCCTGTCTGTGTGAAGATCTGAGCATACCTCCACAGGACATGTTAGGTGAACTGTCTCGTCAGCCAATCATTGCCAAGGCTTCTAACCATCATGTATTTTGTATATCAAAAATGAACTAGAACAATTCTGAAAGTATAATGTTGCCGTCATGTTCTTGTGGATGTTCCTACTGTTGGCAATTCATCGGTCTTAATTCAGTCAGAAACCAAAAGAATGGTATCAATTTGATTGTATTTCCCATAGTCCAACTTCTCACTTGACAGACAAAAATAATGGCCAGAGTGAAGTCTAGTGTAAAAAATATGCTTTGGACATAATAAGTTTTTGGGCAATCAGATTAGAGCTCTTAAGGCAGTGTGTGGTGTAAATATTTTCCCCATGGTATATCACCCTACCCCTTGTACCTAGGGACTGGGCCTATGAAGGAGATTATGACAACGCCAACGACGGAGACAACATCAAGCTGGCCCGGGGATGGAACTATCATCAAGGACCGGTGAGTTCCATGCAGCACACATACCAGACAGAGAATGATGTTTCAGGGCTTAACGTCTCTCATATAATCTACACATGAATTCTCTCATTAAATTCAGTAAGATGGACTGTATAAGTTTCAGTTATGACAGCTTGATGTGGGAGGCAATCCCACAGAGATACTGGTTTTACATGTTTACTCATGACATTCAGTAAGATGGACTGTATAAGTTTCAGCTTTATGATAGCTTGATGTGGGAGGCAATCCCATAGAGATACTGGTTTTACATGTTTACTCATGACATTCAGTAAGATGGACTGTATAAGTTTCAGTTATGATAGCTTGATGTGGGAGGCAATCCCACAGAGATACTGGTTTTACATGTTTACTCATGACATTCAGTAAGATGGACTGTATAAGTTTCAGTTATGATAGCTTGATGTGGGAGGCAATCCCACAGAGATACTGGTTTTACATGTTTACTCATGACATTCAGTAAGATGGACTGTATAAGTTTCAGCTATGATAGCTTGATGTGGGAGGCAATCCCACAGAGATACTGGTTTTACATGTTTACTCATGACATTCAGTAAGATGGACTGTATAAGTTTCAGCTATGATAGCTTGATGTGGGAGGCAATCTCACAGAGATACTGGTTTTACATGTTTACTCATGACATTCAGTAAGATGGACTGTATAAGTTTCAGCTATGATAGCTTGATGTGGGAGGCAATCCCACAGAGATACTGGTTTTACATGTTTACTCATGACATTCAGTAAGATGGACTGTATAAGTTTCAGTTATGATAGCTTGATGTGGGAGGCAATCCCACAGAGATACTGGTTTTACATGTTTACTCATGACATTCAGTAAGATGGACTGTATAAGTTTCAGTTTATGATCAGTAAGCTTGATGTGGGAGGCAATCCCACAGAGATACTGGTTTTACATGTTTACTCATGACATTCAGTAAGATGGACTGTATAAGTTTCAGCTATGACAGCTTGATGTGGGAGGCAATCCCACAGAGATACTGGTTTTACATGTTTACTCATGACATTCAGTAAGATGGACTGTATAAGTTTCAGTTATGACAGCTTGATGTGGGAGGCAATCCCACAGAGATACTGGTTTTACATGTTTACTCATGACATTCAGTAAGATGGACTGTATAAGTTTCAGCTATGATAGCTTGATGTGGGAGGCAATCCCATAGAGATACTGGTTTTACATGTTTACTCATCAGCATTGTTCTTACAAACCTGTCAATATATTCAGGGCAAGTCTTCGACTTTAACCCATAATCATAGATTTCTGAGGCATACAACATCTTACTCATGGGGTCTTTCCTGAGCCTTTAATATTGGAAACACTCTACATCATTAATTGCATGCTGGAAATAAAAGTGGAAAAGCAAGCTACCTTTGTTCACATACTGGAGTTACTCATAGAATGGCTTCTGTTATAAGTGTGATATACCAATCTGATAATTGGCCTCACCTTTGAAATGTTCAACGTGTTCTGCCTCTCCATTCAGGAGTGGGTGTGGCCTATTGGGTACTTCTTACGAGCCAAGCTGTACTTTGCATCAATCCTGGAGAAGACGAAGCCAGGTGTCCTGAAAGAGACCGTCAACTTCGTGGAAACTGCGCTGAGTCGGCACTATAAGGAGGTCATGACCTCGCCATGGCAGTCTCTGCCAGAACTCACCAACTCCAAAGGATCAGTAAGTGCAGCTCTTACTATGTCACAAGAACCTGTAACAAACAAGAAGACAATTACATGCCTTTTGTTTAATGCAGACCAAGCTTTTATTCTTGTAACAGCACTTCACAGCTATGTCATGTGATGAAGGGGCAAGACGTATCCCTGAAATGTTGTTCAATAGAATAAGGAAGTTGTTATGCATAAAGAAAAGTGTAATGTATTAATGTTCTTCCAACTTCTAAATGCCTTGCAAAGACTTCAACAAGAATGTGTCATTATCTGTCATAATAAATTGTTTGTTCCTTGAAATACACTATCAGGGAGTGAGTTAGTTTTAACAGATATTTTATTGATATTCCCAAGTGATGTGTGCCACAGACCAACTTCTGTCAGAGTGGATACACTGATGATTCAAATCTCAAAAAACTTGAGTGTATGGGAGATCACACACTCTGATTGTGACAACAATAGTGAAGAATTAAGATAATAGTGATAGTATTAGTACTATGTTTGTGTTTCAGTACTGCAGAGACAGTTGCAGAGCCCAGGCATGGAGTACTGGGTGTGTTCTGGAGGTTCTCTACGATCTGGAGATGTTACAGAAGGACGAGGCTGCTTGATGCAGGCTGTCGTAGATGCTGGACACTTAGCTTACACCAAAGTTGTAGACTGAGCAGATTGTTGGAGAGTCATGTAGCACACTGTTTGCCACACACTTCAGAAGGAAGGGAGGAACAGTGTCAAGTCTTAAGTGTTTTTATTCTGGAATAGTGTTGAAAGTGTTCTGGAAAATCAAATCTATAGTCATACTTGATGTTTGTTTTAGTTGTTGAACACTACACTCCGTGATATTCCAACTATATGGTGGTATACTTTGGGTAATTTCTTCTTAAAAACTACTGGTCTGATAAGTCTAGAATAGAAAGAGAGGGAAAAATACTGCTGTATGCTTGTTCCACTGAATGCTAAATCATTGTGTTGCTATTTTAATACATGCATAGGGATTTGTTTTCTTTTTAAATCACTTACACGCTTTCTTCTTTCTGTAGGTGCCAGTCCTCTCTCAGTGTTCATGAGAAAATGTCAAATCATGTTCAGCCAAAAAGTGTTCAGATTTTTTAATTTCCACAATATAGAAAGTATGGATGAAAGGTTCCAGTATTCTGAAAAGATTATTATGATGGCATATTTATGATGACAATCCCCGATCTCTTAGATAGCATTATATTGCACTCGATCTCAGCACTGCTAGTCTCATCACCTGTTTCTGCATTGTTTGTTGTTCTGCTAGTTTTGCAGCTGAAAATCATGAACTGCAATCATTTATGGTGTTCAGTGTCCAACTAAAAGTGAGTTAGTTCAAAGTATGCTTATGGGAGCAGAGGCTGCAACATTCTTTGTCCTGTAACATTGCTGAGCTGGAACCTTGATGTGTGACACTGTAACATGGTATGATGGCATCCAAGGATGTCGGTGCTCATTATAAATAGAGGGATAAGTAGATGCACATATATTTTATCCATTTTCAAAACAATTTACACGTGCAGATACTTATTAGGATGTTTTCATTTTGATAAACATTTATCCATATGTGGTTAACATATTTTGGAAAGTTAAATGCTATTAATGATACTTTAATATGAAACTGTTACACAATGTGCCCAAACAGTAAATGCTTGGTAACACCAGTCTCTTCTCATATGGACAGATTCAGTGATGCAGATTTTTTAAAAGATTAGCTTAGAAACAGATAGATACAGCGTTACTAGCATCAGGGATTAAAAAATATTTAAGTTAAAAAATGTAACTTATCCCAAGTCAAAACATTTCCCCAGCACATCATGTCTGTTTTCTAAGTTACTGTAAACATGATTGGCAGGCACAGTTGCAACATGGCTGATTTTCTGTCATGTTTTGTGTTTAATTCTACATGACAGTGTTCCTATGCAACCAAAATCTGTAAATGGATCAGCCTAGTTCAGTATGTCCTGGGAAGATGATGAATATTTTGTACCAGCTTGTGTAAAAAAAACCTAGTCAGACATATCAGAATTGATACATACCAATATGGCATCAAACATTGATTACTGGCTTTCTTAAATAATGAGATTTACAATTTGATATAACTATGAGAAGGCATTTTTTACATAGACATCTTATAGTGTGATTTCATACCTCTGGGCATTCATTAGTTTAGTAGGAATCTATTCAGTAGACATACTGTGTCAGTATAACCCTGATGACATGTTCAGTCAGAAGTGGTCAGTTGAGGTCTGTTCACTGCCAACCTTTACTACCTGCACTTATGTCGTTACTATATATTTCCACGTTTATTTCTGCGTGGCTCTAGTTGATCTTAAGATAGAATAACTGAAATCCCAAAATATGTACCTCTTTTTCAAAATCCTTTATATCAACAAATCTACAGCATGGTAGTTAGCATTGCTTATCAACTTCTGATTCTGATCATCTTGCATCTGTTGCATTCTCCTGTTTATTCCTATGTCAACAACTTTCCCTGTTTATTCCAATGTTAACAACCTTCCCTGTTAACAACACTTCTGTTTATCTGTTAACAACTATAGCTGTTTATTTCTGTTAACAACTCTCCCTGTTTATTCCTGTGTTAGCAACTGTCCCTGTATATTCCTATGCTAACAGCTTGTCAGTGGTTATTCCTGTTTGTTTACAGTTTTCCCATGTTTATTCCTGTAAGCTGTCTTCCCATGTTTGTTCCCAGCAATTCCAATCTAAAATATGGGTATTACACAGTATAGAGATTATTTCTTCTAGTTTGTTGAACTCCTATATCTGTTATTGTCTGACTGGTGTATATGTGAGCAAGCATTGTTTTTTCCTAATCTTGTGTGATAGGAACATTTATGAACACTAATAGCTGTGTTTGCCTTGTATTAGTGGTGTGTTAAAGAACCAAAGTAATGTAGATTTGTTTCGGAGTTTTCAGATATGTTTGGATCAGGATCTGTATTTATAATATAAGAATAACGTTTTCTGATTATATAAAGTTGCGTTAGTGTAGCAGGGCGTGGAGTCATCCCACAGATGACATCCTTACCTTGTCTGCTTGCTGACGGGGTTAACCTTTTTGGTCATGTGGAGAAGGCGTACGACTTCGGATCAGAAGGTTCGTGGTTCGAATACCAGCACGGGACTTGGAAAGTTTATGGCCGCTACATTAGAACCAACCTTTTCAGCCTATTTGCCAAGCTTTTGTTTGCAATGCTTAGTTCTTCCAGTTATTTACACATTAACAATGCATTATCTGTGATGGTAAAACTTTAATTTGTGTTTGCCGAGACTGCAGATTGTCTGTTTATGACTGATATGGAAGGATAACAATATAACTCTCTTTATTACAATGAGAGCGACATTTCAGTGTAGGTTCTAACACCATTATCAAGCAAGTGGTATGTTAGAACAGCTGTTGTGGCATGGTCATTTCTATAGTAAAAAGAGTCTACTTGTCTACTTACAAGTTATATGATGAAATGTTAAATGTTTCACTATAACAGTGGTCTGATTTGTTTTCGGTCTTAAATTTGAAAAAGTGACAGACTTAAGGATGTTTGATTGTATAAGAAGAGATGAGTGTATGAAAGGCACAAAGTGGAATTCGGAGTGTGAAGATAGGTAGTGAGTCTGTTAATCTCAGTGTGTGAAACAAGCTCAGTTTAAACTGGATAATAAACTGTTATTTACATATGTGGATGGTGTACAGCTTTCCAGAAGATAATTATTGTAATTAGTTAAGTGATTCCGATGTACATATACATGTGTGTAGTATAAACGAAAAATGAAGTTGATGAAATGTTGATTGGTTCTGGATGGGTTTGTGAATATGAGGTATTTCTGTTATAGGATATTATTCATATGGAACTTATAGTTCTATCCAAAGCAAGTTTATGCAAGCATATCTAAAAGATACACATATCTTTTGAAAATATTGAATTACAAGATTTCAAGTGGAATTGTTATATTACATTTCCATGACTACAGTGCTGATTGAGTGTAAAGTTGTGTGAAGCAATTGATTTGATTTGAATGGAGCATACAGGAGAGTTGTATCAATTATGTTTGGTCTATTTAGAATATACTGATGGAGAAAACTAAGGCAACATGTCAGTGAAGTATTGACATGCTACTCAGTATATACTTGAAGACGAAAGTTACCCACAAATTCAGTTTCACTACAGGTATTATCTTGTATGTTTTGTTGACATGAAGGATTTGATATTGACCATAGCAGTCAACTGTCTTTGTCTCTATGGGTATTTGTTCCCGTTTTATCGCACCAGAAAATGAGGTCAGGTAAGGCAAACGGTAGACAGGAGGTCAAGTCACATCAGGTGAACTCTATGAGGTCATGTCCGGCAAACGGTAGACAGGAGGTCATACACGCTAAAATCTACACAGGAGGTCAAGTAACATCAGGTGAACTCTACACAGGTCAAGTCATGTATTCTAAACCCTACACAGGAGGTCAAGTCATGTAAGTGAACTCTACACAGGTCAAGTCATGTATTGTGAACTCTACACAGGTCAAGTCATGTATTATGAACTCTACACAGGAGGTCAAGTCATGTATTGTGAACTCTACACAGGAGGTCAAGTCATGTATTATGAACTCTACACAGGAGGTCAAGTCATGTATTATGAACTCTACACAGGAGGTCAAGTCATGTATTGTGAACTCTACAGGAGGTCAAGTCATGTATTGTGAACCCTACACAGGAGGTCAAGTCATGTATTGTGAACCCAACACAGGAGGTCAAGTCATGTATTGTGAACCCAACACAGGTTCTGCCATGTGAATCCTCAACAGTAAGTCATATGAGGTGACCCCCCACAGGAGGTCATGTCATATCTGATAGAAACTCCACAGGAAGTTATGAAAGCTCAACAGGAGATCATATGTGGGGGTAATTCTACACATGTTATGCAAATCCCACATAATCATGTCCGACAAATCCTCCACAGGAAGTTACATCAGGTGAATCTTCCACTGGAGATCGCATCAGGTGAACCCTCCACACTTCGGACAAACCCTTCATGAGCAAACTTTCACTGCCCTATTGAAATAATATCATTGGTTTTTGTAGTCAATCAAATATCAACTCTGACAATTTGGCCTCACATAGTTGTGATTTGTTATGCTTGTATCCATGGTAAGGGCTCTTCTGTTACATGCTCTAGCCCATGTTAACAATTGCTAAATGCTTGGTTTTGCTTTGCTGAACAGGTTTTATATAGAGTCTTATTCCATACGCAGGAGTGATATTAAATATTTTTCGTTATAATGAATTATTTGTCTGTTGTCATTTGTCTGGCTGTGACTTTCAGTGAGTGAGTTAAGTTTAATTTCCCTTCCTTAGCCTTTTAGTTATATGGTTTCAAATATATACTTCCCATCAAAAGTTTAGACTCACTAGTGTAAATGTAGCCACTTACTTCAGGCAATTGTTCTAAACAAAATTTTGCAAAATATTCCATACTGTTTAAAGGTACTGTTTATACATGAACTGATGCATTGTGAAACAAATTCATACAGTTGAAAAGATTATTGTCATGAGTTCAAGAAATTATAAAACTCCATGAAAATTGGCGAATTCTTAACAAAACTTTACACCAAAATGCAGCTGTTCACATGCATGATATTTGCACATGCTTTTCAGCAATTTGATGCATGATCCTCGTGCAATTCATCTGCATAAGGTTGTGAAACAAATTCATACAGTTGAAAAGATTATTGTCATGAGTTCAAGAAATGATAAAACTCCATGAAAATTGGCAAATTCTTAACAAAACTTTACACCAAGATGCAGCTGTTCACATGCATGATATTTGCATATGCTTTTCAGCAATTTGATGCATGATCCTCGTGCAATTCATCTGCACAAGGTTTGCAGTTGGTTCCCCAAGTTAGTGGAGAAATCAATCTTCGATGTAACCATATATATGTACATATAGTGAGTGTTTTCAGTGAGTCTAAACTTTTGATGGGAAGTATATATGGAAATGAAGTGAGTTAGGTAGTTCAGGTTTACGCAGCTTTTAGCAATATTCCAGCAATATCATGGCAGGGGACACGAGAAATGGCCTTCACACATTGTACCCATGTGGGGAATCGAACTTGTGTCTCCAGCGTGACGAGCAAACGCTTTAACCACTAAGCCATCCCACAGCCCCGGAAATGAAGTGAAGCATGTTCATGTCTGTGAATCACTTGTCTTACAATTAAGTTACATGTGCCCAGGCATTCATTTCCACAAGCATAGATGTTCAAGCAGAGGACTGTACCCACCTGTCTTCTTTCAACATTTACTTCTCTGGTGTGTACTGAGTATTGAAATAATAATTAAATATCTCTTTGACCAGTAAATTAGACCCCACACCTGGTAATCATACGTTATCACCTGTTTGAGTTAAGTTACCATTTTCTGACCCCACATTTTGCAGTCTTTCAGGTAGGCTTCATGTTGTAAACAGATCATAATAAACAACCACTGCTGTATATGTGAAATCACATAACGAAGCATATGATTTAATACAAAACATTTTTTTGTTTATTGTTTAGTGACGTTTTCAATGTAGATTCTTGCACCATTAGCAAACTAAAATTTGTAGCCTCTTAAAACAAGTTTAAGTCACAGAGCACCATTATATCGCAGAAACCTTTTGGAGAGATATTTTTGGAAGGGAAGGTGTATCCACAATTCAGGGATGGTCTGTCATCAGCCATGACCTAACACCAGTGATTAGGGATGTATATTGCTATGGTAGATGTTTTTCAACATCACCCACAATTTACACAGTAAGAAACAAGAAAAGCCCAGGGAGATTTCATTACCATAAAGAACAGGTTAGACAACATATTCCATATTGTTTATTTGAGTGCATGATATACACATAATCGATGTCTTGCAGCAACTTGTGCCTCTACACCAGTACATCAGTAACACAACATAATATACATCATCACATGATACGCCAACAGGTGCTACACAACAGCCAAGTTGAAGACAATCGGACTCAACAATCACATACCTGGTAGTTTTCAAGTTACTGATTTCACCTACCTGAGCTGAAAGATGCAGTCAGAAAATAAAATAAACTTATATAAATGTATTTTTATTTATTCAACTGCCCTATCATTGATGGGTTGCCAATATAAAAACAAAATTAAGAAATTAACAAAAGGCAACTTTTTTAATGTATACTTCTTGACCATGTTCATTGTACACACTGAAAACATAGGAAGCCTTCACTGACAGAAGTATGTGTACATCATAATATATAACCATTATACCAGCAGAACAATCAGAATTTACTTCACTCCGTATACATGTACTAATGAACCAAATGTAATAACTTGATGACAAATTGAGTCTTCCATATTTATTATTACTTATATTTCCACCTGTCCAAGATCAATAAACCATAAAATTAGTATAGTGTGGCCTTCAACCCTTCAGTTACAGCTGCATATTGACATAGATTTGAGAATTTAAAAAAAAATTAAACATGCAAATCACCTTGCCTAAGAAGAAGAATCAGTTTGTTGTAATCTCCAGTTGAATTTAACATTACATCTACAGAGTAAATGTAAATCATCTACACACTGCTCCCATCCCTGGCCCTGTACCCAGCTGTACCCATCTACACACTGTTCCCATCTCTGGCCCTGTACCCAGCTGTACCCATCTACACACTGTTCCCATCTCTGGCCCTGTACCCAGCTGCACCCATCCACACACTGTTCCCATCTCTGGCCCTGTACCCAGCTGCACCCATCTACACACTGCTCCCATCCCTGGCCCTGTACCCAGCTGACCCATCTACACACTGTTCCCATCTCTGGCCCTGTACCCAGCTGCACCCATCTACACACTGTTCCCATCTCTGGCCCTGTACCCAGCTGTACCCATCTACACACTGTTCCCATCTACACACTGTTCCCATCTCTGGCCCTGTACCCAGCTGCACCCATCTACACACTGTTCCCATCTCTGGCCCTGTACCCAGCTGCACCCATCTACACACTGTTCCCATCTCTGGCCCTGTACCCAGCTGCACCCATCTACACACTGTTCCCATCTCTGGCCCTGTACCCAGCTGCACCCATCTACACACTGTTCCCATCTCTCTGGCCTGTACCCAGCTGCACCCATCTACACACTGTTCCCATCTCTGGCCCTGTACCCAGCTGTACCCATCTACACACTGTTCCCATCTCTGGCCCTGTACCCAGCTGCACCCATCTACACACTGCTATCCTGGCATCTGTACCCAGCTGCACCATCTACACACTGTGCTCCCATCTCTGGCCTGTACCCAGCATCACCCATCTACACACTGTTCTATCTCTGGCATGTACCCTGTTGCACCCATCTACACACTGTTCCTATCTCTGTACCCAGCTGCACCCATCTACACACTGCTGCTCCCATCTCACACACTGTTCCCATCTCTGGCCCTGTACCCAGCATCACCCATCTACACACACTGTTCACCCATCTCTGGCCCATCTCTGGCCCTGTACCCCACAGCTGGCCCTGTACCCATCCATCTACACACTGTTCCCATCTCTGGCCCTGTACCCAGCTGCACCCATCTACACTGTTCCATCTCTGGCCCTGTTCCTCCTGTACCCATCTCACACTGTTCCCATCTCTGGCCCTGTACCCAGCTGCACCCATCTACACACTGTTCCCATCTCTGGCCCTGTACCCTGCTTCACCCATCTACACACTGTTCCCATCTCTGGTCCTGTACCCAGCTGCACCCATCTACGCACTGCTCCCATCACTGGCCCTGTACCCTGCTTCACCCATCTACACACTGTTCCCATCTCTGGCCCTGTACCCAGCTGCACCCATCTACACACTGTTCCCAATATCTGGCCCTGTACCCTGCTGCACCCATCTACACACTGTTCCCATCCTGGCCCTGTACCCAGCTGCACCCATCTACACACTGTTCCCATCCTGCCATGTACCCAGCTGCACCCATCTACACACTGTTCCCCAGCTGCACCCATCTACACACTGTTCCCATCAGCTGCACCCATCTACACACTGTTCCCATCCTGGCCCTGCCCTGTACCCATCACTGGCCTGTACCCAGCTGCACCCATCTACACACTGTTCCCATCAACCCTGTTCTACACACTGGCCATGTACCCCTGGACCCGGGTACACTGTTCCCATCCCTGGTCCTGTACACAGCTGCACATATCTACACACTGTTCTCATCTCTGGCCCTGTACCCACATGCACCCATCTACACACTGTTCTCATCCCTGGCTGTGTACCCAGATGCACCCATCTACACACTGTTCCCATCCCTGGCCCTGTACCCAGCTGCACCCATCTACATACTGTTCCTATCTCTGGCCCTGGACCGGGTGCTGTTCCAATCTCTGGCCCTGTACCCTGCTTCACCCATCTACACACTGTCCTCATCTCTGGCCCTGTACCCAGCTGCACCCATCTATAGACTGCTCCCATCTCTGGCCCTGTACCCAGCTGCACCCATCTATAGACTGCTCCCATCTCTGGCCCTGTACCCAGCTGCACATATCTACACATTGCACTTGAGCACACTGAAATTAATATCTGTACTAAATAATGCCATAGCTATTGGATGGGGAAGCTACTTGGACTACCATGAAACAACGTACATGCTTGATAATTTCATTCTTGTTATCCTTTATACCAAACCATGTCATGATGATGTCTATCCCACATTAGATTAACCTATCAAATTAGATGAACCAATTTAATAATATTCACACAAATAACTGTTATAACATATTACATAGGACAACAAAGTACAGTCAACGAAAGTCTTTACAATGAGGTAATATGAATACATTGCTCACAGATTTTCAAGTTAGTACAGTCTTAGTCAAAAACACATTATACATATTATTCAACATACAATATTTCAGTTTCTCGTCCATCTCCTTCATATATATCAAACAAGCTATACAATAGAAAAAATAAATATACACGTCTGGCCTGCACAAAATTAAACAAATTCAATTATGGGATAAAATCTCATACATATACAATCAATTTAAGATCTGCGCATTTGGTCCCCAGTATATTTAACTTTACAAAATGACACAACAAAACACAAACCCTTTATCAGTACACAATGGGTAAATACAGATACTAAGGTCACTAAAAGCAAACTGGAAACTAAGGTCAATTAATGCAAGTGACTTTCTGCCATCTGCCATTATAATGGCCTATTTCTCTGAGCATCAGCTTGTCAGGAATTCATCAGTGCAGCTCCACATATTTACAAGGTTATTCAGTTGACAAGATCAAACACTTTACTCAGAACTAGCCTGGCTGTCAGTGGCAATCTTGATTCATTATCAGATGAAATAAACTGATTATTTCTTAAAATCCAGTTAAACTGTGTTGATTTAGATGTATTACAAGTTTGGGATCATGTTGATAAGTTAACGGCATCCTGTATAACAGTTAAGTTAGGGGCAAGTACTCCAGTGGTCAAGAACATGAGCAGGAGTCGCAGCTAAGGTATGACCTTCCCATCACACTGATCTTCTCAGAGCCATTGCCAATCCATGAGGGACTCTGCAGGTACCTGTCTCTGGTTGCCATGGTGAGCGAGTCAGTTTTTTCGTACACAACTTCAGATGGAAGACACCAAGAATGGGCTTCACACAAATACCAGTGGTGAGAAGTGGGTCTTTGACATGACTAGGAATCATGCTAAACCAGATTACCCCGATGTGCCCTGCCAGTGGTGTCAAGCAAAGTAAAAGGACAGGAGTGAGTGAGTAAGTATGGTTTTATGCCACTTTTAGCAATATTTCAGCAATATCACAGCAGGGGACACCAGAAATGGGCTTCACATATTGTACCTATATAGGGAATCGAACCCCGGGTCTTCAGTGTGACAAGCGAACACCTTAACCACTAGGCTACCCCACTGCCCCTGAAAGGACAGGATATACATACAAGTCAATGAAGAAGACCGAGAGGGAATGAACGGCACTAAAATGGAATGGTTCACTTGCTGCAGTGTTATTTTTAACTGCTACAAAACTTTAGACAGATCCCTTCACCTCCTATACCAGCTGACTAATGCTGATACAATCAGGGCAACAGGGGCAAAAGGGACACATGACAACTGGGAAACATCTACAGTTTTCCTTATACTACATAATAAAGTTCATTATGGATGTAAACCTGCTGAGTACATAGACATTAGGAGATCATACAGGGAACATAACATGGAACGTACATCTGGGCAAAACTGAACATTTATGTAATTCATGTGACACATGAAATAACTGACATAATGCATGTAAATAATATATATCATAAATCTGTTTATTACAAAAAAATTAATATGGTCCTGTAAATGGTAGTAAGTACATTAAATATAGCATGGATAAATAACAGTTAACATTGTATTGCTTGATCTGTGTGAAAACTACAGCATTATTCTGAGATTCTTATTTGACTGACTTTCCATGCAGCTCAGACTAAAAACATGCTGATTAAAGTTCTTGGATATTTTTTCATGGTGTTGTTTTTTGCCAAATCAATTTGTTCTCTTTTTTTTTAAAGTGACAAAACCCCTCAAATCTTAACAAACAAATAACAAAATAACTTCAAAGTTTGAATTGTAATTTTGAATCTTATGCATATTTAGTTCCATATATATTTCAAGTGTTCGTCTAATTCAATGGACTCAGATCAACCAAGAATACATTATATAATACCTCAATTATGCCTTATCTCTTGCTGTAGTGATCAAGACAATCCTGAAAGTGAACAAGCTTTGCCCTAAACAAAACTAACCAAATCTGCTCCAGACTGGTATGTTATCAGATACAACTTGAAAATTAATCCAAAACATTTGGTCATAAATATAATATGAGTTGCTGTGCACAAAACACATAAAGAAATGACTTGGCCGGAATAATGACAAAAACCTTTTCTCTGTTTATCCTGAGTGAACAAGCTGGCATCTCTGCTGACTGAGCTACTGTTTTAACAATTCTATAGGGCCATTACACATTATAGAAGCAATACAATGACATTTAACTTCCTTCAGCCTGTTGAGAAAACAAGGTGGTTTAGTCAACATCAAAACAGTAACAAATCTTACAAAGAAATTCTGACTAAAATTACAACAATCAGATTCAACACTATTGTGTACAACAGTAGGGAAGGAGTGGTCAGTTTGTTCATGTTTAAAATGTCCTTTCTGAAACAGACACGCTTCAGATCATGTCCATTTCAATATCTTACAAATATCGCACATCAAGGATGTCTTTCAGCCATACACTAACAACGATAATGAAACCCAGTATTAAACTAGGCCAAATGGAAAACATAAATCAGATTCTAAATGAAAGCAACAACAAAAAAATAAACCCTGGAAGGTGATCTCTTTAGAAGTGAGAATACTACCGGTAGTAAAATATTTGTTTCCTCACAACAACAATAATTGCCATTATCATGAAATGTTCTTTTGTACTTCTTCTTAGTGTAAATGAAACAATTGTGTCTGGTCCCTTTGATTAATCAAGCAGTTTCAGGAATAACTATGTACTTACAACATCATACACTCATCTCACAGTGCATATGACAAGCTGATGAACCAGTGACTGGATGTTCTAATATTGACCAGGTACAGACTCTATATATACTTGCTGCAAATGCTATATCCAATGACAATGGGCAATATCTAATTTTCACAATGATCAACATTCATGTTTCATACCCTTGACCTCATTCCACAAGTGATCTTAGCTAAGACTTTAGTAAGTCTCTCTCACAGTATGGTCACAATGCTGAGATACTTTTTGTGGAAAGGAGCCATGATGATATTTTGAGTCTAACAACTGCTTGGTTCTCAGGCTCTCCTGTCCAGTAAAACCACCTTAAATGAAATAATTATTCTGGATGCCAAAAATGGAAATATTAACTTTAGGGTGCACTTTTAAAACTCCAGACAGAAAAGACAAGAACAATCCTCCTTAAAATTTAGTTAATGTCTTAGCATCATACATGTAAATACATACAGTAAGTAACATATAATGAAACTAGCCTCCATAGATATCACCTCATGATATAATACATAATATATCACATCACGTGTAATGCAAGTATGACAACTATATACAATGTTAGAGGTAAGTATTATATGGTAAATAAACAAACATATAAACAAGAATGACTAGATATCAAATCACAGGACAGAAAAAGATGAAGAAATTGCACTGAAAGGACAAGTAGACACTCATTACATGACACACATACAATTAAACAGGTAATCAACCTCACAACATTTCCATGTTCTATATGCAGGCTCACCCTAGACACTGTTCTTGCAAAATAGTCCTAGTCTCTCCACTGTTTATACATTAAAGATTCTCATCTTCAAATAGTGGTTCATTTGCGAGCATTTGGGACGCTTGCTTGTGTTAGTTTTTCCGTTAGTCCAAACACTTAAATCAATATACACAGGACATTACTCAGTGACCATTACTTAAAGGTTTCATGGAACTAGTCATCTCCAGTGGGCTCTGAGAGTTCAGGGAAGAGACTAACTTAGACTTGATCTAGTACAGACGGTGTTGTATGAATAGCATGTCATACTGCCATGATGACCAAAGTCATTATACGTTGCCACAGGCTCTTGTCCAATGAGATCTGTTAGTGCATGAAACATCTTTGCATCAAAGTTACTTGTATATATCAAGTTAGTGTCATATTTCACCTCATGGTAAAGATCATGCTACTTCTCTTTGGCAAGTAATTTCTGAATTTTTAATACAATCTATTTGGTATAAAATATCCTACAGCAGCATATCTGAAGGAAATATTTTCATACAACAACCTTTCGCATTTATTCATTGCACAAGAACGCATTGTACAAAGTCAAAACCAAGGTTTATTCGGTTCCATCTCGTATAACCTACCATGCAATTCGGCTAAGATGTAGTTAGTTTCTAGCACAGTTCATCTACAATTAACACAACACACCCTTTACACATGTTAACCAGGTAGGCTTCTCGAATCTTACAGAACAGAAATGAAAGTTAGGAGCAAGTTCTGAACAAAAGAAGAAACATTTTGCATTCAAATCCAACATAAATAACATCAACATTTTGCCATGATCTTGCATTCTTGAATAAAGCATAGCACAGCAAGTAAACAATATTAAAGCATGGTAAACAACAGACACAACCACAAATAAATGCCACCAATGATTTAATGTACCCCCAATAGTCGTAAGAGCTATTTGAGTTATCCAGTAAAAACTACATGTTGAGATGAGTAGCATGGTGAGATTATTGTAGCAATCAGCAGATATCCCAATTCCTGACATTAAATATAACTGTAAACCAGAAACCACAGTATTAATCATCTATTGTTAGTTTGCACATTCAATTTTAAGTTAATTGCTCCATACACAGGAAAGTATGATCGAATGATTTCACACCTAATACAAAACAATACAAGATGGTGATGAAGGTAGAAACTGTAAATTCAAAAGAACAACTGTTCCACCTACTATTATAATTACAAGACCAGCAAATCAATCCCCTTTTGATAATCCCCTGCAATCACTTTGATTTAGTACAAAAAACAAACAAAACATAGGGTAAATAAATACTACAAAAATCATTCAGTACATCAATTAAGTAGGAACATCAAGTAACACTGAACCTATGTCATGTGGCTTAGATGAGAATTTGAATATTGTCTAAAAATGGTTTAAGCTGGCATGACCATTAATTGTATTTCTGTGAAAATGCCAAAGTGATGTGTTAAAGTAAATATTGTTTATTTTGATTTCAGGTTCATTTCATTGAACCAACAAAAATCTCATCAAAATACTTTAAAATTTTAAAAAGAAACAAAAACGTATTTAAAATTTGGTATATTTCTAACCAAACATTGTTAGTAATGTGACTTCCTTTTGTCACACTTGTTCAAGGTTAATCTGTAAGACCAATAACAAACTGGTCTTGTTTAAAGAAAACTAATATGTGCTTACTGTCCACAAAATCACACCCAAACCTAAACCACTTATTTCTTCAACATATAGCTAACACTGCGTCATGTCAAATTAATGAAAACATATGATCATAGTACTTGGGTAAGATTTTTTAGCCATCACGCAGGTCTATAAGTAGAAGTCTTCAAATCCCATAGCAGCAACCTGGAATCCCCTTTCTTCAACACTGTACATACTACCTACAATGCTCTAAATGTCGACAGATAAAGAATACCAGGATCATAAGCTTTACATGTTCTTCAATATCCTTCCCACAATACAATCCTTTCACAACTCACAACACATAACAAACAGTCACCACTCTTTCAATCCCACTGATTCAGGTTATCTCACAAAAAGGTTTCTATAAAGAGCAAGTTAAATGGATACACGAAAACAACAAGAATTTCTACATTGCTGAGATTGTTCAAAGAGATGAAATATTCAAACTAGCAGTCATGCATATGATATGCAGAAACATTTACAAAAGGCCGGATTTCACTATCTCACATCTATACACATCTACTGGATGGAAGATTAATGTATAAGTTCCTGGCAATGATAAACATGAGAAACACTTAAAGATCGACTATGCATCCTCCTCGCGATGATGTCTACTAAGCAAGAAAGTAAGAGCTTGGGAAATAATGTCGGGAATATATAACAGGAATGTTAAACATCATCAAATATCCCCTTCAGGGGTCGTGACGTAGGTCTACTGGAGCTGAATCGGGAGGGCGCAGGTCGAGACTGGTACCCCAGCGGCACAGTGTCAGCACTGCGAGTATACTCTGCTAGCGGGTCGGACCGGTCGTCGGTGTAGTCAATAGGTTCGGCTTGACGGAGGAGCTCAGTGCGGTCGTTGTCGTCGGGGCTTCTTGGCACAGTGTATGCCCCTGAACGAGGAAAGACATGATAGACTAGCCATTCCTTGTAGAGATTTAAAACCCTTCTCCTTAATATGACATGGAAGTTGAGTATGTTAGCCACATTGCTGCTGTAATTGTGGTTTTTTTTTTCCTTTTAACATTATCATCTTTGCTGAGTGAATATATATATACCGTATATTACCGTAGATAAGCCTAATTTTGAAGACAAAAAAAGCAGTCTGTAGAAGGGGGTCAGCTTATCTATGGGTAACACTTTGGGGGGGTCTGTGGGGGGAGAGGGGGGCTTATCTACGGTAATATACGGTATAATTGGACTTTTAGCAGAAAATTTTAATTTGGTTCAACTTCTTTTCTCAGTGCAGGTCAAACAATCAGATCCCTATATGACAATACACATGAACCACTGGTGTTTCATCAGTGTCAGTGAACATGAGTGAGAAAGTCAAAGGCACTATCTTTTTAAAAAGATGTATGAAATGGTTTTAACTTATTTAAGTAACACTCTTTAAAATGAACTCTACCCTCATTTGAGCAAATGCAAATAAACAACATAAAAAATTTGTAAATATTTTCTATTTGGTTGCAAAAAGATCACAAAATTATAGAAACTGTGGCCATACCTCTCTTATCTGTGCTGGTGGGGGGAATCCGCTGGGGAGGAGTGGACGGACTCGCCCCACTGTCCAGCCTACCAGTCTCATGCCAGTGTTTACGTTTGTGGTCCACATTCACCTGCCGCTCTCTTTTCCGCTTCTCTGGAATTAGAATTTCAAACTTAACGTTTCCAATTTCAGAAACTTACACAAACCTTTAGAGGTTATGAATTCTTTGAAGAAAGTCCTCCTTGGGGTACGGATAAGCATTAAAATGTCCATTTTAAATACTACGACAGTTGTAACTATATTTTTCAATAAAATATTTACAAAACAAAAAACTCGTGTCTTGTGAGACCACCCCTAGAGGGTCCCACCAGATCCCCTACAGCCAAGAGCAGGTAACTCTCGCCGTCTACCTCGTACCTCACTTTTCATGCTGAACGTATCAGACAGAATGAGGGGGGCGGAAGAAGTCCTCCTTGGGGTACATGGCAACAACTAAACCCGTGGTGGAGTGAAATCTACAACCGATATGGAAATAGAAAAAACACATTTACTGAGCCACCTGACCGCTGATGTGAATCAGGCGGGGCCGTGGCTAGGGCGGGAAATAGAGAGCAAAAGCTTACCGGTATACGTCAATTGGCTCAATCAATTATGACATAAAACCCCATCCCCAACCATTACAATGGAAAGGAATGTATGGGGACATGCCGAAACAACTCCCAACCTTAATATAGCCCGAACCAGAGAAGCGTGGCGAGAGGTATAAGGGTAGGGAAAGCGTTAAAACACTTAAAAGCCAATAACCCAGGAGTCGAGCTAATAAGTACTGCAAACTAATGCTCGAATGCACCCCCTACTGTTTGGAAGAGGGCTTGCTGGGATAAAACCCAGAGAAATTATTAGCCTCGCTAAAAACTTTCTGAGGAAATCGAATGAGTACAAACGCCATGCATTGTACGAGTGAAAAGCAGGATAAAACACCCCCACCAAACGCCCTCGGCATGAGGAGGGTAAGTGTAAACCACCATCACCCAAAGTGCTGATTAATACAGACTCCCAAATACCAAAGTCTCGGAAAACTGTTAGCGTACAAAAATCCCCTGAATAGTGAAAAGGGTAGCCGAACATGTGTTGGCTCACTATTACGCTAACCTGGTCACGTGACATGCGGCTCAAAGAGAGGCATACCAAACAGTGACCCATGGGGATTTGTACCCAATTCCGTCGCAAGACGGGTTAATAGCATATGACTGGTTATAGCGTTCAAAACCGGCCCCGGCCTCTCATGCCTTTAAGTGAAGAGGACGTAAGGGACGTATGCACACCCAACCCAAACCCAACCCAACCCGAAAGGGTGGTAAGGCTTATACGATGTAGTGATATGAACCATATCGACATTGAACACAGAACCAATACCAATGACCAGTTACTAACTTGGTCAGGGTGGCAGGACACTCTCCACTGGAGAGAACTGAAAGACCGAACCGAGCACGATCCTTTGAATGCGTGTCAAGTCGGTAATGGCGAATGAAGGCGTTCTGCCAGCTTAAGAGAGCGACAGAACCAATCTCTTCATGGAGCAGTGCCGCTGTGTATTGCCAATATACTCAGCAGCAAAAAAAACGTCAATATGAATTCAAAATTATAGAGGCACTGTAATCAAATCATTACAGAAATGGACATAATAAGTGGATCAAAAACATCTTTGTGTACAATATCTTGACACATTAATGAATAACTCAGCACAATTCCAAGAAATTACTAGGACGCTTGCAGGCTATTCAGAACCTTGACTTCAGTATCTAGTGTGACCACCACGAGCGGCAATAACTGCAGCACAGTGTCTATGCATGGAGTACACCAATTGATTGATGAAGGCCATTGGCACCTTGAACCACACTCTGAGAAAGGCCTGGCACAATAAAACAGCTGTGTTTGGCCTTGGTATGACATTATTCAGTCTCCTCTGAATTTCATCCCAAAGATGTTCAACTGGGTTTAAATCAGGACTAAGGGCTTGCCGCGGCATAATGTTGACACCGTTCTGCTGTAGGAAGTCCCGTGTAGCTCTGGCAGTATGGGCCCGGGCATTACCATGCTGGGAAATGTTGTTCCGGTGACGTGCGAAATGTGGTATGACATGGGGTCTGAGAGCTTGGTCGATGTAGCGCACCGCTGTGATGCCGCCTCCTCTCCCTGGACCAAGGTTTTGGAACACCACAGGACCCACTCTCTGGTTCAGGCTTATTCCACCCCATACTATGATGCTTGCACCTCCCCATGAGTCTCATTCCATAACACATTGGTCTGAGTAACGCTGGCCACGTCGTCTCCATATTCTTGTTCTGCCATCTGCAGTTGATAGACTTGTTCAGCTTCAGATGAGAATGGGTCTGAACATTCCGTTCTTAATGGCAACGAGGAAATAAATAGAGTCAAACACATTTTCCTGACCATTGGAAACCACCTCGATGGTTGCCTTGCCCAGCAGAGACTGGATCTCGGCACGGAGTATTTTCGCCGTTTCCTGGGAAGCCGACACTGGTGTGCGTCGCACTCCGACCGGGGTTTGTGGCAGAATACAGTAAACCCCTGCAGTTGGCAACATAATGTTTGCCTGTGCCTGGTCACCTGCGGGATTAACGAGAAGCTCGACAGATTTCCGTATTCCTCGAAACAGTCCCGGACGCCATAGGCCCATAACCGCACTCATCATTTGGCTGGCACAGCTACAATGCAGTCCCTAGCCAGATGAGGGTTGACCTCAGTCAGATGCCACCCAGAGTCGCCAATGAAAAATCACCGGCGCTCTTTCCCCTTTCCACCAGCTCCGTCAGCAGAGCTGAGAGATGCGCCAAGTGGAGCATACAGCGTTGAGCTGTTAAGGGGAAAGAACTGCAGACTGACGGTAGAGTGTGAGGCCTTGTCCCGGATGCCTTGCTGGAAGCAGGCTTCCCTCTGGGGACAACACCTGAGGCAACACAGACGCGATTCAGGGACGAACCTACTCAAGTGTTAAGTTCAAAGTAGCGAAAAGAGCCGAAGCTCAAATCGACTTGTCCACTGTACGAGCCTGAACCCCGGTTCCAAGGCACATGGGAGAAGCCAGATAAATCAAGGTATCCCAAGCACTCAGACAGACCTCAGAGCGTGGAGGTGACCGGCACTTGATAGCTTCTTGGTCAGGGCGTCGATAGACATCAGGCCGAGACCTGAACTATTGGCGCCGGGAATCTGTGCCCTACCAGTGCCGAAGCCCGGGTCAGTGCTACTCATTGGGATCAGAGCATCCGCAAAGCCGAAGCTCGGCGGTTCTAGACCGAACCCTGATCGCGAGACACGTAGGAGTAGCCTGATTAATCAGGGTTCCCCCAGTACTGTCTCCAAAAGCGCACTGAGCATATAGTCAAACATAGTTATAGCGCTATATAAATACCCATACATATATATATATATATAAGTGCTTGGGTCGGTGGTTCGAGTTCGAATCCCGATCCCGAAACACTGGGAGTAGCCTGACAATGCAGGGTCCCCCTGGTGTACACGGGTAGACCTCGGTGCGTCGAGGTGATCGGTAGCTCTGTCACACTCAACAGCCTCTTGGTCAGGGCGTCGATAGACATCAGGCCAAGAGCTGAGCTACCAGCACCGGGGATCTGCGCCATACCAGGGCCGAAGCCCGGGTCGGTGCTAGTCCACAGGTTCAGAGAGTCCGAACCCCGGTCCCGAGACACATGCGTGTAGCCTGGCAATGCAGGGTTCCCCTGGTGTACACGGGTAGACCTCGGAGCGTCGAGGTGATTGGTAGCTTGGTAGCTCTGTCACACTCAATAGCCTCCTGGACTGGGCGTCAATAGACATCTGGCTGAGACCTGAGCTACCGGCGCCGGGGATCTGCGCCGTACCGGGGCCAAAGCCCGGGTCGGTGCTAGTCTCCAGGTTCAGAGCGTCCCTGGAGCCGAAGCTCAGGTCCGATCGTCGTCGGGAGGTCGGACCCTTCCCGAAGCCTGAGCTCGGGTTGGGACCTTCCCCAATTGATGCACCGGTGCAATCTCTACCCGTAACGGGTACCAATCTCCTTTTGGAGTCTGGAAACCACGTCTGAGAAAAGAGCGTGCACCGACGATCTCCGCTGCTGCTATAAGTAAGAAATCAATCGTTAGTGTAGCAACATTGTTGTGGGGGAGGAGTAGGCGGGGGGACGATAAAGGGATTTCCTTTGAAACCTTTCCTCAAATATTATCCCCCGCCTGAAGCAGATAAGTGAAAAACATAAAATCTGCGTGCCTGAAAGAATGCATGTGAGGCACAGAGACCCAGTCAAAAAACACAACCTCGGCCACTATGAGCCACGTGTGTAAACGTATGAAATGTGTATATGTGTAACATAACACAACATAACGTAACAGGTATATTGACGCAAGGGCGCTTATTATGAACATCCATGATCGTCATGAGTGTCCTCGGCCAAACATCATCCTGTGGCGGTATTGTGCACGGCACAGCGCACCGGGCTTAAGTTAAACTGCAACAAACAGAACCGCGCCAGTGTTACTAGCAGGAACTGTGAAGCAGCAAACATATAAACACAAGTAAATAGCAATAAATAAAACGCACTGGCGATATTTAAATGCTACAAGCTACAGCCATTTAAATACTAAACATACAATGCAAAGCAGAAAAAAGTCTAGCCGCACCTGCGTGTATATACTAGTGAGTAAAGTTGAGTGATACGAAACGAACACTATCAAAATTACTCCACAACGACTTACCACAAATTTGCTGAAAAGAAAGAGAATTTAGGCAAGCCTACCATATAATATGCAAACATAATATATGAACTCCCTACTACAAGCTACCAAGCACATGTAGCAAGGAAACCACGATCGCGCGGTCCGCCATTTTGCCTGCCACATGGTTGAAAAACAGAGAACCCACGGCAAAGTTACAACAAAGGATGAATGAGAATATCAACATATGAAGTCCATCTAATGCCCGTGCGTAAAGAACATACCATACATACAGATTGAGACTCTTTTACACTCATCGTATCGGTAGGAGAGCAAACTCGAAATGAACACCACGCATGTCTATTCAACAGAACGACAGCATGAAAAGTGAGGTACGAGGTAGACGGCGAGAGTTACCTGCTCTTGGCTGTAGGGGGTCTGGTGGGGCCCTGTAGGGGTGGTCTCACAAGACAAAACAAGTTTTTTGTTTTGTAAATATTTTATTGAAAAATATAGTTACAACTTTTATTGGGATTTAAAATGGACATTTTAATGCTTATCCGTACCCCAAGGAGGACTTCTTCTGAAAAAGAATGATAATATTGATACCGGACACTTTCCTCTTGTCTCTAGAACACTAATTTTAATTCCTACTTAATACTGTATTTCCACAGAATTCAGCAATGAGTGTGCCATGATCCGACATAACCACACTGGTAAACCACACTGGTAAAAAAACACACCTCTCTTCACCATCTCCCTGCCCTCATCAATGAGTTCCTGTGTCATGTCATCGTCGCCGATGAACTGCTGGAAGCCAAGGAGACTTAGGATGCGACTGCCCAGGGAGAAGTAGGTGCAGATGCACAGCAGCACGATGAGGATGGGGAAATAGATGTTGAACCCATCCGAGATAAAGGATATCACATCCATGTGGCCCATGATCTGGATAACACACAAGACAAAAGCTCTCCCTTAAAAAATTCCACCACTATATGTTTATATCTGGAATTTGCCATTACTTAAAACATTATGAATATTCAATCTTGATGTGTTTACCTCAGAACAGCAGGTGTGGTGATGAGAAACCAAGGAACATAATGAGGTGCAATCTGTGATTCAACCATAGGATTCTGTCATGCCTAAGGGAGACAATCCAGGACTGTCCAAAAATAGGGAGCAAGTCATAAAATGAACAGTATTCGAGGGACTGTCACAGGTTTGTTGGTATTAAAGAAATCTGAAGGAAGGGGTCATGCATAGCCTCTGCACCCAAATCGGGATCCATCAGAGTTGACTATACCTTCCATATACAAAGAGTCGCTATATTCAATCATGTGTAAATTCTCTGACACTAAATGTAATCACGATACCTGTGACAAGACAACACAGTAACACGTACATGGGTATAGGAGGTCTCCTCCATGTTGCCTGAAGTCACATGACTGTCCAGGTGGATCAAGCCAAGGAAGTTGAGACACATTGGGGGCGTCAGTCGACACAACATCCTGGAAATGGTTAGTGTACATCAGAGTCAAGGTTTACAAACATGATGGCACTCTAGACTAACACAAAGCATTATGAGATGATAACATTAAACAAGAACAACGGTTCCATAAATAGTTTCAAAAACAAAAAAATTAAAAATTAAGACTCAAGATTTCTTTGTTTTTTAACACACAATCAGCAATATTCCAGCCATATGTCAACAACCCATAAATGATCAAGCCATGAGAAACACACCAGTGATTGATATAATGAACAAGACCTCAGGAAATCAGGGTAATATAACACAAACCTAACTTACTAAGTCACAGAATCCGACCATGAAATCAATTTTGTCTTCTCATATGGCAAGTACTTCTAACCTTAATCCTCACTGGGCAATAGACATTCTTTCTGTTTATAATATTTTTTCAAATCTAGAGTGCGCACATATACTTCCATTACTTGAAAGTTAACCTGTGTTTACATGAAATAATTGCCTTACACTGCATTCTCTACCAAATGACATACAGTGCACTGGTCAACGGGAGGTAACTCAGCAGTGTGCCTCATAACACTGGCAGGTGCTTACATTCCAGTGAAGATGAGGCTGTACTCGTCAGTCTGGTGATGCGGTGCTATGTAATAATAGTTGAAGATCCGGATTTGGAACACACTGTAGTACGCACAGATACACAGGTAGGCAATCGTCAAGATTGATGCAATCTGAAATACAGGTTTATTTTTATGGATAACTTTAATTGGAATTTCATTCTCAGATAAAACTAACTTTAGATAAGTTCTAACACCATTGTAAATTTGCCTTTTAGAATACTGGCCAGCAGATCTGTTAAACAGGCATATCCCTTAAAAGGTATACATGAAAACCAAACAGAAGGCATATAAAATGCCACACAGCCAAATTCAAGTCCTAACACCAATGTTAATTTTACATACTGTCTCCTTGAATACTGACAATAATATCAGCAAGATGCGACTAAATGTTGATGAGCCAAATAACATCTTTACCTCTATGTAGACATAGTCATAGTTCTGCTTGGCCAGGTTGATGAAGACAGCAAACAGAGATAGGACAGGGTCCTTGACGAAGAAGAGGCACTCTGACCACACAACCATGAAAGAGAAGACCATCAGAGCAATGGCCGTGATCATCATCACCCACGGACGGACTCGACACTTCCAATACCATTCTGAAACATACAAAATATTGTACGGGTTCAAAGAAAATATATTGACACATATCACATTAACAAGGAATACAGCTATAGGTTTATATCATGTCATTGTTGATGGCATATTTTAATTAACATTGACATATGAAAGCAGTTTTATCACAGGTTCACTGACTTGGTTGACATCGGTTTCCAATTGCATTGATCGATGCTCATGCTGTTGATCACTGGATTGTCTGGTCCAGACTTGATTATCTAAAGACCGCTGCCATATAGCTGGAATATTGCTGAGTGCAGCATAAAACTAAACTCACTCACTCACTCTTTATGTTGCCATGGTGCAGGGTCAAAGGGAAGTAACTCCCATTCAGTCACCATAGAGGTAGAGTATGGAATTTCGTCAGGGCACATGGGGGAACAGGCATGACTTAGATGGAGTAATGGAGGCAAGAGAGGCACATTAGCATCACCCAGTTAGGCAGCTGATGCAGAGACACTGGCGAACATGAAAAGTAAGAGAACAATCATTTAGTTTGTCCACACTTCTTCATCCTACGAGGTATTTGCTGTTGTACATATGCAGCTGCCTGAACCCAGACTTCAACATCAGGAAACATGCTCGTACCTACAGCTGGGGTGTACAGTCCCCTCAGAAGACCATTATACTGGCCATACACCCGATGGAAGCGTTTGTCAGTGCTGTTTTCATTGGCCTGACAGTCCTCCAGATCCAACACCTTCTCTATCAGGTTGTTCCACTGGATCTGGGTACGTTTGTTGATTTGGGAACAGCGAATCACTTTTTGATGAAGGCGCACCAGGGACTTCTCTGTGATCGAGTCAACAGTTTTGTCAAAATCCTCATAATCATCCATGCTTGGCTGCACTGACTTCTGAATATAATCTGGACACTACAAACCAAAACGAAACAGGAAGTGAAAAATTAAGGAGGTCATATATGAAGATGCTGACAGACAAAGAATAATCTCCGATGCATGGCTTGGATATTTTCCATTTTGCATATTTTCCTTGGACAAACAATAAAAATGGTTCCAAATGAAAAACACTCTCTAAAAATATTGAAAATTTTAAATATAAGTTGTATATTTATATAATTATCCTATCTCAATGTATGCACTTCTCTGTCTTGATTCGACACTGAGTGGAACATGTAACTTTTTTTCCCTAGGCCTCTCTTGTCCATCCGCCCAAGCACTCAATACTACCATCATTAGAAGACAGCTTCCTAGTTGTCATGCAAAGCTTACGGCATGCTCCACTAGCTACCAACGTGACTATCTCTGAATCATCATTCATATTCTTGGAGCCACTGGATAATATCAATCTTGGAGAATCTGCATAGCGGGGAGGATGGGCGGGAATCCATCGCATGAGATAGGATAAGTATATAAATATACAATTTATAGTTAAAATTTTCAAATTTTTAAACTTATCCTATCTCACGGTATGCACTTATCCCATGGTTGGACGGCGAGACGCAGATGCCCTATGTCTTGGCTTACTAAGCACAACTTCTCCCAGGAAGATGGGTGCTCCCGAGTGATGTGGTGTTCGGCCGCAACCTCTGAAGAAGGACGTAGCTCAGCGACAAAGGATGTCACTTTGCCACGATTTTCAAGGTACCTGCAAATTAAAATCATAGACAATAATCGGGCCAGCCCCTGCTTCAAGAAGACCCCCACAGACACCGACCAGGGGTGGGTGAAAGAGAAGCACAATCCGGAAAACTCTCAATTTTAACGTTCAGTTGACCCTCACTCCTTTACATAAGCTTAGTCAAAGGATGAGTCCCCCGAAGTTCCGTCTCCCAATGCTGAATGTCGAGAAGAACCGCCAAGAACCTCGAGTTCCTTGATGTGCAATTCCCGTTCTGTGGACGACCACAGCCCGGCCGTCTGATGATGAAGAGAGTGAGCCCCCCAACCTTTGAGCGACGCGTCAACGAACAAGTGGTGCGTTGGAATGAACGGCATCAAATAAACTTCGGCACAAACGTTCCCTTCTACAAGCCACCACTGAAGAAGAAGACGTAAGGGTTCGGGAAATTCCAAAAGGCAGGACAGTCCATTGATAATGGATCCCTTGGAACACGAACCAGAGGAATTTCCGCGAGTCCGGATGAATGGGCACATGGAGATCTTGAAGGTCTAAGCTGACAAGAAAATTCCCTTTCTTCAGGCTGGTGCGAAGAAGGACCATCGATACCATCTGGAAGTGAGGTGGGCGCTGGAGATAGTGGGCATTGAAAAGTTTCATGTTGGAAATGAGTCTTAGTTTTGTGGAGTTTTTCTTGGGAACCAGAAAGATGGGGGAATAGAAGTGCTGGGCACCAGACTGAGAGACTGGACTGCACATTTTGCTATGAGCGTACCTATGGTGGAGCGAAGAAACAGGATCTGGTCCGCCGGATAACCGGATAACTGGATGCACTGTCAGAGGCCGGTGCCTTTGGCGAGGAGGTGGGTCACAAAGGGATCGTCTAGGATGGTCCAATTGGGAGCGAACCTCCCTAATCTCCCACCCACTGGAGAGTCGTAAATGGGGAAGGCTGGAGGCGGGAGTTCCCAGTCGTGCCCTTGTTTCGACGAGTCACTGCTTGGGGACCCCACTACCAACCCCGGGGTCGGACTTGGGAGGATGTTGGGAAGAGGTGCCACGGGAGGACCTGCTACCTCTAGCTCGGGATGAATGGCCACGAAAACCCTGACAAAGTTCCGGATGAGATGGCACGAACCGCGGAGCCCATCTCTGTATCATGGAAACTTGCAGATGGGATTTCTGGAGTTTCAATAATTCCATCGAAACTTGAAATTGAGTGTCCCGATCCACCTTCGACGAAACTTCCCCAATCATGCCATTAAATAATGACTCTGCAGACCACGGTTGATGGAAGAGTTCAGCCTTAAACCTGTCATCCCATGAAGACAAATTGAGCGGGCCGCGACGTCGAACTGCCAGGAGATAACCAAGGAAATGAGACAGCTGGTCCAGCACGATCTGAAATTGGTCCAGTATAAGGGACATACAGCCTCTGATGTAAGCATCCTGGTCGGTGAAAGAGTGCTCAACTGATGCTGCAACCGCATCCACCGCCGAGATGATGCAGTTGATCCTCTATCAAGGAGCAACGAATAGCTGTGTCCATTTAAGACAGTTCTCTGTCCTCAACTAAAAAGGCTGAGCAAGTCCTCTTCCTGCAAAGTGTTTGGACATCTTCATCCACCGAAGAGGCAGTAGACAATGACTGGAACCCATGGGAGTGAGATGCCGCTAAGGAGAATCTAGGCGAAGACAGGCCATCTTTAATCCTCTTAAGGCTTTTAAAGGCCTGATCCAAGGACGTAGCTAGATGAGCAGTACAAGGTCGTGGTGGAAAGGTAATAGACGCCAAGTCCCGTTGTCTCATGGAGAAGGAATGCGCTAAGTCCTCTGGGTTCTGTGACATAGGGGAGGCGGAGTTTCTCTACTATCCAAGCTAAGACTTGAGGTTCGTTGACAAAATCCAAACTCCCCTCTGGGGAATCCACAACCGAATGTGACGGAGATGGAGGATCCGGTCGAACACCAGGGACTGGGTGCCGCAACAGGTGGTCTGAGGGGAGGAGCACTCCCCGTTGATTGAGCAAGACTGTTGCTGATTCCAAGCAGTAGTAATAGCACTCAGCATCGCAGCGAGATCTGGGGGAGGAGTAGTTTCCTGCGCAGTCCAGGCATCTGGTACAATCCGAGTAGAGAGACCTGAGGAGGCAGGAACCCCGTCAGAAGTCATAGCATGCTGAGATCTATAATCGGAGCCCCGTTGAGTAGATCTCCTATCTGTAGAACCATATCTTTGTCTGGAGGGGGACGAACCGGGAGAAGACGCACATATGGAGACCCGCTGAGAAGATCAGAAGCGAGGAGGGGAGGTATCGCAACGAGAACGATGATCCCTGGATCTTGATAGGATAGGCAGCAGTCGATCGTGTAGGAGATCTAAGTTGACGGGTCGAGTGCGCAGAACTGGAAGTCGATTGATGACGAGAAGACGAAGTACGAGGAGGTGACCTCGAGCGAAGAACTGATCTCAACGAAGTAGAGGAATGCGTGTGTTTAGTTGAATGTGAATGAGTCGAAAGAGTGGCGTCTCGGCGCGCTGAAGTAGACATACCAGGTCTATCCGGTGAACAAATCCGAAGAATAATGGGAGACTGATCCAAACGACTCAGTGAAAGCCGCGTCTGTGCTGAGGAAACGTGACTGTAAGATCCAACAGAGTTCAGGGAAGTACTCAGAAACAGATGATCCTGAGAAGGGTGTTCTGCTTAATACCGCTTGGAAGAAAGACATTTCGGCAAAAGATGATTGACCACATGCCGTTTCGGTGAAGTCAGGTGTTTAGGCGCATGTTGTTTTGATGAAGTCCGTTTCGGTGAAACCTGTTTAGAAGACAATTGATCCGGTGAATGTTGAATAGCCTACTGCCGTTTTGGTACAGACCGGTTCGGCGTAAGCTGTTTCGGAGAGAGCCGGCCTAACTGGTTCAACGAGTGCTGTTTCAGTGAAGGCAGACATTCCGGCGAAAGTTGAGGTTGAGGGGTGCGGACAGGCGAATTGTGATCCAGTGAACTGTGATTCAACGAACTGGCAGGCTTCGGCGAAGTAGAAGACCGAGGTAGCTGGACGCAAGAGACAACACTTCTATTCGCCGAACAGGAAGTAGACGGTGAAGCAACCACTAACAGGCGTTTAGGCGAGGTAGACCAATTCCTGTCACTGCTGGACGAACGACGAGAGCGAGAATGGCTACGACACATCCGCTCTGGGCAGTCATAGAAATCAGCTGATTCTTGTCCGAAACAGATAAGCCAGGTTGCCGTGATAACTGGTCCGGGGAGTGAGAGACAGAGAGTGTAGTTCGAAGGTCCCGCTGTGCTGGGGGGTGGTAGCACGCTCGACAACCACCACCCGGGATGTGTCGAAGACGAAGGACTCGGGCTGGAATGTTGAGAGCCAAGCAAATTCTGAAGGTCTGATGACGCTCTCATGAAATCCTCATCATTCAAGTGAGGGGACTGTGACCGACGAGCAGACAAAGTAGGACGCTTAAACTTGCCTTTCTTGGTAGGACTGGGTCCATCTAGCGAAGCTGCATAACGAGCTCTGTAGGCAACACGACGAGCACAAGCCTGAGTGTAGTCACCAAATGCCACGAAGGTAAGATCCTTGCATTTATCACAACGAGAGTCCCATTTACACTGTCCCACACAGTCAACACAAAACGCATGTTGATCACTCGCAGAGAACACTTTATTACACCGGGAGCATTTCTTCCTCTTTTTTTGCTGGTCAACTTCCCCATGTTGTAGACTAATGTTGAAAACGTTGAGCAAAGCAAAACACGTTCACACTCATGTGCGACAAGAAGGAGACTGATGATTCAGAGATAGTCACGTGGGTAGCTAGTGGAGCATGCCGTAAGCTTTGCATGACAACTAGGAAGCTGTCTTATAATGAGGGTAGCATGGAGTGCTTGGGCGGATGGACAAGAGAGGCCTAGGGAAAAAAAGTTACATCGTTCCACTCAGTGTCGAATCAAGAGAGAGAAGGACATACCGTGAGATAGGATAAGTTTAAAACATTTGTAAATATTCTGACTGACTGACTGAGTATGGTATTACGCCGTTTTTAGCACTATTTCCAGCAATATCATGGCGGGGGACACCAGAAATGGGCTTCACAAATTGTACCCAAGTGGTTATAAATATTCAATGCTAAGGACCACGAATAATGAACTCAATTCATGAAGGGATACAGTGCGATTCAGTGAATACATGAGTGAATTGCAACAGATGTTAGTGTTAAAATGTGAAAGAATTAATATTTAAATAAGAGCTTTAAGAACATAGGTACATAGCCTGTAGTAAATGAAAGCACCTACCTTAGATAGAATAGTCTCCATGTTTTTGCTCATTGGATGGTTGTACCTAATTCTTTCAGCATATCTTTTGATCTCCTGCACAATGACAGTAAGTGTTAACAATTTACCAAAACATTGTATAGGTAAATGATGAAGAAATCAGCTGGATATATGTGAACTCATAACTTTATCATAAATAAATAATAAGAATGTTTGACCAAAAATGACCAGAAATGGGCATCACACATTGTACTAATCAAAGATGAAGTATCATCTCTTCTTGAACAATTCCTCATAAGTGCATGGAAGTAAGCTAAGAAATGGTTCCATATTTTCAGAAAGGATAGTTTGGGTTTTTTTTGTTAATAAATGGGCATTTTGGGACCATGGCGGATTAATCAACATTAAATTCACAAACACCTACAGACTTCTGTATAATTGTACAAATGCACAATGAACACACAATTACACTACTCACCTCAAGAATATCTTCAAGAGATTCTTCAGACTCTGACTTGTCAGTGCTGAGTTTTGCAATTTTAAAGTAGGTTCGGGAGAGTTGGTAACCTCTCTTTGAGCTGTTCCAGAAATTGCGTGGCACCTCCACCAATCCATACCCCAGCATAAGCACCAGGACAAACAATCCCCATGTGTTGCTGGCAGTGGCACCAATGACCTTCAACTTCTCACTGTCAGTAACACATAACAGTCATCATTTTATTCTCTATGTTCAATGATGATGAACATGAAAAAAGTCCCCTATTAAGTTGTGTTTTCATCAATTTTCTTCTCCCCATTTTATCATGCATGGATTTATGTAGGATTTCAACTCAGGGCCAGTTGCAAGAAAATTGAGATATAAACGTAGCATGACCAAAACTGGGAATATTTTGACAGTTTCAATTCAGAGCTATTTCATTTGGTGAAATAATGATGCTAATCTTTTTCTCCATACTGATCTTCTTATCATTGACATATACAAAAGTGAATAATCTAAATTTCACACTAACAGCTGAACAACTAAATTCTAACTGACATCTTATTTCTGATTTATCAAGACAGCTTGTTCTTCTATATTAAACTTGAAAATTTCAGTATCTCTACATATCGAGTAAACCCTAAAGTTCAATTGATTTGTTTTCTTTGTGAGCTACTTACGCATCAATGTCAATGTCCGGCCTGATGGCCACATAGATAAGACACACTCCGAAGATGAGAAGGTAGGTGCCATAGTAGATGGCATTGGCAATCAGAGCCGACTTGATCTTCCCCACAACTGTGAAGTCTCCAGCATTGGAGTAGGACTGCATCATTGGGAGGATCAGCCTGAAGCACACCAGATCACCAGGTATTCAGAGTTCATCATTTAGAATATAAGTCACCTTGTCAAGTTAAATGGTCAAGATTTTGAAGGTTCAAGTAAACCGAAACCGAAGACTAATTTAACCCAGAATAAAGCTGTAATCTTACAAAAATCATGTCATGAAAAGACTGTAATTCTATTATAAAGCTGGATATAGGTGTAGCTACAATAGTGCAACAATTACCTCAAGATATAGCTGTAGCTATTCCACCATACCTAGAGGGCACCTTGAAACATGAGTTGAGTGACACATTCATAAGTCTATTCACTTGCCAAACATAACTATCTCTTGGAAGGGGACAAAACAAGAGACTGAGACAAAAGCATTGTTCCACTGTACATGACAAGTGTATTTTCATGTTTTGATCAACACTTTTTAACATTCCTTAATACACAGCCATTAAAAAAATGACACCCCTGTCACGGTCCGATGACACACAATCAAACTGGACCACCCAATCCCTTTGTATTTCCCACTCTTACCATTGTAACACAATGGGGACCATTCCTATTGAGGCATCTCTATGACTTGACTAATGTCACCTAGTTATGTTTGACAGGGCGGTGGGGTAGCCTAGTGGTTAAAGCGTTCGCTCGTCACGCCGAAGACCCGGGTTCGATTCCCTACATGGGTACATTGTGTGAAGCCCATTTCTGGTATCCCCCACCGTGACAGCTGGAATATTGCTAAAAGTAGAGTAAAACCCAACTCACTCACTCACTCACTCACTCACTCACTAGTTATGTTTGGTGCTCCTACCATGTTAAGACCTGAGACGTCCAGTACACCACACGCCACAGAGCTGGGAGAACGTGGTCAGGAACGTGGCTCAGTGGCGCCTGACAGTGTACCAACAGAGGCATGGATGTCGATGACCCATCCGACTTATTTGTGCCATTCTCAGAGGCAGTTGTTGCTGCTGGTGCTGTTGTCACTGGCAATGATGTTGATGACACATTGTTCGATTCTGTGGTTGTTGTTGTTAACACAGCGGGTGTGTTTTGATGGACACACTGACGGTAAAATGTCTAAAACAGAAATAGAACAGTCATTACATTATTCTAAAACTAAACCATTTCTTGCATTCATCCTAAAGAAACATTCATCTGATCATGTTATGGAAGAAGGCATAATATTGTATTTTCTAAAGGCAAAAATTTATGCTAGCTCATTAGGGCTGCGCAATATAACCGGTTTACCGGTACTTACCGGTTCAGACATGAAAACGATACGTATTGCGATACGCTGATCGAAAACCAGTATTTTGACATGCATTCGGAAAACTACGTAACACTCGGAAATCTTCGGACATTTCCGTTTATTTAAATTGTTCCTTTCATTGTTTCATTTGTGCCAAACATTATTTACATTTTTATTTTGTCATGATTAAAAGTTTTTATTAACGCCTAATCAAGCATTGTGATTTTGTTGCGATTTTGCTTTATAAATCAAGCATTAACCCGATTATACGTATTTTTTGTTAAAGAAAACTTCTTGCAATATATTGCAATACATATCGCAATACATGCTTTCGCATCACAATTTATCGCATTACGAAAATTCCTTGCAATACCCACCCCTACAGCTCATCCATGTTCGTGGGATTTTCAAAAAGATGTGGAAGAAAATGTCATCTTACTGCAGCTCACCCGTCTGTGTATGTGAGTGAGTGTGTGAGTGAGTTTAGTTTTATGCTGCACACAGCAATATTCCAGCTATATGGCGGCGGTCTGTAAACAATCGAGTCTGGAAAAGACAATCCAGTGATCAACAGCATGAGCATCCATCTGCACAATTGGGAACCGATGACATGCGTCAACCAAGTCAGCGAGCCTGACCACCCGATCCCGTTAGTCACCTCTTATGACAAACATGGGTTAATGAAGATCAATATGGTAATCCAGACCTTCACGGGTCACCTATGTATATAGTCAAGAGTTTAAAATGTCAACAAAGAGAGACACTGAGATATGGCTAGTTTTGTGTTGGTATTGAAATATTTTCTACATACTGAGCTGATGTGTCCACCTTTCAGAAAAAATAAATATGGGAAGAGAATAATTTTACTTGCAGCTCCAAGTTTATCTCCAAAACACTTAAATTTTATGATCTGAACAAAATATATCACCCTACAAAGGATTGGTTAATTGGTTGTTGTTTAACGCTGCACTCAGCAGTATTCCAGCTATGTGGCAGCGGTCTGTAAATAATCTAGTCTGGACAAGACAATCCACAGATCAAGAGCATGAGCATCGATCTACGCAATTTGGATACAATGACATGTGTTGACCAAGTCACTGAGTTTGACCACCCTATCCGGTCACCTTTTATTGGGAGGTCAGGCTCGCAGACTTGGTTGACACATGTCATCAAATCCCAATTGTGTAGATGCTCATGCTGTTGATCACTGGATTGTCTGGTCCAGACTCGATTTATTTACTACCGGTGGTCCGATTAATTGAAATAATCGAAGATTGGTCGCAATGACTAAACGGCCAAGCAATCGATCATGTTTTCTCATAATCGAACACAAACAATTCTGGAACACTTGTTTTCATTAACAATATTTTTCACAAGGTTGGTTTTGTCTGTTACATTTCATAAGCACTACAAGCTCGTTTCAAGTCATGATTGAATTCATCTAAAGACTCCAAGAAATTTATGTTCCTAACATACTATAGCTAGTCATCATTTAAAGATGTGAAATTTTGCCCAAAAAAACCCAGAGAACTACATGTTTTTTCCTTATTTTTATGTGCATTAACAAATTTCATTAATGACGCTAACCAATTATTTTCGATGATTGATCAGTTGTAATGTACCAATCATCAATTATGAGATTTTAACCAATTCCCAACACTATTATTTACAGACCGCCGCAATATAGCTGGAATACTGCTGAGTGTGGTGTAAAACAAATCTCACTCACTCACTTCAACCAAACTGTGTGGTGGCAAATTGGTCCTGGGTATTTATCTTAGTATAACAGAGATATAATGCTTATGTCAATAAAGGATCCTTATCCAATACTTACCGATGATACATCCAAAGGTATGATAAATATTATCATAAATGAAAAGTACCAGGCAATGAATGTTGCGAGGGTGACTAACACATGTTGTTTTCTCAGGTCACCATAGCGATGAAGCACAAATGCAGCAAGCAGACAAGTGCAGATAATCTCCACCACCAGAGGGCCTGCACTCATTGTAGTAGATGGAGTCACTCAACTCATTATGTGATGAATCTGAAAATGTATCAATAGTTAATTATCCAGACCGATACAGAGGCCGATACTCTGCCTCAAATCTGCAGTACACGTATGTGTAAAAGTATCCTGTATGAAATTTACAATTTACCAGTTTATGTTCTTTTAGTTATGACTAATGTTACGGCTTTTTAAAAATGAGTTGCATTTTTCCATTTCAAGACATTTATCACAACTTTCATTTAATATTGTTTATATTGCTTTCAGGTGACATCGTGTAAGAAATTGATTGGTACATATCAACTCACCAATAATTACAGCAATCAAAAACACATTACCACTACGGACACCTCGAAACATATCTCAGATACCAGAAAATTAATATACATGTAACTTAATACAATGCCTACTGATAAATCACAGGTGTTGCTATTTCATTTTTTCAAGTCACAATGAAAGCTCCACACAGTGACAGCCCCTTCATGGAGCTCTATGCTAACATTGCAATTAGTCACAGCTCCCCACTGTGCCAGTCAGCCTAAAACCAGGAGTCGAGTTCAGATTCCACTGACCATAATGTTCACAAGTGTTAACTGTCATGACACCAAATATTCTCTCCCACACTAAACTAAATTAAGATTAAAAGGAAAAGAATTCTACTTCATTTTAACTAGAATGTAAGCATGAGAAAAAGAGGTCAGTTTGCTGCATTTCCATTTGTCTGCACTTTCAAACCAATGTGATTAAAATAGACAAATGAGAAATCATTTCTGATATCAGTCATTCTTGTAATTGCTGCTTGCACACTGGTGGCAGTGATAAAACCAGAGAGTATTAAGAATGTCACTGGTTAGAAGGAGCTTGGTCGGATGCTTGATTGTAAAACGTGATTCATCAAATTGTACCATACATAAAGACAAAACAGGAATATACCAGCACTGCATTTACGATCATATTACATAAATACATACAGTAACTAAAATATAAAAGACATACATGTGACAATACATTACTCTTAGGCCTAAAACAAAAGTGTTGTGGTTCCGATTACCCGACTGACCCTTGAATTCTGGTGCCGACCCTATTTTTTAAAGCGGTATGAATAAAATAAGCTTTCAGATACCATTGTTTTTTCCCAGGACCAACAGACATTGATCATTCTGATAGAGAAAGTCGACATTATGGCCTCAAGCTTGATTGAATAAACAATTTACTTCTAAAAAAAATGTATAAAACAAAATAAAAATCCTACCTACCTACCCTAAATTTTAAAGAAGTGTAATTTGAACCACACCATTTTTTTTATATATTAAATAGAACTTCACATTTCAGTTTTCATCTCTTCCAGTCTGTGTATTCCATTGGGTTACGATATTGGGTACTTTTTAACAGAATCATTGGTACATCATGGCAATTCCAAGAATAACATGAATGTCCAGTAGGGCTGGTACTGGTTACCCAAGTACCCAGGTCAGGGACAACCATCCATCTGACCACTGAGTGCAGTCAGTTAAATATTCCACAAACAGGCTAATAAATATTACTAGCCTCAAATTAATTTTATTTCAAACAATGTTCATGTTTTCATCTGTTTGTGTACACTACAGTGCACAGTGTGCAGTTTGTTGTTGGCTGCACTCTGCACTGGATGAGAAGAGGGAAGAAACCACAGCCTCATATAATCAGCTGGTGACATGAAATCCATATCATTTTTTTAATATTCTTATCTGTGGTCATCTATGGATATATTTACATTTTCACCGACCACAAACAGTTCCAGTGAAATATATTCTTATAATCAATATATTGCTAACCAAAGGTGAAAGATTTAACAAATCTTTAACAATCATGACACTTGGCCAAATATATATGAAAGAATTCCATGTAACAACTGGCTACCGGTTGCAAGTCACTGTCATGTCATGCATCTCTTTCTGTTTATTCCATAAAAACTTTCAAGAACCTAGACATTCAAACAGGCCATGTGGTTTTATCTTATTCATTCACCTTTTGGCAAGTGGATTTCAAAACAATTTAACCCTTGTAAAAAAGTGCAGTAAAATCTGGTATTTGTACATTCTGTAAAAAGAATGGATATCAGTCTAATCGACTGACCAGGACCAAAGGGTCAGCCTATTTAGTCAAATCTGCCCTTTGTTCTGGTCAAAACAGATTACTGTTAATCAAGGGAACCAGTGAAATGGTGAATAGAAACTAAATAAGTGTTTCCAGGTATTACACTCATTTCATATTCATTGGCATTTTTACAACAGTGAAACACAAGCATAAACATATACACAAATTGTGCTTGTAATCATGAATATACATTCATACAAAGCACAGTCATGTAACATGCATCCATACTTGTTAACATAAATTCTAATTTGCACTCATTATAATAATAGTGACAATAATTCTCCACGTCATGAATGTATGCTCAAAGCGCTTTAACACATTATTACCCGGATAACCCAAGCTGCCTGTTAGGTGCTAGAAGGTTATAGTCAAATGACTTATCACATTATAATACAGTTTTATTGCCTGTTTACATACAAACACATTTTGTAGGCAGTCAGTAAGATTTATATGAAGAGACATTCACACATACATCATCAAATACATACATGCAAGCAAAAGGAAACAACATTTGTTCATTCACATTCATTGTAAACATTCATTCATTTTTTCTAAATGACAATGTCCATCCATTGCATTTGTGCCTATTTGTTACATAACCAAGTTTCTTGGTTATCTAAGACTTGCTGAGTACAAGAGAACAAGGTACATGATCTATATGATAAAATATACTGGTCCCTAACTATTCTCACAAATCCTTATTTGACCCCAAACATTCCCCTAATGTTTAGCCCCCTCTTCTATCTGATAGGGGCAGTTTGACCAGTACAGCAAAAGAATGATAGAAATATTGTCAGATCAATAGGTTTTCGGATGGCAGTGTTTATTATACTTGGGCAATTATGAGGTTTTGTGTAGCACATACATTGAACATTCTTGATAAATTCTTGAATGATGGCTTGTGTTCAGTATAAAGTTATCTTTTATAAAGTTACTGAGATGAGTTATAGTCGTTCATGTGAGTAGAAACATAACAATGAATGTTTCTTAAGTGTCTGCAAACCAATACCACGGGGACACATCGATTCAAAGCCGGTATTTAACAATATTGAAAGCATATTATTAACGTACAGGTTATATAGCATTACTTCTCGTCAAGGCAACTGCCAATTTCCCGGTGCCTTTTCAAAATCGCAAATAATGGTTACTCTTCGAAACATTCCAAGGAGTTGGACATTCATATTTACCTATTTTTGACACTGGTGACATGTCAGTTGTCACCTGCTGTTTCCACCTTATTCAAATTAATTTAATCACTATATCATAAATAGTACCATAATTGATCTAATATTACGAAAATATAATTACGTGTACATATAAAATCCCGAGAAGCAGCTTACAACCATACCTGTCAATGATTTAGATTTCTAAATGAAGCTGTCTGCAACATGTAAATGGTTACGTCAATGACCCATGGAGTTATTGCCCTTGATTATATTACTTTCTATACAACAACTTGGTATATCACATGCGACCTGGCATTTGTACACGATACCGATTCATAAAACTAACACTTTCCAATGCAACAAATCCTATCGCCTTACTTTTGTAAGATTTTACTGTAAAAACTCCAGATTGTAGGTACTTTAATTTTTCAAAGGGATATTATTTACGTTTAAAAATTATGAGTGTTCAGGAAGAAAATATTCATGTCAATTAAATGACGGAATGCATAAGTCTCAAGAGAAAAGTACGATAATACTCTCGTGTCTTCCAAACTGCAAACAAAAGCCTTTTCCAAATTATAGCATTAAGAAGAAGTTCATTAATTTCTTATTCACGTTTTGGGGTAAAGTGTACATCATGCACAATATCCACTCGCTTCTATAGATACCATAAAAAGTTGGCACGGTGGTCGAAATAAGATTTTCGTTCATATTTTCCTTCTTTGGTGAGCGTTTGGATGTCATGAAAACACACGCATTAGCCTCTTTCGTTTTCGTTTAAATGGTTACCCATACTGTACCTATGAAATAATTATGATAATCAAATATGGTATCATTAAATTCGACATTTTAAGGTTGTACTTTTTGTCGAATTCCCATGTTAAGTGGAAATTTCCATTCATTACGTGAGTTTAAATATCATGTCACAAAATGAAATTAATATTATTAATGCCTATATCTGTTCAGGATAATTCTAACTGCTAATGCTGATAAAATTGTTTAAAAGATAAATGGGTTTGTTAAATTGGTACCTTAACTTGATGGGTTCAACAACAAAAACATATGCAACCTTTTGTGGTGTAGGGCTGATCATTTCGGCTTTGCATAAGACAATATTTTCAGAAAATAATATAGTCACACAGTAATTTTTATTTTAGGACTATAGTTTATGCGCAGCAATACAGCAATTGCAAATACACATAACACTGTATTTGGGAGGCTTAGGTGGTCACGTCATTGCCACACTGCTTTCTGCCATTAATTGCTAGTTTCAAATATTGATAATACACGTTTTGTTCAGGTGGGAGGTGAGGGTTCACGCAATGTTCACTTCATCAGACAAGATCTTTTATGGAGGGATTCTCAGCTGTTCAGTATTGATCGCTATAAGCTCTACGGCTAATTATTCTTCAAAATGAATTTCCAAGGTTTGCTCGTATCAAATTGATAGGTGGTCACGAGCACGTTATTGCCACACTGCTTTCCGCCATTGCTCCGTCTGTGTTGATATGTTACTGTTTCCACCAATACCTCTAATTAAGAAGAGGATGTTTTATTATAAGTATTCAAGTGTGAAACAGTTCAACATGATCTGCGAGACAGGTTCTGACAGTTGCTATTGTAATATGTCTCCTTACATCATATAGGTCGAGTTTCTTTCTTCAAAGTCTCTATTCACTTCATCTACAAAAGTCTATATTATCAAATGAGAAAACTTATAAGTACCATACAACAGGAGCTTGCTCGATATGATTTCAATCTCATTGTTGGTAGTTTTGATTGAGTTCTAGTCAATGTTGGAAAATATATTCCATCTGATCTAGTATGTTCATCCAGTTCAGAATAAACATTGAATTAAGGTTTTGAATTATTTGTTTTCTGGCATTGGTGTTAGCATGTAGCATAATTATGGCTACATATCACACAAGGCCTTTATTCGTTTGTTTTTGTACTTGTTCCTACTTTTGGATAATATGTCCGGTTAAAAGATTCCAGGTTCTTTGTTACTTCCTGTAGACGGCGCTATACTTCCGGTTCCAAGGAGGCAAATTTCACAAATTATGATTGCTGTTGCACAGTACTAAGTAGTGTTCGAAATGTCTCTTATGACGCCGGGAAATTACCAGTTTAGCAAGAAAACAGCCTCAAGAATTCTAAATTTTGTAAGTTATCAACATCGTTTGGTGTGTTCACAGCTTCCCCTCAACTTTTGACTGTTGACGAAAGTTAAAATGCATGTTTGGACAGGAAAGAAATATCTGGCAGACGACCATAAAGTAGAGATCTAAGTTGTAAAAATTCAGGTGCATTGTCCCTCTTTGTCTGTCGGTCTTACCTAGTTGTATTGCATGATTAAGGAACTTGCCAATGTTTCATCCGTTCAACATTGTTAAAGATGTTGAATATCCATTTTTCAGTCACGAGTAGTGAGCATGTTGGCTGTGAAAAATGACCCCATCCCACTTGTCGATTTTATTTATTTATTTGGGGAGTGGGGGTGGGGGGCATATTATATCAGTTTGTTATCTCTTTGAAATGTCTTTTGAAAATTATTTTTTTAATCTATTTTCTCATTTTGATTTGCATTCATTTATCTGTTTTCCTATTTCAGGTATTATTTCTGATAGTTGCACTAGCCTGGACTTATGTGATCCTTGCCGGGCGCCATGCATCGATTCAGTACTTGAGACAGTTGAGGTAAAATGTGAACAAGCACACACGAAGCATGGATGTGATTAATGAGAGCAAGTCCATGCTCAGTAACTTTGAGGTTCTGAGTTTGCTTACAGACATTCAAACTGGCAAAGGACAGCGTAAGCCCAACAAACACCAGCAGAATCTGGCAACAATAACATACGAAGCAGTGAAATATTTAGAAGGGACCCCATGTAAACTTCAAGATGCTGAAAGTATTCAGAAGTTCATGGATGCCATTAAGCCCTATAAGTTAACAAGGGCTGAAAAGCTTCAGTTGCTCAATCACCGTCCATCAACAGCCGTCGAGATTCAGATTATGATAGAAGAAAGTGAGGAGAGGTTAACAGAGGACCAGATTTATGAATTGTTAGACCTTCTTGCTAAATATCTGCCGACTGATAAAGAGGAAGAAATGGAGCAAGATGAAGAAGATGGGGATGGAGAAATGGAGGAAGAAGAAGAAAGTTAGCAGTGGGAGGATCTAGGTGGGGAAAAGACAGTTTTACAGAGTTTGAAATTGAGACTGAAAGTGATAATGACCTTGTCATAACTGTAACATTGAAAGCTGAACGTGTAGAGATTTAAACACCAGAGCATTAAATCATCAGGACAGCAAGACCAACTTTAATTTAGAAATCTGCTCTTAACATTACTGGTGTACATGACTTACACAGTATCTATGAAGCATGAATAATTATCTTACAAAATCTAAATTTATCAATTGTAAGGAAATACAGCTGTCGTCTTGAAGGGTTAATTAAGGTCTAGTGTGGATATTATCATGATTATAATGGTTGAAATAGCTGTATTTATTACATTTTCCATCAGTAACGTTCAAATTCAAGCCTCATCCTAGAACAGTCTGGGATGTTATTTCTTGATGTTTAACAATTAGTAGCTTAATAAAGAATGTTTTTGGAGACAGTAGTTTCTGTATGAAATTTGTAACCATGGTAAATATTAGTGTTATTTTCTACTTTCACAATACATGATTATATCATCATTATCATGAAAATGAAAATTTTTACAATTGACTTGTACATACTGGAGTGCTACCTAAATATTAATGTTAGGTTTTAAGACTTTGTCATGTTATTTAGAAAGTGTTATGAGTTTTGAGAAAAACTGTACATGTTACATATATATACATACATTCTGTCATCATCAGGCTTCATTCTCATTCAAGGGCTAGAAAACCACAATACATTCTTAATTACAAAACAAATTTGTATATTTCTGCAATTACCTCGACTGTTAAGCAGGGCTGGTCACAGAGAGTCCAAATTCAGTCCCATATGAATCTTTTATTCCATCACAATATTTCTCTGCATGAAGATGTGACATACATTCTCGATTGGAGGATTTGTCAGGTTGAGATTTATAAATTCCCACAGTGAGTCAGGCTTTCAAACAAGTGTATCTAATTTCTGTATCTTTAATTGCTAGTTCCAAATATTGATAATGCATGTTTTGTTCAGATGGGAGGTGAGGGTTCTCGCAATGTTCACTTCACCAGACAAGATCTTTTATGGAGGGATACTCAGCTGTTCAGTATTGATCACTATAAGATCTACAGCTTATTATTATTCAAACTGAATTTCCAAGGTTTGCTTGTATCAAATTTAATGTTTTGTTTTATTGATTTTTTCCTTGTCAAAATGCCTAGAATTGGGTGCCAAAGTTAGAGAAATATACATAGAAAATGAGATTTTTTCCCAATGAAATCTCTTGGAAATAGAAATTTGTTGTTTACAAACGGAATGAATATTCAGTGTTCAGGAAACTCCACTAGGACACTTAAACTTTCCATTCTTGGTAACAACAATTTAAACTGTTCAGTCACTTAGTAAGCCTTAATCATTCCTGCCAGATTGAATTTGTGAGACTGGAACCTGTCAGAATGTTTTGATTTTTAAGATGAACAGGAAGCATGAACAAGCATTAAGCTTTAATGTTATTTAATAAGAGGCATGATTGTTAAACCAGACTTAGGGTAATTTGATTGTAGCTGCAACTGCAGCCTGACAATTTCCATGTCATGCTTGTTACATTGCCCATTGTTTCCCTGTTCACTGATTTGTATTAGCATTAAATGCATAAATTTGGATATTTGTTGTCACATGTTTTGTCCTGGGGCATTGATCAATTTTTCTTCAGCACAGTTGCGAAAATGGCTTGTATTGTTCAGATTTGAAATTCTGACAGTTCTTTCACTTTGTTTGGATGTCTTGGAGGTTTTACCTCCTGTGCAGGTCCACAAAACTTCATGGACAAGGGAATGTCAGTCAAGTTTTCTGGGTTTTTGTCATTGACAAAGCGTCTAGACATAGTTGTCTCCCTTAGACATGCCTTAAACAATTCTATGGCCTTGTGGAGAGCAACTAACTCGAGAGAGGATAGTCATTGTTTCGACTTCCTGGCTCCATATGATTTATAATGTGGTCTTAGTTATTACCTTGCCTGGCACTCAGCATTGAGGAGACCAAACAAACACTGGTCTGCTCTTAGTTTTGTGTCCTTGTTAAACTTAAGCATAGTATTTGGGTGAAGTAGCACTATTAAACACACATTAGGTACATCCTTGAAAGAAGCAACTAACAGGTGGTCAGGCTTGCTGACTTGGTTGATGCATGTCATATTATGCCACAAGATCGATGCTCATATTAAATGTCAATCATAATACATGAATTCTATTATTACAGACCACCATCATATAGCTGGAATATTGCTGAGTGATGTGTTAAATTACAAACAAAACATCCTTGACTAGACTTGCCTTGCCTTGATTGTATGCAAGGTCTGACAGACTCCAGAAATGAAAAGACTCCAGGTTGAAATATAAATACCTGACAGAAAACAGCAATCTACATGATATGCATGGTCTCAGTCTCAAATTACAGTAATGAAAACTATGTTGAAATAACTTGTGTGCTCTTGATGCAGTTGAGTCATGTTAAACAGTTATCCCTTTTAATACTCAGTGAAGTGATCTTAAAGTGAAAGGCCGTTACCATTCAAAAAGCAAACACACGTACAAATAAAAAGTATTGTATCTATAAAATATACGCTGGATGTTAGACCCTAAAAAAAGTAACACATGCCGGCTTCTATTGAAGGATTTACAGTAAGTATACTGATAGATATGAGCAACAATCTTGAACTGAACTGAAACCCCATGACCTCAAAACCCCATGCAGTTGAGTGTTGGATATCAGTCAAACCCACCAACCTGTTTGAAAAGGCCCCTCCAGTGGCCAAAACGTAAATATCGGGTAGAAATTAAGGATGAGTTTCTTTGTGTTTATTTTCCTGCTTGCTGTAGTAATACAACACCCATACCTAAATACATGAATGTGTGGTACATTCATGGGTGTCATAGACAAACCCTGCTTTGCAGGTTAGATCAAATGAACCCTGAGCAGACTGACCGCGTTATCAAAAGAAGGAAGCGCTGGCAGTTGCAGAAACCAGATGACCACTTTCTAAATGGACACACCTTCAACATTGAACTGCCACCATAAACAGTGCTTTACTAAAGTTTGGTGCACAAAAAATGAAAATACACCCGAAAGAAACAATTGTGCCCTTGATTGTAAGAGGTGTCTGAAACGCCAGAATAAATTCTTTATTGCAAATTATGCAGAACATAGTACAGCCATTTTTCTCCATTCGCAACTGCCTTGGGGGTTTCCTTTTGCTCAAAGATAACGTGATTATAATAGTGAAATGCTGTTTAAAGCTGCTCTTGACCAAAATCACTCCAAGACAAGAAAATCAAAACATTGTGGACTTACACCTGTACATGCTCATTCGTCATCACACGTTTTGATAAATACATGTGAAAACACATACTGATTGTTATCGGGAAGAGTATAATGAACAAGGCAATAACTAGCAGATCTTCCTGTTTCATGTTCTTGTGCATTAACTTTCAAGCATATAAGATGGGTGAATCATGTCCAGACTGCAAATGAAATTATTCTGCGAAATTGACGAATTTAGCAAAAGTAAGGAAAATGAAAACGAATAAAGTGTGTTTTTGTTTTTAACTACAAAGTGTATACTGACAAGAAGGAAATATACACTGAAGGAAACCGAGTCAGAATATGTTGAACAGGCCTCCATATAAGCAGCGGGAAATTAACAGTCATTTACAGTTGGAAGAGGTCGGATTTCGTATAAGGGAGTCTCAGTCAGGTCAGTTTATATTGCAACTCTCCCAGGACAGTATATCTTGCAAGGTAAATGCCCATGTCAGTGGTGGAATCAGCGTGATGCCCTGTAAATAAGATTTGATGATCATGCTAGTACTTCTTTGCCTATAGCGCGAAGAAGAACACTGCTTGGAACTGCGAAACGTTGAAATCATGTTGTGTTTCCAAACTGTATTGCAGTATGTAGACATGATGCGAATGCAGAGAATGAGTGAGTTGGGTTTAAGGACGCTTTGAATTTTTTTTAAAATTATATCACTGAGGGATAAATGTGAATAGTCACAACAAGTGAGTGGAATATGAATATCATGATATTGCTGAAATGCCCGTGTATGTTATGCGCCAACAGTATCAAACATAATATATATTAGAATTCAACATCGGGGCACACCATCGACCATTTCGGTGCATGTCATAAATTTATGAACATCGACTAAATCGTCAGCATGTTGGGCTAGGAGTGAGTGAGTTTAGTTTTACGCAGCTTTTAGCAATATTGCCGCAATATCACGGCAAGGGGCATCACACATTGTACCCATGTGGGGACTCGGAACGTTAGAATGAATCTTCTGTAACCCATGCTAGTAAGAGGCGACTAAAGGGATCGGGTGGTCATACTCGCTGGCTTGGTTGACACATGTCATCGGTTCCCAATTGCGCAGATCGATGCTCATGCTGTTGTTGACTGGATTGTCTGGTCCAGACTCGATTATTTACAGATAGGAACGTGAGGCGCTGTCAAGGTTGCAGTACGATAGCTGTGGTGTTATCTCACGGCGAGGAACACCAGGCATTGTACATATGGGGAGGAATGCTTTAGAGGTTACAATTGCATACACCTGAAATCCATTTAAACTACACCCTTCGAAATAGGAAACAATGAGAATGTTGATATTTTTTTTTTTGAAACTTTCAATACAAATGCAATAATTCAACTGAACGAACTTAGTCACGAATCCTTAACCGGTGTTGTGCACAAACGCAACTGTTTTTAACCTTTGTAGCTTTAAACGGCAATTTTTTTAAGACTGAACGAACATATATTCCAAAGGAAATTAAAAACAGAATGCACGCGCAAGCAGTGGCAATAATGAGCGCTGATACTGTCTATAAAAGGCCAAAAGTCATTTTTTTCCTCATACGTGTATTAGAAGTGAGAATAGGCCGGTGTAAGATTGAAAACATACCCGCGTTGAAAAGGTACCCGGCGGGTACTTTTTCAACATTGAATTATTACCAGGACTCACTTTTCAATGCCCGGGGTCTTTTGTCAACATTGAATAATTACCCGGCTGCTATTGAAAAATAACCCGGGTCACGTATTGAAAAGATACCCTCGTTGAATAATGACCCTCGCTGTTTCTAACGCTGTAAACGTACGTAGCCAATTGAAATACCGTTGATTAGCTTTTTACCCATGTACTTATTTATGGATATTTCTAGCAATATAACTTAATTATAGATTCGTGTTTGTGTTTTAATATGGTCTCTCGCAATTCCGTGTGGAATGGCTTGTGTACACATATTTATGGTTTTATCAAAATGTTTTGTTCAAAATGCTGTACATACGGTGAGACCGAAATAAATCATTTGTTGGACGACTGTGCCTGTCTTTGATAGACGCCGCAGATCCAGACGGGAACATCCAAATCTTTGATATCGTGCCGATGCACGTCCGTATAAAAATGTTACACATTTCAAAAGAATATAACACTGATAAAGTCATTGCATTTCAACACTTTTAATCAACGTGGAAGAACAAGAAGTCAGGGATATCTAAGATTTCAAAAGCAGTAGGAACTACCCAAAGTGGGCGTCTAAAAATCAAACTTTCAAACTTTCGGCGAAAATGTGGATAACGACAACCTGTTTTTCAAATCCAAATCCGGACCGTTAAGAGTCCCTCACAAGGCAGATGTGCCAGTGTCCCGATTTCTCGAAACAAACTTAAGTTTTAACTCAAATTTCAAACTGAGTTTGACAATTTGAAACAGCTGATTTTTTTAACTCAACTGCATTTTTAAAATAAAAAACCCCAAACAACTTAAGTAATCTATCCACCAAACTCAAATTCTCTACTATGTTTGAGTTTTATATCGATTTCAGTTCATTCTGGGAAACACATTTTCTCAAATTTGAGTAAAAACTCTAACTTAAGTCAAAACTCAGACTTAAGCTTGTTTCGAGAAATCGGGCCTGAAGAGCGTCCATCAGAAAATGGGGGCACACCTTGGTGTAAATAAAACGTAAGTATACACGCTTTTTTAAATGCAAAATCTACTGATATTCTAATGTAGCTGCGGTTTTATTTTATTTGACCTTTTCACGCGTTGAAGTATATATATGAATCCGCTATTACCTGTCCACTAAGGCGTATATAGAACATCAAACTTGATAGCAACGTTAGTTTTCGTACAACATAAATTTCCTTTGAATTATACGGAGAACAGAAACTTAAACGACACTAGCACTACCAAAAAGGTGAAAAGCCGTGATTGATGAACGTGGATTTTATACGTCATTGACAGAACTATGGCTACATTCCTTCTCTCCTATGAGATTGTTCTGTATTGATCCGATATCCTATAGGTGACTGACGGTGATAGTGTTTTTGGTGTTGTCATGGCTATAAAAACATACACATCTCAATATTCAGTGTTATCCTAATGAAACTGCATTAATTTTATTTTATTGCTTTTGTGTGCCGTAAATAATCATCTCTAAGCAATTATGTTGTTTTCTTTCACAAAGCTCTCTTCACTTTGTTCCTTCACCACAACCAGACATCTCATCCCACAACATTACACCTCACCCCTATAACCATATATCCCCCACCCCAACAAGACACATAACGCCTGGACATCCACACCACTACAAGCATAGACCCCCCAACCCTACATCGCACGTCCGCATATCCCCACACACTGAGCCATACCCCCCTCCCCAACAATCATACATATCCCCACACCCATACCCCCCTCCCCAACAATCATACATCCTCACCCCCACAACCACTTATCCCCACCCCAATAACCAGACATCCCACCCCTGCACATTGGAGCAAGCCCATTAATGGACATGTAAACCAACACAAGAAGTTTAAATACAACGCTGTCTTTTACAGGGAGCCAGTGTAAGTCCTTCAGGACTGGTGTTATGTGCACATACATATGTGTGCGTGTTATGAGCCTGGCGGCTGTGTTTTGAACACGCTGTAACGTGTCCATGTACTTCTGCTGTATTCCATAGAGTAGACTGTTGCAGTAGTCAAGACGTGATGTCACAAATGCATGGATTAGGCATTTTACTGATGGTGTGTCCATGTACCTGCTAATCTGTCTGATGTTCCTTAGGTGGAAATTTGCAGATTTGCAGATGTTACTAACGTGATTTTCCGTGTTTAATGTTGAGTCAAAGATGACACCTAGATTTCGAGCATGGCTTTCTGGTTGAACAAACGTGTCTCCAATTTGACCTTGAACTTTTATTTTATCTGTTTGGAGCTGATGATGAGAATCTCAGTTTTGTCATCGTTCAGTTTCTGAAAATTACCTTTCATCCAACATTTGATCTCAGCTATGCAATTTGTTATTGCCTGCAGTGTATTCTGTACAGAAGATGCAGTTTGTGGCTTGAATCCGAGATATAGCTGAGTGTCATCAGCATAGAGATGATAACTGAGATTGTGGGCTCGGGCTATATCACCAACGGGTATGGTATATACAGTGAACAGAATTGGGCCCAGGACTGAGCCTTGTGGCACTTCATACCTTAATTCTCTGCTCTCAGACCTTACCCCATCGATGATAACTGATTGCTTGCGTCCTGTGAGAACAAACACCCATCCCCACACCCACAACAATACATCCCACCGCACATTCCCACTCCCGCAACCATACCCCGGCCCAAACAACCATACAAACCCACCCCTATTATCACACATCCCCACCCCAGCAACCTACATCCCCACACTCACAAGAAAACATCCCACCTCCTCACATTCCCATCCCAACAACCAAACATCACCACCCCCAAAACAACAAATCCACACCCCCACAACCTACATCCCAACAACCATATATCCCACTTCTGCACATTCCCATCCCCACAACCAAAGATATCCACCTAGGACCACAAATCCCAAATCCCCAACCACGTGTGGGTGAGAGATGCATGGTTGTGGGGGTAGGGATCTAGAGTTGTGGGGGTGGGAATGAATGGTTGAGGTGTTGGGGATGTATGGTGTTGTGGGGATGGGCATGTACAGTAGTAGGATGTCTGGTTGTTGGCGTGGGATATATGTTTGTGGAGGTGGGGATGTATGTTGTGGGAGGGGGAGGGTTATCTGAATTGTCTGAATGCTGTCTGAATCGGTTTGCAAAACAACATGACAAAGGTATACCAATATTATTCAGAAATGTTTATGATTGCAATAAACATGGAGAATCAAATTCTCTGTACACAAAAATACACACAGATATACTGCCCGATACAATGAATTTGACACATTATTTTACTAAACTGAATATATAAAAATACACAGTATGATCAGTATGTTAATAAATTACCCTAAAAATGCATACCTTGCCATAAAGGTACTTTTTAGACAGATACATTCCACTATTTGTGATTTTTACTTATGACACCTGTCCTGAGCACTGCAGTTTTTATGACTTGAAGCCAGTATGAGAGTATACATTTGCTATATATTGATCATTTTGAGCATGATAACCATGGTGATATTAGAATAGATTTGATACACGTCAATAATCACATAATTTGATATCAACAATTATTCAGCCAGATAGCAGGTAACACGTTTGATTAAATGCAGCAATGGACTCTTTTTGCTTTACTTTTTTATATTTTACAGCAGTGCATACATACCTATATTTCAACACACAATCAGTGATTTTGCTTGGAGAATGTTCTCTGAAATTGTTGACCAGTTCACTATTGTGATTTGTTTTAAAAATTAAAATT